TCCAGGATTTTACGGGGGCCAACCCACAACCAAATGGCAAGAAATCGTGGCGTGATAATCAGGTTCTTGCAGCAGCGAGCTGTGAAATGGAAGCTTTGAGACAGGAGCTATTAACAGAATATAATTGTTCACATGACAGAGCGTTAGACACTCTGTTGCGACAACTCTGAGCCTCAGGTTTTCCTCCGCCAGTCTGGGTTCACCAGTTATTTGGTCCAAAACTCCACAGTCCTGCCCTGCCCCTAACCTCTGCAAAAGCAGCAGCAACAGATATACAAGCTGAGTCAATGAGGCACATTAGCGCTCCAATGAGACTTGGAAGTGAAGACAGGCCCTCAACCACCCAACTCACAGTTGTCAAGGGTGCTCTTTGTTGGAATAATAGCATTAAATGTACCTATGATTCAGTCTGTGCTGTTAGTATTATTGCTGTGCAGGCCGGAGATATTTTTTAAAATAAAGAATATTTAAAAAGAGCTATGAGCCCAAAATACTATTGGAAGAGAATATGAGTATGTAGAAAGTCAAACGAATGGCATTTGAAGAACTTTTCACTTGGGTTTAGTGACCATATGATGCTGATGATAAGAGAGCGCGAGAGAGAAAGGACTCCTATATGGAGCAATGGCTGAAGGGAGAATCACAATAGCTACATGAAGCAACACAGCCTCTAAGCCACAGTACTGTTTTGATGGGATGCTAATGTTTCATGTGGGTGGAGGTTAAACAAAGAGAGAAACATTAATTCTCTGAACCTTTCTGCTGCAGTTTTCAGCACAATATTTGGAGAATATTTGTTACCAGGCGCCTGATCTTTTGCAACCAGGTTAAATGCAATTAACTACAACAACAGTCTACTGCCATATACTTCAAGCAATTACAATAGTTTGGTCACGAAATGTTGTTTGCCCAATACGAGATACTTATATAATTACAAACCTCGGATTTCTTACCTATCCCCAGCCGTTAAGTCAAAGAGAGTTGTCAGTATGTTAAATGAAACAAATGATCTTGTTAGTTTCACACACCCTGCTCAGTTATTTCCAGGGATTAACATCAGTGGTTTACGTTACCAATTCAGGCATTTTAGGACCCACCATCAAGAAAGCAGCAAAACAATAACAACAACTTGCATTTATATTGTGCCCTTCACTCCGGGTAGTGTCTCAAAGCACTTAATCAAATACAGTAATCGGAGAAACTTTCCAATTTACTCAGGAAACACCTGAGAAGAGGTACTTGTAGCTGAGGCTGACTTTCCTCTGCCTTTGGTTGGATGAAGCAAGTGTCACCTGTTGAAATCTTTTGATCATTCAATTTACAAAATGATTTCCCTCCTTTTTTAAAAAAGCCAAAAAGAAACAAACATTAGCAAGAACACTAACGTTAATAAATGGAATATGGAATGTAGTTTTGTTTTCTAGAAACAGCAGGAAGGATAAGTTAAATAGTTGATCCATATTGTGTTTTCTCAAACGGGGCAAATATATCGATGAGACCATTAATTTGTTTTTAAGTGTTGAAAAATTGGTTAGTGCTGAAAGGCTACAAAATGATAAAGGGTTAAAGATTTACTGTGATTATTTTAGGTAACAGGTGGCATTATACATAGCAAAAATGATAAGCTTACATAGAAAGGACAGGTTTTTTGTTACAGCATTGAAATAGTTAATCTAATAAGATGTATAAACCGTCAGATATAATCAGCTGTTCAAATAGAACCACACTATAATGTGACAAAGGTTAATGCATTTAATCTCCTAGTTGAATACCGTTAAGTTTCTCATAGATATGGGCTACAATTTGCCTCTCAAAGGAAAACACCAATTAAACACTTTTACAGTCAAACCTAGTGAGATGCAGATTTGATTAACAAACGTGAGTTGATGTGTTTACTGAGCACTGGTAGAACTGTCCCTGTTATGCACAGATCCGGGTCTAAGCACCTTTACTGTTTTTCTCGACCTATCATAAAAACAAATCTTTAATTACGGGTCTGAATCTCAGGACGTCCGTCCATGTTAAAAGGAGAGAAAAAAAGGCTATTTGGACTATGAAGCCTATTTCTTCCACAAGTCATGCCAACTGGACCACAACACAACAGCAAATTACATTTGTTTAGTGCCTTTCATGTCAGGATATCACCAATCACCCCACACTAACCCTCCACACACACACACACTTGGTAATCTGTGGAGGAAAGGTATGCACAGATACCCTCTAATTCCCAATCAATCAAAACATCTAACCTGTCCATCCCTTCATCTTTGATTCAACCCTTCCTCAGGCTTCCTTCTCTTCACAAACAACCTCCCTAAGGTCCCCAGCCCTAGCAGCACAGAAACATTATCGGCAATCTTATGGATCGGCTGTCCATCTCCATTTGCTCCTAATGTATCTATACCCTTGAGTACCCATTCCCAACTTGCTCTGTTCAGTGGATTTCTTTCAGCGGATTGTTCCACAAAATCAGTCTCGTAGACACAGAGTGCGGTTTTGCTAATTCTGTTTGAATTTCCCCACAAATAAATCTTAACGTTTTGAGCTAACAAACGAAAGAGCACCTGTGGCCTATTATTAAAGTTAAAATCTCTTACCCTGCACTGTGGGGAAAAAGGAGGGAAATTCTTAAGAAAATGAAAGCACTCAATGTGGAACAATGACAGAAAGAGTAAGCGATTGTTTTTAATTTCCCTAGAGAATATGAATAATTTGTAACACTGGATTGTTCGGATTTATCTGCACTTTTATTATTAAAGACCGCAGAGGATGTAAGATGGGGAATCAGCAAATGCAATTGTTTAATTTTTTCTACCTTACATTTTTTTGGATGAACAAAACATGGGCAGAAGAGTAGTGCAGTAACACTGAAATAGCCCCACTCTGCGTGCAGTTTTAATTTCTTCACACAACAGCTTGAATTAAAGAAGAAACAATGAAAACACAACAGAGTAGAGCGATTTTAATGTAACCAGTGACAGATCTGGATGGGCAAACGTCATTAACACTCCGGAGGTGAGGAAAAGAAACCTATTCTCGTGATTCAAGGCAGAATGAAATAATGTGGTGTGCAATTATCCTCTGACTGCCTCTGGCTACCCAGGCTAGTGATACTACTGTGACCAAAGCCCTTCCGCACAAAGGCTGAGACACATCGCAGCAAGTAGACATTGAGCAGCAAAGGGGGAGATTCTTGAGAGCAAATCACCTGGCGATCACACAGTAAAATGCCCGTTATAACATGATTTGGGGGCAAAACAAAGTCCCAACCGGCCTTTCTAACAATCGCCAGTCAACACCTCCACATTCGGCCGACACACACATCAGGTGATGATCTCATGTGCTCCATCGTTTTGAAGGGCGACAACACATGAAGAGGTACCAAGCACATTGTGAATTCAAGCACAATGCAACAACAACTTGCCTTTAAACCCCCCCACCCCCCACATGCAGGATAGCGTCCCAGAGCGCTTGAGCACCAACAGGGCCCAGCCAACTTTCTAAGACACATGTTGGGGATTGTTTAAGCACAATGTTCCAACTGCATTACAATTGAACCTGCGTTACAACAGGGTTTTACTGTGGTTGTGCTGAGGAATGGGAATGAGTTGATTGTCGTCAACGTTAACCCCGAATAACGGATGATTCATTGTTCTCTCCCACACGGGAAACTCCTATCGCACAGTATTACCACATTGTTCACTTTATGGGAAGTATTCGGGAATTACGTCTTTCATTGAAAAAAAAGGTGATGTTCTGAGGAATGAGAAGAGGCAATTTTGGGAAGGTTCCCTGGTGGGTATCAGTTAACATTTGATTACTATTTCATTTCAAACGGTAAAAGTTCATTTTATACTGTATTTTAAAAAAATCTTTTATTATAAAGAATATCTTTGGTCCTGGGTGAAGCTTCATTAGGAGTCTGAAACTTCAATATGATGAATGTCTGATCAGAACCACTGTACTTTATTGGTCCCAAATGAGCTGGCAGTCGTGAGTCTGAGAGTATAAGGTTTTAACTAACAGGGACTGACTGACTGAAGAGAACATTTTCTTTCCAAACATTTAAAAACTTTCCTCCTTTCTCTTCCCTGGATCGCCCTGAACTACCATTCCCCCGAGACTGGGCAGGTGAATTGCTCCCCTTTGTAACACAGGGCACGCTGGAGCTATCCCAACGACGACAACAAATTACATTTATACAGCGCCTTTCACGTCAGGAGACGCTGGACAGCCATGAATCCGGACCCGAGCTGGGGGTTGGGATCAGGAGGGGTGGAGGGTGGGAGGGTGACCGAAGGCACGGTCAAAGAGGAGAGTCTTGAAACGTTGCACTCCCTCTGCCTGCTGCTCCTGTATCTGCTTATCAGGTTCAGGATGTTGGTGCTGAGATATGAATGAGTTTCCCTTATTTGGATCAAACGTTTGCTAACAAGAAGTTCAATGCAAAATAAAACTCCCTCTATTCTGTCCCAACTATGTGCCTGCATCCACAACTTCAAAAGCCCCCCCATCATTCCCCCACCCTTTCCCCGCAATCAGTAAGGCATTTGTTTTAACTAGGAACGTAGGAATGTTCCGCCATTCTAATTAGATCATGGCTGATCTGTACCTCAACTCCAATTTCTGCAACACCAATCCTCTGACCTCTCTGAGTGAGATTGATAATTTAGTGGTAATGTTTCCCAATTAAAAGCAGTTTTGTGCTGTCAACCCCTTGCCTCTCCCTCCCTCCCCATAACTTGTGGAGAATTTCACTCCAGCAACTTGAATCGCTTTCAAACCCAACCTCCCACAGAGGAACAACCAATGTCTAATCCACTTTGCTATCTCACACCCCTGACCACCCACCCAACACACATGCACACACTTGCATACTTGCTCTTACTTACTGTCATGGTTGATTCTATTCTACGTATGAGTAACTGCCACAAGGATTCTTTTTGTTTGAAACCCAGACTATTTCCTAAACCCAAACTTGACACACACACACATATATATATCTATATATAAATATATTTGCAGCATAAGTGTTCACAGTCGGATCAAAAGACCTTTTCCCCCATCCCCCCAAAACCCTGCTTGTGTGCTAATTCTGCCGCGTGGTATAACTCACTACAGCTGTTACAGACAAAGGAGTAAATACACAAATAGCAGCTATAAAGGGCATCACTACAAGTTGCGGTGTTTTTCTTCGTGAAAGCTTTGTGTTTTTTGGAACCACCAATTCGACTCTCCTTTATTTCCCGGCAATCACTGGGCTCTTCCAGAAATTACCGAGGTGTGTTCCACTGAGATAGCAAGATAGCAAAAAAATCCTGGCTCCTTGAGCACCCGGAAGACATCAGTGTTATTGAAGGGAGCTGTGTGCATTCTACGGGTGAAGAATATTTTAAGATCCTCCAGATCTGTAACACAGCAGTTAGTGGGTGTGTCACAGAGACGCAGTGTTAAACGGCCACAGAATACAGCAATGTAAACTTTTGCCTAAAGGTGGAAATGGAACAAAATATTGTGCCAGGCATTCGCTGCTGAAAATTAATATCGAGCGAACAAGATTCACATGCGACTCTGAACTTTCCTGGTTTGGTGACAGCTGAACAAAAGAAATGTAGTTTAAATGCAGAACCACATTGAAACTGAACTCTAATATATATATGACTATAATCTCCTCAAATTAACCAGGGCTTCTGATTTCCAGGTTTAACCGATAAAATACCCGCCCCACTACACACCCACCGGAAATCAGAAGCCCAAAATATAAGCAATGAAGCTGTTAAAAACAAAACACACAAACTTGGGTTAGTTGCTGAAGCCTCATGCTAAAATGAAAAGCAATGAACATTGCGGGTAAATGCTTGAGTCCATGGAATGTCACAGGTTAGCGAGTTAATAATGCAACTGTCATCTGGAAATCTCTGATGAGCAACTTCTTCCTGGGAAGAAATTAATCATTAGGGTAGGATACCTGGGTTTATGTGATTTTACTTCATTAGATGAACTTCTTCAAAGTTCTGCTCTGAGTTGTTACGGTCTGGAATGCACCGCCTGAAAGGGTGGTGGAAGCAGATGGGATAGTAGGTTTCAAAAGGGAATTGGATAGGTACTTGAAAAGGAAACTTTGTAGGGCTATGGGCGGGATAAGAGCGGAGAGTGGGACAAGTTGGTAGCTCTTTCAAAAGAGCCGGCACAGGCATGATGGACTGAATGGCCTCCTTCTGCGCTGTAAGATTCTATGATTCTATTATTCTATCCCTGTATACAAATTTAAAGAAATAATCATTTTACATTTACCAAAAATATCTAAAAGGAAGCAAATGAGTTAATGTGCTTCTCTGTCTTGCGTTACTTAAGAGCTGTTCTGCTTAGAAACAGCTGGAAAAGGATTGTAACTTCGAAGTACCCAATTGTGAAAGCAAATTACGAACACAAATTATTTCCCAGAGCCTCTTTTTCCTACATATTTTTCCTGCATCCACATAGTCACCAGTTGGGATGCACAGAGCAGAATAATCCCCAAACAACTTTAATTTTAATTTTTTTTTACATTAGTTTTTCATCGAACAAATAACAATGTGAAATTAAACACAAGAAAACAATCGAACCAAATGCTTCGATTGCAAAAAAAACCAGTTTTGTTTTGCCGGTGGATGTTTAGAAAAATTCAGCTCGTAAGTTTGAATAACATAAAAGCGATTTACGTCCAAGAGGAAGACTGATGCTCTTCCTGACAGAAGATTGTCCCTGGGGGGGATGGGGCGAGGAGGAGAGGTTTACACAAAATAATATTCTACCATCAAACAGTATTAACCCCTGCCACTGTCACAGCTCATATGACCAGGAACAGTTACGTTGATGAGGATGGGGGAGATGAGAGGCAATGCAAAGCTGACAATATGGGAGGTGCAGGCAGAATGTTAAGCGAGCCGTTAATAGGCTCCCCTGCCAGTGGCAGCGTACCTTCCTCGTCGGATGTTCCTTTGCAAAGTGAAGAGAAGAAGAAAAGAAACAAGTGGGGGGAGAAAAAAAAACACATTAGTTTCTGACACTTTGTAGAAACACAGCAACAGCAAAAGACGACGGACAAGACAACAGCGATTGACACCATGCAACCAAAGCTTTGTCTAATTGACAGTATGGAGTAAAGCAAATCCTGGCCTCACACCAGCTACACAGGGAGCTGTTTGTACTAACAGCATCGTAGGCTCTGGGAAAAACTTATTTTTTAAGTGTCAACGGCCTATATAAATGTCACTTCAAAAGACGATGGAGATGTAAAAAAAAAACAAAAGAGGGGGATGTGTGGCTGAAGGTGCAAAGCTGTTTTGTGGGAGTACAAACCAAAGTCCTATCCACGATTCCCAATAAAAATGGAGTTTACCTTTAAAACTGATCTGATAATATACTGGGCTACATATTGCGGAGATATCTGCTGCCTTTCAGGTCAGGAGGATTTCAAAGGTGTCCTCCAAATAAACTCCATACTGTCATAGATTGGGACAAAATGTTTCCAATCTATACATTTTTATAGCACATGTGAATAGAAACATGCTTAAGTATTCAAATTCTTGGTATCCCACGTATTTAGGAGAAGGCTTGAGCTTATTGGTTACACTTGGCTCATGCTTAAATCAAGACCAATGCGAGGGAGATCAAAGTCGTGCAGAGAGCAACAGAAAATAACATGCAGGTTTTTTTTCCATTTCTGCTGTTCGGACTGTTCCTGCAGCAACTATTGAACCGACTTTGCTGCAGTCCCACTTTAAGCACCTCGGCGTCTTTCTGCACCATCAGAAAATCTGCCTCAACTCTCGGAGAGCTAACGGCGCTATTTGGAGAGTAAAATAACGCAATCCGCCTTAAAATCCTAGCGAAATCCAACAAGCTTTTTTTTGTGGCCAATGTTATTACCATAAAAAGCTGAATTGGATCTCTTTCAGTGGAGAAAGAGTTACACGACCGTCAGTTCACTTTGTAAATGTTGTCATTGTTGATTGCTTTAAGACCAGTGCTTATTTGTGGCTGGTGTAAACATATTATAGAAGGTCCATCATAGCAGATTGCACAGCCGACGTGTAAATACACAGTAACTCCACTTTACAGTCTATCTTGTGAACGCTTTGAGACATCTCAATAAGACGCTCTATCAAACTCAAGGACTATTATTATTATCTATTGGGGCCAATATTAGAGATCTACGTCTCTGGTGCCTGATTGAGATGACAACACAATCTAGTGACGTCTGACAGGCAATTGCATTCAAAGCAGAAGGGAATCCAAACAAACATGGAACCAAGTTGGCAGGAAATCTCGGTTTAGACACCGGTTGTGTTTGGATCAAGACATCTAAATAATGAGAATGATGTGCCAGAATTGTGCACGTTTGAATAATGGTGGCAAGTACTGCATTCTTTCAGATACAATTTACTGCACTTGATTCTTTGCAACCCAGCACTCTGCATGAGGACCACTTTGTACTATGATTACATTCCAAAACCTGCGCATCCTGGGAAAATTGCGAGGCTCTAACCTACATTCCTTCACAACAAAACCCTGGCCAGAGGATTTTATTTGCGAACAAACCATTTTAAAATTGTCTTAAAATTAGGGTTTGATTTTTCCCATTTTGTCCTTTAAGAATGGAGACATTCAATCCACGACTGTTTACGGGACGCTATGTGTGTAATTGGCTGTCGCCTTTCACCCACAAAATATACAGTTAATTCACTTTACAGTGTGAAGTGCTTTGAGTCGTGATAAGGTGCTATATCAAATGCAAGGATTATTATTATTATTAATATTCCCATGTTAGACATTTCGGAAACATCACAATTACAGCGTCTCGATTGCTGATATCGCAGAAAGTCTGTGATTGGAGACGGATTGATTAGCATTCTGATATACAGAGTTAGGTTGGTTGGTTAGTTGTTTAAGGCTGTCAAAAGATCAAGTCTTTTTGATAATGATGGCCATTATACAGATGTTACCACTTCAAGCACATGAAACAAACCTTGCATGAACTGGATATGATTCATTTAACTTCTCCACACACACACACACACACATAAAGAAACACATGCCTTGCTGAGATTGAAACAAACCCCATTCTCGAAAGATTTGCTACATAATAATAATAAAAAATCGGTCACTTCAATCCACGACTGTTTGTGGGACGCTGCTATGTGTAATTGGCTGCACCGTTTCGCCCACAAAATATACAGTCAAATTCACTTTAAAGTATATTCTGTGAAGCGCTTTGAGACGTCTCGAAGACGTGATAAGGCGCTATATCAAATGCAAGGATTATTATTGTTGTTACATACTCGCTCAGGCTCATCAACATTTGGCTAGCACAATGGTGTACGTCAGTCGCGTTAGTAATTCTCAGACGTTCACATTTAAACAAATGTGAAAAGCAGTGACTTCGTTTCATGCAAGGCTGATTTCCGCTAAAAACAAAGGCTAAAATTCTGCTGCAGACACAAAGCATTACAAGCAGATTCGTTTTTTTTAAGGGTCCAGAAAAGGCACATAGTCATTATCTAGTGTCACCCCTTCCCAAGGGCAGAATTCCTCCTGCTTTCACTGCTCAAAATTTTTCACATTATTTACTGACCACAAAGTCCATGGCCAAAATGCCGTTAGATTCACGTATTGTTAAGTGACACAAAAGGAGACTTTTGAAGATGTTAGTGCACTTTGCTTTGATATCACAGAGAATCGCACTTAAAGTAATCGGACGAGAAATCACTGTCCAATTCTAGTGCTTAATTAATATTTGCAGGGCTATAGGGTAAGAGCGGGGGTGTGGGACTGGTTGGAGATTCTTCAAAAGTTTTCCCTGAAACTACTTCCGCTCAAACTCCCTGGTTATTTCACGACGATTTGCACAAAACCTACACTTTTGTTCTTACTGTTTGCAAAAAGGAACATTTTCAAAATCAACTCATCATCGCACTGGGGGTGAAAAGACAATTTAAAAGGGAAAATCTTAATGAAGCTTAATAAACATATTCAGAAGCTCATCACCTGCTTGGAACAAGCCAATATTCTGAGATATGTATCTGCAAGTGGATTATAAATCACTGTTCATTGGAAGAATGAAGCTAATATTGTCCGGTTTTTGACTGTTGATTCTGCAGAGATTATGACTTGAATGGGGTGGGGGTTAATTTAGGTTCTTGCACACAGGAGGAACTCTTCAGCTTGGGACGGAGAGAGGAGGGGAGAAGGAGGGGTGTGGGGAGGAGGGGCAAGGATTAAAATGTTGCACTATTTTGCTTCCCAATTCCATATACAACACATTTTTAACTACTGCAGAATCTTAGCACAGAAGCATTTGAGTTATTAACTTCTGAATGGAGTAAAGTAAGAAGCATTCGAAAAGAGGCATGCTTATTGCTTACTTAAAGCCCCATCCAGTCCCCCCAAGGACAATGGCACCCACTAAAATGGCACCTGCGATGGACCCTATAATGATATTGGTGCCACTAGGACCTGTGACAGAGGGGGGAGGGGGAAGGGAGGAGGGGGAAGAGGGAGGAAACGAAACCATGGGAACACACGTCAGAATCATGACACAAGTTTCTCAAGGCCATCTGCAAAACATTTCTGTTGCATCTCGATGCATTGCATTGCTTACTGTAGGCCCGGATGTTTGCATTTCCTATTTTGTCACCAAATTATTTTGTGGTTACGAAGACTGTGGAGAAAGAGGCAAAATCGTTCAGGTTTTTAATGATAGTTATAGCATGGATTTAGAAAAAAATGACCAAGGCTAGTCTAGTGTAGTCTAGTTTAGTCTAGTCTAGTCTAGTAGATTGGGTACTGATGGATGGCGTTTGCATTTATGCAGATGGTTAGTTTCAATGGTTTGAGTTTCTATCCAAGTGGATTTCGCACTGTACCCAATCAACAATTGAGGCCATTTAATATCCAACAGGTTTCTCAGAACCTGCACTTTAAGTGACTCCAGGTTTGAATCAATCCAAATGAGAACCAGGTACCGGTTCAATCCACATCGGATCTTCCTCTTAAACATTTTCCGTAAAGATTAATCAATTTTTTAAAATTTTATTTTGTCCTGGAGACGGCAGGGAGCTTAACTGAGGGCAGAAACAAACACCGTGAATGCTTTCACACGCAAACAATTGGACCACCTGAATTTTTAACAACTTTTCAGAAAATAATGCATAACCTTTAACCGTGTTGAGTTTAATTTCTTAACCGTTAGAACTTGAAGGAAATAATATTAAGGGGTGAGAAAATACTGAGAAAAAACAAAAAGGGGAGGGGAAGAAGTTGCACTTGGTTTAATTTGAGATCATTGTTCGACTTGGAATCAATGTGGGAGGTGAGGGAGGAGAGGTAGGGAGGGCGAGTGAGAGCAAGACGGGTGTGAGGGGAGTGGTGGGGGTTGAGGGGAAAGGCAGGTGAGGGAAAGATGGGAGGTGGGATGGGGAGAAGGGTTGGGCTGGGGAAGTGGGTTCTGCAAAAAAATACAATCGCTTTACTGTGATCTTCCACAAAGGCTGTCAACACGAAATTACCAAACAAGCAAAAAAAAACCTACATCTAACTACATCTCTCGCGAGTTTTAAAAATAAAAACAATTCCCATAAATTGGAGTTCGACGTCAATCATTATTTGGCGTCCAGATGCAGAATCATGTCAGTAAAGTGATTTCTCTCTTCTGATAAGTTCACAGAGGGGATGAAAGTTGATAGAAATTTACTTTTCTAACTGGAATATAATTTGATCCCAAACAACAAAAAAAACCTGAATTCACTTGTGCAGAATTTACAAATGGAAGGACAAGCCAGTCAAAAAAAATCAGCTATCCAAAGGTAACGATTAATTAGCTAATTGACTAAATTAACTTAAATGATTAAGTAATCGATTAAATCAAACATATTAGGGTCTACAGTATAATACATCAGAATCTACAGACCAACAGTTCTTCACATCAACAACTGCAGTAAAAAGGTTTCCACATTAAAGACTCAATTACATTTTTTTCCAGTTCTGTTTGCACACAATCTTTTCTATTTAAGACACTGAGAAATGTTTGGAATCTTATTATAATATAAGTATGAGACCGGTATCACTGATGCAGACAAACCCTTGTACTGTGGCTCCATGTTCCACATCAGAGTTGGGTCCGGGATTGGGTCAAATACGCTGCAGTCCTTCCCAGTCCAATCACGGAAACATATGCATTTCACCTCATTACTGCAGACCTGAGGGCAAGGACAAGCATAGACTGACGTTAACAATTCTGTCTGTAGGAACGTAGGAACAGGAGGAGGCCATTCAGTTCCTCGAGCCTGTTCCGCCATTCTATAAGATCATGGCTGATCTGTACCTCAAGTCCAATGACCCGCCTTTGCCCCCAATTTCTCCCAATATCTCTCGATACCCTTTCGCCCACAAAACATATATTTTACAGTGTATCCTGTGAAGCGTTTTGAGACGTCTCGAAGACGTGTTAAGGCGCTATATAAAATGCAAGGATTATTATTATTATTACTACCATGACCTAACAAATATTATCCACCTCTGTCTTAAAAATTTGAATGGATCCAACATCCACAGCCTCTCAACCTCCCTCAAGATACCGGTGAAAGTCCCACAGAATTACAATGAGGTTCGAAAGCTGATCACGCAAACCGCTTGCATTTTTCAGTCCGTTGCAAAAAGAACTACAAGCGTTTAACAATCCTTGCATTTGAGAGTAGTGCCTTTTCAAGTCGTTGAGACGTCTCACAGCGCTTCACAGAATATATTGTAAAGTGGAGTGACTGTGTATTTTTGGGGCCAAAACAATTTGAAAACTTTTATCTTCCATTTACAATCCGTGTGAATTGTCTGTCTTCTTTTGAGAAGCATAACCCGCCCCTTTTAAGGCAGTTTATTCCAATTCATTCTCGTCAGGTTTAGAATCGGACCCAGGCTCTATTACTCTGTGAGATTCTCGTTTCTAATGATTTGTTTTTTTCACCCTACATCCCACTCCACGAGATAGAGACATCATCGACGTTACGTCTGAATTAGGGTCATTGATAAGGGATATGGTTGTGCAATGTTTAGAAAAGATGAAATTGATGAGATACCAGGCTCGGGATTGTAACGGGAACTTAAAAGGAACACCGTAGTAGATGGGTTTATTTAGATTTGATGAAGACATTCGATAAGGTGACACGGATAAAGAGACGTGGCCAAATTTAAGGCACATGGACTAGATGGAAAGGAACAAAGTGGGCAGAGGTTGAAGGAGAGATGGCATTTCTATGGTTCCGTGGAAACTTCCACCACTCGCAAACAAAGATACAGTCTACACCAGGAATTCCGCTAGTTAAATATCTCAGGTAACTCACTCCATGGTCAAAGCAGATATCGCCACTTGCACTGTGAGGGCAGGAGCTCAGGTTGAAGGCTTGCATTGGGAGACATTTGTGGTCAAGGCACATCATGTTAGGTCCACACAGAGTGCCGTCCTCCACATAACCCAGGTCAGTGCCATCATCCAGCAGCACATGGCCTCCCCTGCAAACAGTGCATAGTAATAATAATAATAATCCTTGCATTTGATATAGCGCCTTATCACATTTTCCAGACGTCTCAAAGCGCTTCATTTGACTGTAAAGTCAATTGACTGCATATTTTGTGGGCGAAACGCGGCAGTCAGTTGCGCACAGCAGCGTCCCACAAACAGTCATCGATTGAGTGACCAAATTATTTATTTTTTTGAAGGGATTAATATTCCGGAAAAGCGATCCGCCAATCGACTTACAACCGGGTTCCTACCAACTGCTGGGTAAACAGAGGCGTGTGGAGTAAGGAAACTTGCCCAATGTTACGCCCTGCCCGGGAATCAAACCCAGCTCCTCTCGCTTGCAAGGAGAGGGCTCTAACCACTGAGCTACAGAGCTCGAGATCACACTGTAATCCCCTTGAAAGCATCAGGATGGAAAACAACAATAATGGGAGGGAGTCCCAAGGCGCTGGACAGTCAAGAGTTTGGACCCAAACTGCGGGCTGGAGCCAAGAGGGGTGGAGGGCAAGGGAGGTGGGGTTGGGAAGAAACTGAAGCCACGGTCGTAGAGGAAGGTCTGACCGGAATAGCAAAGTCAAAAAGGCCGGCCCTATTTAATGACACATCACATAACACTGGTTTCTCCTTCTGGTTGCAATAGAAAGGTATAGAGACACACACGCGCGCACAGACACGCGAACGCACACGCACGAAAGCATACACGCACGCGCACACACACAAAGTGTGGTCATGCAATATTATCACCAGTGATTGTATCCCTTTTTGAACAGTGACATGGGTTCTTTGACATCCACCTGACGGGACCTGGGCTTAAAATCTGACCCAAAGGACAAGCACGTCCGACAACCCAATGGCCTGGACTGTGAGATCAAAGTCCCGAAATGGGGCTTGAACACACAACCTTCTGACCGAGCGGCAGCAGTGCTACCGATCATTTGCTCTGGATTCTAACTGGACTCTGATTGTTTCAGCCCTACTTTACCTGCAGTCCATGTACTTGTTTTGATGATATAAAACCATGCTGGTGACTTCTCCACTCAGCTCCCCGTGCTTTGGTGACTGAGTGATATTGGAACACAAAAGGTAACCGCAGAGAACGTCCCTGTGGGAACCGGGAGAAATTCACAGTTACTGCGCTCTTAAGATAACCGGCAAGTAAACATTTTAAGCTTTAAAGAAGATGAAGACAGCTGGTAAACACCCGGTGGCAGACAACATTTGTATACAATGTAATTATTGCATTCATTTGTCCTTTTTAATGGAACTGGATATAAAAATAACTTTCACTTCCAGCAGTAAAGTGTTGTCGAGCAGAAGAAGTGGATCAGTACTTTGCTCTGTTTATAACAACACTCCTTACATCTGGTCTGGTGGCTTTCGGATCAGGAGCTCTTCCCAGAACACTTTACAGGATAATACTGTAAAGTGTGGTGAACGCAGCAGCCAATTTGCGCAGAGTAATGTCCCACAACCAGCCAGGGAGTGAATAACTAATTTTATTTGGGGGATTGTTGGCCAGGACACCGGGGGAGAGAGAGAGACACTCCCGTCTCTGTTTTGAACAGCGCCGCGGGATCTTTAACGCCCACCTGAACAGGCAGACAGGGCCTCGGTTTAACGTCTCATCCGAAGGACGTCAAGGCCAAGTTGTTTATTGACGCACGGACAAAACCACACCACTCCAAAGATTTGTCTTGTTTAACAACTGGATGGTTCTGCTTGTGCCCAGGGTCTGGTTTGTGTATGATCGGGGGAGTTTGAGGTGTCACTCACTGCTTGGGGCACTGAAGCCAACTCTGTCCGTCTTTCCCGCAGTTTCCTTTTTCAGTCCCTTCAACATTCAGCTTCTCGTAACAGAATCGATCCGCAGAGCCTTGAAAGACACCAAACGTTCTGCTTCAATCTTTGAAGTCTCCCTCACGAGCATTGCTTTCATCTCCAGCTTGCACAGACAGTTTTACACGTTTGTTTGTACAGTCGTGGCATCAACCCCTCTTTCTCACTCCCGTTCCCTCTCTCGTACCTCTCTCTTTCCCCGCCAAGGTATTGCGCCAAACGGCCTTAAACTCAGTCGTAATTTGGAAGCTGAAATTGAACGCAATTGGTTTTAAGGTCTGCGACAACCTTGGGATTACAATTTCTGCGAAGGAACAATTTGAGTCTGAACGCAAACATCCCACAGCACAGAAGAAGTCATTGTGTCCATCGTGTCCGTGCTGGATCTTTGAAAGGGCCATTCACTATAGCAGGCGTGAATTGTAATGAGATCCAACAACCAGTTAATGTGACCGTACTTACTGTGTCCCCAGGTATAACTGCACTGTCTATCTCTGGTTTTGCATCCTCCATTGTAACAGCGACCCTACAAACAGGAAAAGGGCAGCTCAATTACAGCACAATAAATAACAATAATAATAATAATAATCCTTGAGACGTCTCAAAGCGCTTCGCAGAACATATTGTATTGTAAAGTGGATTGACTGTGTATTTTGTGAGTGAAACACGGCAGCCAATTGCGCACAGCAGCGTCCCACACAGACAGCTGTGGATCGAGTGACCAAAGTTTTCCTTCTTTGAAGCGATAAGGCAGCATAACCTGACATCCTGCCTGTAAAACTGGTTTGCCTCGATGTTTACCATCGTGCAGAATTGCGAGAAAATTCCTGAAAATCCGGTCTGAGGGAAGCCGATTCTCTTTGAGGCCCGCAGGAAAAAAACAACTGCTTTGGCCAGACCGATTCTGCACGATCCCTCACAGGTCCCAGCTGTGGCAATCGCTCCGTTGATTAATTTCATCGCTTGAAAGAAAAAGAAAAGGAAAGTTTATGGGAAATCACCTGTTCGTTGTCGCACGCATATCCATTCAGCTTGTGAACGTTCCAAGGGCACTGCAGGGCAGAGAGAGACAGGATACAAGTTGCCATGTTTCACCATGATTTAAGAGCAACTCTGGTGCACTCTCCCTCAATCCCTCCGCCTTGCCCCCTCCCCTCTTTCAAGTCCCGCCTGAAAACTTTCCTCTTCGACTGTGCTTACGGCCCCCTCCCCCCTCCCCACTACATATGTTGTCGTTGATTTAAGAGCACAACTTGACCGGTGGTTTGTGGGAGTTGGTCATTGGGATTCCCTTTCTCCCGAGGATAAGCAGGACACACAAATTTGACGGAAGGAAGGTTTTGCCTGGAATTTACCACCTTTGTAAACACTAGTAATTTCATCACTTGCTCCTAATCCCCTTTCCCCTAACCCTCTTTACACGTCCTCAAGTCACGTTTAATGAGTCTAAATGTGCTCCAGTGGCTTTTGCTTGTGAATAATTGTTTGCGGAATATCCTTTTGCTTGTTTGCATAAGACGAAATGTGCTGATAATAATATAATAATATAATCATAATATGGAAAAAAAAAGTACCACTGAATGATCCTTGTTGTGCTGAAGTAAAGCCATTTTCAGGAACATTTATTAATATCCTTTTCAGTCAACACTCTACTTCCAAACAAGCATTTAACCTCCGCAGATAAGAACGTATCGGGAAGCTGAGCTCTGCCCTACCTGGCTAGAGTCCCCAGTGCAGGTCTCTGCGATGTCACATTCATTCACTGAGTGTCTGCAAACTGTCCCTCGAGGCTCGTACTGGAAGGAAAGCCCGCGTTTCACACAGAGAGATTAGGACCGAGATCCCCTGGGGGTTCAACCGATTCAGTTTTCATAGCTTTGCTGTTGCGCATCTGTGATGAAGCTTCACTTCATGTTGCTTAACCAGCCTCTGGCTTAGAGGGTTAACAGGAGCCGAGTGGGAAAATATCTCTGCTCCTTTGAGTCAGGTTGACCATCAGTATTGTGGTCCTGAGTGGCTCAGTAATCGGGCTTGTGTTTTATGGTTAAACGACAGACTCAGATCAACGCGTCATCATGTGGCTTGAGACGAACGATACCAAACCTCGTGCACTTACCTGACAGCCTCTACAGCACAGCCCAGCGCTACACATTGCGCTGTGGGTCAGGGTGCATTTTTTGCAGCAGTCGTTCCCTGGCTGGATGCACTCCTGCACAAAACGAGACCAACCTTTCAGAGGCACAACAGCAACAACTTGCGCTTATGTTGCGCCCTTTGCGTAGGGCAGCGTCTCGGAACCCTTAAAACCCAGCGAAGTGCTCTTACTTGGCATCCTCTACAGCATAGCCCTGTTCTACACCACAGCACTGGGGATGTAAAACAGTCGCCCATTGAAACATTTTCTCCATAACAGATTAAACCGAGATTAGATTTGTGACAGCTTTGCTATAAATCGCCTTCCTAAAACCACATGAGACCTCACTTACACCGCCAGGTTTCATATTCTTCCTGGGTCTATACAAGTTTACTGCTGATTAAAATATAAAATATATTTAAATATACAGTCAATTCACTTTACAGTGTATTCTGTGAAGTGCTTTGAGACGTTTTAAAGACATGATAAGGCGTAATATCAAATGCAAGGATTATTATTAGTATTATTTATCCCTTATTGTAAATTATGCATCAATAGATTTAATAATAAGAGGATCTTCTCAGTTTTACTTAAAAACTCTGTGTGTCTCTTTTTTCAACAGCACCATGAGGCGCTATATTAAACGCAAGGATTATTATTACTACTTAAAATCCGCAGATAGTAAATGTACTTACAGCGATGTTGCCACAGTCGCACTCCTCTCCCGTTTCCACAAATCCGTTCCCACACTCCGGAGGGTCAAAAAGCTGTGGAAATTAGGGAGCGATGTCATTTTTAAGTCTCGCCTAAATCACCTGATTCAAGTCTGATATGCTTTACCCCCGCGCCCCCCCCTCAAATAAGCAGCTGTCGGATGAAGTATGGAGTTGTTAATAGGGTCAAATTGCAGTATGTGACATCCTAATTATCACATCAGTGATAAATGAGGTTGAGTGATAACAAGACTGGCTGCGCATGTGACTTCTTCAATTCTCCCTCCTGCCCCTCTCCCCACCACCACATCCCCTCAACTCTATATAGTACCTAATGTGCTAATTGGATGTAAAGAGGAACATGGCCCTAATTTCCAGGCTCTGACATCTCCCGCGAAGTTATGCCCCATTGTCGAATGGTGTGTGTCACACTTCACCTTTCCCACCCAGACGTTTAATGTCCTCACCTTGGAGGGCTTATTGAATAGACAAATGCCACCCCCAGCTTGCAGGAAGTGGGCATATTCGCTCAGGCTACATCTGGAAAATTTCTGGGGTAGATAATACCTAGAACCATAGATAACACCAATGTTAATGACAAACAAGCAAGGGTCACATCTAAAGGGGACCAAGCCCATTTATCTTTCATGCGAAACAATCTTACCCAGTGTCTTCCATTATACACCCAAGCCAGACATCAGGACACCGACACTCACCTTGGAGAGGAAACCAGAAAAGTTATTTGTGGTACACCAACAACATCCAATTACACTTGTCTAGTGCCTTCACGTCAGGAGGATGTCCCAAGGTATGGTCGTAGAGGAGGGTCTTGAGATGGGTCTTGAAGGAGGCAAGGGAGGGGGCGAAGCGGAGGCAAGGACTGTGGGATGGGGTTCTAGAGGGTGGGGGCAGAGAGGCTGAAGGCCCGCCCGACAATGGTGGGGCAATCGAGGTGAAGCACCAGAGCATAGACTGATAGGCCAACAGGTAAGTGACTGCAATTCGGGCTAGTTCTACTTCACAAAGATTGTGATCAGGTAAACATTAGAGCTGAACCTGTTAGCAGTGAAACGAAAAGACGTCTTTATTCAGAGAATAGTGAGATTGCTGTCAGAGATTGACATCAGCAAAGGACTGTTAACGCAGAGTGGGTGGGAATGTTTAGCAACGATAGCAATAACTTGCATTTATGTAGTCCAAAACTATGTTTATTCAGATGTAAAATTGGATTTATTGTCCATTTCTCTTCGACTCATCAAAGTGGCTGAATCTTAATTTAATTTAACCCTAAATTCTGTAGCTCAGTGGTTAGAGCACTCGCTTTGCAAGTGAGAGACCTGAGTTCAATTCCCGGCAGAGGGTGAAACCTTGGCCAAGTTTCCTTCCTCCACACAGAGCCTAATAATAATCCCTCCAAAACCAAAAACAATAATAAATTGGTCATTTTCAATCCACAACTGTTTGTGGGACATTGCTGTGCGCAATTGGCTGCCGCGTTCGCCCACAAATATACAGTCAATTCACTTTACAGTGTGTTCCGTGAAGCGCTTTGGGATGTCCTTCCGACGTGAAAAGCGCTATATCAAATGCAAGAATTATTATTATTATTAAAAAACAAAAATGCAAGGTTTTAAATAGCGGAGCACAGGTAAAGTTCTCCCCTTCCATTACGTACACTAGGACATTGTCATAGAGTAAACTACACAAGCAGTACAGCTTATGGCAGCCACACAGCTTCAGATGGGATGACTTTTAATGCTGTCTTTACTGTACAAAGTGCTTCCACAGCTTAGAATTGGCAACCATTAACAGTCACCACTTGGTGGCAATAGAGCCTTTAATCTGCATCGTAATCCTTAATGCTGTGTAAAGTGCAAGTGGATTGTGTCTGCTCTCTCTGCTCAGCGGGCTCCGACCTGCTCCATGTCCCCCGCCCGGCCTGTCCCGCCATCTGCCCCCCACCCTCTGGAACTCCATCCTACATTCCCTTTGCCTCTGCTCCCTCCCCTTGCCCTCTTTAAGGCGCGTCTCAAAACCCTCTTCGTCGACCGAGCCTTCGGTTGCCCTCCAACCCCCACCCTCTCTGCCTCCTGATCCCAACCCCCAGCTCGTGTCCAAATCCCTGACTGTCTGGCGTCTTGGGAGCTCCTCACAGCAATTAAGGGCTGATGGCCGCTCTCAAGGATGGGCAACCTTCCGTCCACGATCTAGCGGCAAGTGGAAGAAGGTCTCCAGCCAGTATGGAGCAGCTTTGGTCCACGGAAACAAACCTTCTTCACCTTTATAACACACAAGATTCAAACCAAAGCTGACCCGAGGTAAACAACCTCAAGGTTTTCTCTTGCATTTGAATTGCAAGCTTTCCCTTCCCAGATCACATGTTTCATGTTCCATATCAACTATTTGCTGCATATTCCGCACGGAAATCGTCCTCAAGGTGCACGTTGAGACCAACTCACCCGGTCCGACGTTTGGTTTATTCCACATCATCCCCAGGTTCTGTCCCAGGCTCTGCCCTAGTGTGACAGCCATCGCTCCAACATTCCCGTACTGGGAAAGAAAAGCAGGAAAACAGCAGCAGCCTTAATACACAGATCAGAAACAAAGCTCCACACCTATAATAATTATCTCTGCATTTGATATAGCACCTTATCATGGGATGTGGGGCAAAGGCAGGTAATTAATAATAATAATCCTTGCATTTGATACAGCGCCTTATCACGTCTTTCAATACGTCCCAAAGCGCTTCACAGGATACGCCATAAAGTGGAGTGACTGTGCACTTTGTGGGCGAAACGCGGCAGCCAATTGTGCACAGCAGCGTCCCACAACAGTCATGGATTGAGGGACCAAACAATTTTTGGGGGTTTATTTTGAAGGGATTATTAATGGGAGTTGACATACTATACTAGCCATCTAATAGAATGGCAGAACAGGCTCGAGGGGCTGAATGACCTCCTCCTGCTCCTATGTTCCTATCATGTCATTGAGGCGTCTCAAAGCTTTCACGGAATATATTGTGAAGTGGATTGACTGTGTATTGAAAGTCAAATAAGCGACATGCACACTGCAAAGCAGCCAGCAACTCAGTAAACTCTGTACAATGTGATTTTCTAGGTGCCCAAGGCTGGTTGCAATCAACTGTAACAGGACACAAGGGCGACGGAGATAAGATACATTCGGCTATGTTGTCCAACTCTTTGCTCACAAACGTGAATCTCTAAACTGAATTGACAGTTTTTAAGAGTGACATCTATTTGCTCTTAAAAATGTTGATCTTTTCTTTACGTCTATCGCCTTTTGTGAAGTAGCAACCGAAGCCAAAAAACATTGAAGTGAGAGTATAATAAGAATCCTTGCATTTGATATAAATGATATATGCCTTGCATTTGATACAGCGCCTTATCACATCTTCGAGACGTCTCGATGTGCTTCACAACATATACTGTAAAGTGAATTGACTGCATATTTTGTGGGCGAAACGCGGCAGCCAATTGCCCACAAACAGGTTTTTTTGGAAGGATTATTACCCCCGGAAAAGCTCGCAGGGCAGAGTAGGGTGTTTCTTGAAATGCAAGGGGAGCAAGAAGGTCAGGGGATGGAAGAGGCCGAGAAGATTTAATTAACAAACCTCATTGACACCTCCTCCCTTAGACAGAGTGCAGATCCCACCAATGAATGCCGTTGCGCTGTGGCTGCTCTTAAACGTGTTGCCCCTGTGGACAAAAGAGTCAGGGCATCAGAGTTAACAGAGCAATTCACGCTAGACAATGCACGATGATCAAACACTTGTCAAACACTTTCCCTCTTCATTGAGACGACACGATTTCACATCTCGAATTACCAGAAGCTGTTTCCTTGGATTGGCCACGATCGAGAAATAAACACATCGACTCTCACATCATTGACATTTGTGTTAGCTTCACTGGGACCACACTGTAAAAGGATTACTGCTACCTAATTAACCTCCATTAACTATACCTCACTAACTTCAACAATATCGCATGGGACACCGTGGGAGGCCATCTATGTTTCACTCATGGTGCTGGGAGGTGAACGACGAATTTAATTGTGCATGTGGTGTGCACTTGTGGTGTGTATGTGCGCGTGTATGTATGTGCATGTGGTGTATATGTGTGTGCGCGAGTCTGTGTATGCATGTCCATGTGTATGTGTGTGAATGTGTGTGAGAGTGTGTGTGTATGTATGTGAGTGTGCGAGTGAGTGTGCATGCGTGCGAGTGCGCAGGCAAGTGTGTGGAACTTGATATGTGGCGTGAAGATACCACACCCAGGATAGAAGCAGTGATCTGGATTAGTGCAGTCTTGTCTGGCTCGGGACCAGGACTAATGAGACCAGCGCTGGGGATCAGCTGGGGCGTGGTGTCTGATTGCCAGAGACAGGTATGTCAGAGGGAGCAACGGTTCCAAGGCAACAATCGTGGAGTCCTGTAGCTCAGTGGTTAGAGCTCTCGCTTTGCAAGCGAGAGATCTGAGTTCAATCCCAGGCAGAGGGCGAAACCTTGGGCAAGTTTCCTTACTCCACACAGAGCCTAATAATAATCCCTCCAAAACAAAAAACAATAATAAATTGGTCATTTTCAATCTACGACTGTTTGTGGGACATTGCTGTGCGCAATTGGCTGCCGCGTTCGCCCACAAATATACAGTCAATTCACTTTACAGTCTATTCTGTGAAGCGCTTTGGGACGTCCTCCCGACGTGAAAAGCGCTATATCAAATGCAAGGATTATTATTATTATTATTATTATTAACAATGTTCGTGAACCGCAATCGGACCGGGCGCGAGCCAGACTTACGACAGAAGGTGAATGGCGTCACTGTGGTCTCTGATCGAGTTGCGTCTGTATTTCATGAATTCCTTCAGCGTTACCAGCGGGTCCTCGTCAATATCAATTTTGTTTCTGGATGCCCACGTTTCCATAGCGACCAGCACAATCCTCGTGTTCAGCTGCTCCTTGTAAATCTGATGCAGAGGGAGACAAAAAAAACAGCAAGACGTCAGATGTGTTTTTCCTTCCAGCAGAATTCTGCCCCGAATATACAAAGCACAAGAGCGACGAAAGCGATCCGAGACCTGTCACCGAGACCTGCTCGTTTGAGGCGTCTTATTCTAATTATTATTCCTTTTCAGATTCAGCGGTTGATTAAATGGCCAAATTCTTATTATATATATATCTTTTAGAATAGCTGATTAACAAGTGGCAGGAAGTAGGAATCTTTTTCCAATTGGCATCCAGTGTGTGGTGTGCCAAAAAACTATTATTATAGTGTCATGGAGAGGAAATTAGGGTTACATTCGTTGAGAAAGGAGGCAGAGAGTTGGTATAAAACTGCTCCAGTATATAGTTTGGGACACGACATGTCCAGTGACTGCTAGGATGGTGGAAGGTGTACTAGATGGCCTTCTTTTCGCCTAGTAAATTCTTATACTCTTATGACATAAGTTAGGAGGTGTTGCGAAATAAGGCAGGTGAAAAAAAAATGCAAAGTGGGCAGAACTATGGCAGATGGAGTTTAACACTGAAGAAGTAACTTTGGACTGAAGAACAACAGTTGAGAGTAATGATCTAAACAGGAAACACTGGAAAACAACAGATAAGTAGAGAGACAGTGGTGATTAAATGGATTTGAGGTATTAGTACAGCAATAAAGCATTTGCTTCTCATCAAAACACCACATTCCACACAGACAGTAAGAGATTGTTGAGGACACATCAACCTATTTATTGGCTGTATAAAACTTACCGCATCGGCGAGATTCACCACAGATTTGGCGAAGTTATTAGTGAGGATCACGGAGCTACGCTGCTTTTTAAACTGTGGGAAGACGACAGACACAGTTTAATGCAACTGAAATTCAATGGAAGTTCAATCAGAATTCACTAAGAATAATCCTTGCATTTGATACAGGGCCTTATCACGTCATTGAGATATCTCAAAGCGCTTCACAGAATATACTGTAAAGTGAGTTGACTGTATATTTCGTGGGCGAAACATGGCAGCCAATTGCGCACAGCAGATGTATCGCAATGGGTGGGGAGGGGGGAAATAGTAAAACAATAACCGGACACATTATTAAAAAAAACGTTGATGGAACATACCAGAGCGTGATCATTCACGACCATCAGCTCGATGTACTTGGTTTCTCTCAGAACGGTGTGTTTGCCTCGACGAACCTGCAAACGGCACCACAAACAATCTAATGTGAAAGTTGCTAACATAGGAGCAACGAGCTGGTAACTCTCACAGAGGTTTCTCATCAAAGCGGGATCTTTAATGGATCTTTAACGGTACATTAGAGGCCTGAAATTTCCCCTACTCTGAGGCAGGAGGCCACTGTCCCACAAAAGTGCCCTTTCAATGGGTCCCATTTAACACATGCAGGTTCCCACTGATTCCATGACCTCTCTGGATGCACAGGGCTCCAACCCATCAGTGTAATATAGTCAGTATAGCGCCTCTCAGGTTGGGAGGATGTCCCAAGGCGCTGGACGGTCAGGAGTTTGGATCCGAGCAGAGGCGGGGGTTGGGGTAAGGTAGGGTGGAGGACAGGGAAGGTAGGGGTAGGAGGGTGGTCGAAGGCGCGGTCGAAGAGGAGGGTCTTGCGATGCATCTTAAAGGAGTCAAGGGAGCGAGGCGAAGGGAACGTGGGATGACCCGATCCTTTTACCTGTCGTTTGATCCGGGGCCTTAAGACGACTATAGAAGAGTTCCTCTGTGTGGCATTGTCAGTAAAATGAGCTACAAAGATTAACAGCAAAAGAATTATATGATTATATATATCACAGATGTATGCATCCCTTTTCGACACATTTCATTATAACTTTAAAGCACACAAAAATTCACCCAAAAATCCAAAATGTAGGTTTTAATTAATATCAACTTGAATTATAATAATAATAATCCTGACATTTGATACAGTGCCTTATCACGTCTTCGAGACGTCTCAAAGCGCTTCACGGAATATACTGTAAAGTGAATTGACTGTATAGTTTGTGGGCGAAACACGGCAGTCAATTGCGCACAGCAGCGTACCCACAAACAGTGGTGGATTGAAGTGACCAAATGATTGTTATTATTTTTTTTGATGGAATTATTAACTAATGGCACAGTAGGTACACATGAGCGTGACTTACCAAAAGAGGTACATTCTGGAGGGATGTCGAGACCAGGGGATCTGTACACCGTGTGTGGCTGCTGCTCATGCTGTGTGTAAGTCAGAGAGACGGATCAATGGGGTTAACTACACGTGGCCTGTTTATAATCAACTAACAAACGGATACATTTGAGAAAGTCTCCAAATAAGTGCCTTCATTTCCACGCAGTCACTAAACTCGGAACTCCAAACGGGAACAGACCTCCATCGCCAAGGTCAACGTTGAGTCAAATCTCTCAGGTCTGTCAAGCTCGGCAGTGAGGCAGATTTCCCTCTGGCACGTTGTCAAGTTTCTTTTGTTTAAATGTGAGGATAAAATGGAAAGGAGAGTGGGAGGGAGGGTGTGGGGGAGGGAGGAAGGGTTAACTTTGGTTTGAAAGCACTTCTTCCTAGAGAACTGTCCTCCTTTGATGGAACTGAGGACGTGAATTGCTGCTCTTTCAAAGGACATGAATCTGTTTGCCCACCATGGGATATAGAACAATGCACGTAGAACATCCCACATACACCCGTCTGTAGCTCTCCCTCTCATTATAAACTGTTAATCATCCGGCCCCTGATAGCTTATTACAGTGCAGTCAGAGGCCGCTGTCTCCAATTAAAAAGAAGCATTTTAGAAACACGAGAGCACAAGTAGGTTCCGATGGCAAATTACAGCAATTAGGCACTAAAAAAACCCCATTGCAAACTGAACACAACAGGAAAAATGAATTTCATTGTTGCCAGAGAATCTGAGAATTTGAAGCAGATTTTATCATAATAACAATAATAATCCTTGCATTTGATATAGTGCCTTATCACGTCGTTGAGATGTCTCAAAGCCATTCACAGAATATATTGCGAAGCAGATTGAACGTGTATTTTGTGGGAGAAGCGCGGCAGTCAATTGCGCACAGCAGCGTCCTACAAACAATCATGGATTGAAGTGATCAAATTAATTTTTATATATATACACACACACATAGTCTGTTTTACTGAGAGATTGGTTTCAATTTGGAGGAAGTGGGGGGGGGGTGGGGTGGAGGTTGAGGTGGTGAAAAGAGGGGAAAGGGTTAATCAACGTGCTGAACACACAAGACATCATGGCGACTGGAACTGACTTGACTGTGATGTGGGTTAACCGGCGGCGACTCCAGCAAAGAGCAACTCATCAATCAGAGGCATGATGCTATGCTCAGAACCGTGAGCTGTAGCAATAGCTGTCGACACTGGTGTAAAATTAAGAATCCCCACGAGCTGAATGTGATCCATTATAAAATATAAATTATTCTGGCTCGGATATCCCCGCTCTACTCTTTCCAGCAGTCATATGTCTTTCTGCACCCACCCTCCTCCGTCCCTTCGCCTCACTTGCCTCCTTCAGCACGCACCTCAAAACCCTCCTCTTCGACCGAGTTTTCGGCCACCCTCCTGCCCTCCACCCTCCCCGATCTCGACCCCCGCCAGCTCGGATCCAAATCCCTGACTGTCCAGCGCCTTGAGACATCCTCCCGACGTGTAAGGCAGGCACTGTGTAAATGTCTTTTTATATTGTGTTTGTATTTCTCCGAGAGGTATAAAATGGTGGATGCAGCCAACGTGCACCACTAGGACCTTAAAATAATCCTTGCGTTTGACACAGCGCCTTATCACTTTTTTTTTTGAGACATCTCAAAACGCTTCGCAGGATTTACTGTAAAGTGGATCGACTGTGTATTCTGTGGTAGAAATGCGGCAGCCAATTACACACAGCAGTGCGCCATAAACAGTCGTGGACTACATTTTTGAACATGCAGAAAGGGGGCTTGATGCCTATGTTGGATAGAACGGTGGTGGAAACCCAACTGGTTTTCGCGGCCCTGTTAACCCTTTCTACTGGTATATTGTAATCACCAGCCAGTTACCTCTGAAAGATTCTCTCTGTCAATGTGACTGCCACTGTTCAGACTCTTGATTTGAATATGAACACAACGCCAGTGAGATGCAAGCCAAGGATGATATTGACATGCTACTCTCTGATTACTTCAGAAACAGCTCTTCAAATTCTGAAATTCCAGTTCCAGGCTTTGCATTAAATAACATCCATTCAATAACATTTTGGGTCAGAACCTTATACAGTTACTGATAGACTTTATTTGCATAATAATAATCCTTGCATTGATATAGCGCCTTATCATGTATTCGAGACATCTCAAAGCGCTTCACAGGATATACTGTCAAGTGAATTGACTGTATATTTTGTGGGCGAAACGTATATCCAATGCCAACGTTACTAAGTTCTTTTGGACTAACTAGAAAGATTAGCTTTCCAGTCGTGTTAAATAGTCTGAAGGTTTGGAAGTATAAAGTCTTTATTAGTGTAATCCAACAGTTGTGTTAACTGGGTCATACTGAGACTGGGTCTCAATCCAGACCAGACCAAAGTAAATACAGTACGAGCAACGGAATTCTGCGATGCAAATGTGTTCTAAACAGCTCATAAAGCCCTATGATTTATTGATGACTAACTTTGGGGATTTCAGTGTTGCTTAGTAATCTGAACCACAGTTACCCACTGACAAGCAATGATCCCTTGTTATGATAAACCAGAAAGGTGCATTGCTAACGGAACTACTATAAATAGACCAAGAGATTGAGAATCCGTGTGCACATCTAAGTCTCTGTACAGAAAAGGCTTTGTGAGGATATCACATGCAATTCTACGCACGGTGCCAAGTCTAGATACTCGGAGACTTTGCAATCTCTATTTTTAGCACTCTTGTGGGAATTTAGACCAATAAGTTACATATAAGAAGTTCCACAACCTCAAGTGTGTAATTTATTCAGAGGCAGAAGAAGTTCATGTTCCAAATAAGAAACCTCAAAGCTGTGTGTCGTTGCCACTTTTGCTTTCTAAATCCGTGTTGCCAGATTGGGTTAGAATTAAAATACCTTTAAGACATCAAGTTCCTTTTTTGACACCTCTCCTATTTATGCCTCTGTCGCCACGTCAATCTGATCTTCCCATCTGTTCCCTAGCTATGCTGCATGCCTCCCATCTCCTACCACCCACAAAAATTTTGGGGGGTCGTTAGCTTCTTTTCAACCGTGCCTTCAGCTCCCCTCTCGACTCTCTACCCCCTCCTCGCTCCCTCCCTTCCCTCTCCTCACCCTGACCATTTCCCCCTGCTCGGATCCCGACCCAACTGTCCAGCGCCTTGGGACGTCCTCCCAACGTGAAAGGCGCTCTATAAATGAAATCTTCTTGTTGTTGTAAAGGGATGGATCATAATTCACAAGGAACAACACCGAACTTGAACACAACAATGTTCTGGCCCCACCTGGAATACTGTGTAGAATTCTGGGGGCCCTGTAGGAATGGGGACATCTTGATATTGGAAAGTGTGTCCAGGTTATGAGGAGAAACAAGCTGGGAATATTCCCACTGGGGTTGATTAAAAGGCTCAGGGAAATCTTATCTTCATAGCCAGTTGGGGTCCTCGAGGTCATAGATAAATTTAATCTCAAATTCAGTGGTAACTGTATGAAGGAAGCCGATAGTTTGGCTGATTTTACCTCTGTTAGTAAGTTTGGGATTTTTAGTCAACTTAGGATTTCCATTGTTAGTGATCAATAGTGAATCAGCCTCACCATTGAGACATCCACAATGTGATAATACGTTTAACATTGTCACAAAGTCTGCAACAAAACACACGGTCCTTAATTCAGCAACGGGAAAGTGAACTGACACTTTAGATATGACAATCATTCTTTGCACAGAGAGAGAGAGTGATTAACAACAACAAATTACATGTGTATAGTGCCTCTCATTAAAACATGGAACTGTCAACTTGGCAGGTGACGGAGGGAGATTGCCTCAGCAAATACAAGGGCGTATTGAAGCGCTGGTTAATGACACAATAGATAGTGTTTATTTTGCAACTGATCAGACGGTCTTAATTGATGGGCTTTCTTGATCCTGTGACTAACATTCTTAGTCACCAGCCATGTGGGGTGTCGGGGGGTTTAACACTCTCAACCCGCAATAAGATACCATGAGCAGTTTGTAAAGTCCAGACAGACTACCTTATTGGAGAGACCGTCACATTAGGAGGGATTGCCTTACCTCATCATCTTCACTGCTCCTTGGTTCAATGATGTACGTGTAGTTCCCATCATAAAACACACCGCTAGAGAGAGAGAGAGAAGCAAGAGTTAGTAAGTGATTAAGATTGGTTTTCTCACACTTTAAGAATCAAAGGTTGAAGCTGATTTGTTGTTGTTGTCGGGAACAAACCGTTTCCCTTTCATTAAGGTTCAGCAACGCAATGCAATGATGGACTTAACTTAGATGAGCCACTGCACTTCAAGCAAAAAGCTACCCCACTTACTTCAGTCCATGGCATGTTGAGATAGCCACGAAAGAGTTGGTGTTCCCTCTGATTTTCCCATGGTAATAGCAATGCTCTCCACCCTAGAAGGTTAATAACAGGTTGAGTGATGTTCACAGACCGAGTATTTAATTTCCCACAAGGAGGACGATAAATTCAGGAAGCCGAATGTGCCCGAGCAAGGTGAACCAGCTCACTCCACATGTTCCTTCCAATCAACATTTCCTCGCCCCAGATGTGATCAATAGTTACAGCACACGCTGATCCCCACTAATTGTATTGAGCTTCTGATTAATCAGCACATTAACGCTCAGAATTGAAAGCAGCGACTGTGCATAGAGTCCTGTAGCTCAGTGGTTGGAGCACTCGCCTCGCAAGTGAGACGACCTGGGTTCGATTCCCGGGCAGGGTGAAATGTTGGGCAAGTTTCCTTACTCCACACACCTCTGTTTACCTAGCAGTAAGTAGGAACCCGGTTGTTGGTCGATTGGTGGATTGCTTTTCCAGGAGTAATAATTCCTTCAAAAAAAAATAAGAATTTGGTCACTCAATCCACGACTGTTTGTGGGACGCTGCTGTGCACAATTGGCTGCCGCATTTCGCCCACAAAATACACAGAAGTCAAGTCACTTTACAGTATATTCTGTGAAGTGCTTTGAGACGTCTCAAAGACATAATAATAATAATCCTTGCATTTGATATAGCGCTTTTCATGTCTTCTAGACGCCCCAAAGCGCTTCAGAGAATATACTTTAAAATGAATTGACTGTATATTTGTGGGCGAATGCGGCAGCCAATTGCGCACAGCAATGTCCCATACACAAACAGTCGTAGATTGAAAATGACCAATTTATTATTGTTTTGGGTTTTGGAGGGATTATTATTAGGCTCTGTGTGGAGTAAGGAAACTTGCCCAAGGTTTCGCCCTCTGCCTGGAATTGAACTCAGGTCTCTCACTTGCAAAGCGAGTGCTCTAACCACTGAGCTACAGGACTCCACATAATAAGGCTCTATATCAAATGCAAGGATTATTATTATTATTCCCATCCCTCTGCCTCTGTAATCACACGGCTGATTAGGTAGGTAGGAAAGGGCAAGCAACATGTGCGAATTTGTGGGACGAAGTGAGGAGCTTGAGATCGATCAGTTGGGAGAACAGAAGAATGAAACCTTGGTAGCAAAAGCTTAGAGTTGGTAAGAACATGAGTGTGACTCCCTCAAAATGACCACTGCACTGCTGTGCTGTAATGGAAGACCTAAGTTTGGTAATTTGAGAAGGTGAAAAGAGAGGTTTTGGTGTGAAGACCCTTTGATCCATTTGATCTCCTCCCATTAAATGACTAAACTTCAATAACACTGGAAAACTGAAACCAAGAAACATGAACGGTGAAGATCATACAAAGTACTACACCAATCTGAGTTTAGTGGTGTTAATAACGTGGTTATATTGCTCTGGGAAAAATAATAATGTTTCATAGTGAGCGTATTAAGTTCTCTTTCATTAAAGAGAGATCTCTTGTCTTGTTTCTCATTCACATTTTCCACCAGCAATGTAACAAGACACACGATTTGCATAGGTTCAAGTGGAGGGGGTTCAGTTGCCTGGATAAACAGGTAAATTTGCACAATGACAACGAACATCGTAATTGAGTGGCTTATGTTTCGCCCCGGGTGGATAAACAAAATCAGTGGAGCAGAAAGTTGCGTGTAATCCACTCCTTGGTAATTGAACACCATCTGAAGTGCCTGACCGTCCATCAGCCCCCAAAGTAGCCCAAACTTTAGGACTCAAGTCAGACTACCCCACGCTTGTAAATGTAGTAAATATTTTACTGCCCAGAATTAAAAGCTTATGTTCTGTGTCCTGCCCCACACTCCAGTGTCTCGGGATATCAATCCCATTCCACCCCTGCTTTGCCATCCGGTACATTTTATTAAGAGCTGATGGATTCACGTCAAAATCTGCCAATGCAGTGATATAAAGTAATGGCAATGAACTCTTCTTAAGGGTATTGTTTTCCTTAATTATTTATATGTGCATAAGAAGACTGCAATTCCTTTTTCCTTCCTCCACTCACCCCACCCCCCATCCTTTAATGCATCTTTATTGCATCTTGTGCCACACAGAGTAAAAGTATTCCCATCTCTGCCTTGTGCTGTTAACTCCTCTCTGTCTGGATGTTTGAAGAGCCACTAACTGACCTCAGGCTCCTGAAAAATTAAATCAGCTGTGGTCCTAATCACATTTCTTTATGGACAGCTTCACCGAGTTCAAAATTAGTTAGGATTTGAGCTCACAGACCACACTGAGACTCCAGTGTAGTACAATAATAATAATCCTTACATTTGGTTCAGTGGTTGCTAGTCAATTGGTGGATGCCTTTCTGAGAGTAATAATCCCTTAAAACATTTTTTAATAAAAAATAATAATTTGTGCACAGCAGCATCCCACAAACAGCCATGGAGCGAGCAACCAATTTTATTTGGCGGGGGTTGTTGGCCAGGACACCAGGAGAGAGAAACTCCCTTCTCTTTTCCAATAGGGCTGTGGGATCTTTAACATTCACCTGGACAGGCAGGGGACCTCGGTTTAACGTCCCACCTGAAGGACGGCACCTCTGACAATTCAAGACCCACCCCAGTGCTGCATTGGAACGTCAGCCTCGACTAAGTCCTGACCTTGGGCTTGAACCCACAACCTTCTGACTCAGAGGCGAGAGTGCTACCTATTGCGCCAGGCTGACACACATACATTTACATGAGCCAGTTACATTGAGGCGTCTCTCCCTAGTACTTTGATGGCACCAAATAGGATTAACTGAAACTACACTTAACACAGTATCAACCCAGGGCCTGAGATGTACTGTGTGTGATGCAGCACATGTCTTGCTGTCGCTTACTGCAGATGCAAACAGGCTCAGTCAACAGCAGGAATATAGAGCTGTGTAGAAAGGGACATGGAGAGAAGACGAGCGAGCCAGAGGGTTGAAAGAGACAACAGAGCGCAAAGGAAGGAAAATGCCCAACAAGCAATAAGTACAATCAGAACATGACACCACAGCACAGCTGTAGGGGCACAGATTGACTACAATTAGGAACAGCAATCCCACACACAGGAATGGTGGCGCTTGATAATAATAATAGCATTTGATACAGCGCCTTATTGCGGCTTTGAGACGTCTCAAAGCGCTTCACAGGACACACTGTAAAGTGAATTGACTGGGTATTTCTACGAGAGATGCTGATGATGTTGATGACACACGAGAATGTGGATGGATTATTTCAAATACCTTTCACACATTCCAGGCTTTTAAAGAGGATGTTGTCTTCACACGCGTGAAATGTGACATCCTTTTATTGGCGTATAATTTTTTAATAAGTTTGTGTTACGTAAGTGTTCTTACACGGCATTGTACCAGCGATGGAGTTTATATAACCACTGTTCCCATGGTTACACGGGGGAAGGGACTTTAAAGCAACAAGCACATCTGTGTGGGTTTTAGCTGAATGTAAAAAAGGGAAAAAAACTAATTCAAGGCAATAGCAGTTCATTGGAGAACCTGATCGAATTACTGTGTCATCTCTACCTCCTGCAATATGATCATTACACAGGGTGATCATGAACAGATTTCAAACACTCCAATTCAATAGACTGTACCATTTTCAATATTAATTCTCTTTTTCCTTAAGCACTGACACACCTATATACTGGTAGACACACACTCACGTGCGCGCACACACATATGTACACGCACACATTCTTTAGAGCAACAATAATAATAATAATCCTTGTATTTGATACAGCGCCTTATCACGTCTTTGAGACATCTCAAAGCACTTCACATAAAGTGAATTGACTGTGTATTTTATGGGCGAAACGTGGCAGCCAATTGTGCACAGCAGCGTCCCACAAACAGTCAACACATTTATCTAACTTACGCTGCACTTTAAGTGTACTTTACCCAATGTCTGCGGTTATATGTTGATGTGGGAAATTAAAGATGAAATGATGCCCACAGTGAACAAAGCTTTTCTGCTAGCTTTTAAATACAATTCCCGTGCCGGTAATGGAACACTAAAATCAGCAATAAAATCCAATAAAAGGGTGAGTTAACATCAGCAGTTTGGGTCGATGTTACACTTGCGAGTCATTAACTTAGGGAAAGAATGGTTAAGTCTCCGGGGTACAGGTAGTGGACTCCACTGAATATTATTTATTTTTTTGGAGAGCTGAGTGTCTGACACTGCGGAAATCCATCAGCGTTGCTTTAGAGTCTCCAAATCAAGCTGAGAATTCCATGCATCCCACCTACACAAGGAAATTCCCAGAGATAGATTGTTGGAATGCGCTCTCTCTCTCTCTCTCTCTCTCTCTGGTGCTCCTACTTACCTAATTCCACAAAGTATTGGGCACAGGTTGGCAAGAGCCAAGGCTTGAGGGAAGCCCAGAGTGCATGCGTTGGGGTAACTGCTGGAGTCTAACCAGTTAAAACAACGTAGCTTGCCACTGATATCACTGTCTGGCAAGTTTTCCAACAGGTAGAGTGGTCCTACTGTCCAGCTAGGACCACCTTACCCGTTAGTGCTTTGGCTTGCAGGGTTAACAAGAGCTGAGTGGGATGATTCCCTACCCCCAGTGACTGCATATTAAAATGGATGCAAGGATTATTATTATTATCATCTACTGATGTTGTTATGACTGATATTTTCCCTTCAAAAGCTCACTGAGACCAACACACACATCAACGTCCAGCTGGACAGGTAGATGGGATCTCGGATTAAGAAGGACGGAATGTTTAATCTTTTCCTTCATTCTTGAAGAATATGTATTTATATTATTGTGCACTGTTTAGACTTGAATCTTGAGCGACGTCTCGCAAAGTTTGGTGTTTGTGGCAGATTCACCACCCTCAACACAATGAAAAGGTTGCCTCCGCCAGTGATTCAAGTCAAATCGTGACCTCCTTATATTGTGGCTGGTAATGGATTATGTTTTGCTACTGTGCAAACGGAATAAAGTTTTGGTGTAAATCGACAGAGTCAAAGGACTGCAGACAGTCAGTTAGAAAATGGTGCAGCGCATCAAATATTCTGGGTCTGGTGCATAAATTATTCATAACTCACTTGACGGTAATTTCAATTGGTGGCAGAATCTCAGTAACCAGCAGATAGAGACAGGCCAAATGTTTCTCTTAACTTGCTGTGAAACTTGTCAGCAACACAACTCCTGTTGTGTAGTGGTTAGAGCACTTGCCTCTCAAGAAAGAGCACCCAGGAGCACGAAACCTTAGGCACGTTTCCTTACTCCACACGCCTCTGTTTACCTAGCAGTAATTGGGAACCCGGTTTTTAGTCAATTGGCGGATTGCTTTTCAGGGGTTAATAATCCCTTAAAAAATATTAATAATTTGGTCCCTCAATCCACAACTGTTTGTGGGACATCGCTGTGCGAAATTGGCTGCTGCGTTTCACCCACAACATCCACAGTCAATCTTCTTTACAATATATTCTGTGAAGCACTTTGAGACGTCTCAACGACGTGATAAGGTGCTTTATCAAATGCAAGGATTAATATTATTATTATTATTAATAAGTGGAGAATCCTGTTGTCAACAGTCTGTCTGCAGTAACCCAATTCTAGTTCAGCTGTAAAAGGCTGCAGTTCTGCAGTTACTGCTGCAATACCGTCATTAATTATCCGAAACCCTTTATGTCATTAGCGCTTGAATTGTTAATTACAGGACAGAGCTTCACGAGTAAATTAATTCCAATTCGCTAACTTAAATATAAAAAAAAACTATTTTACCCACATTCTTGCCAGACTGCTTTTGCTTTTGCTCCCAGGAGCCCAACGGATAGATTTCAAAATCCTTGCCTCGACTGTCCTTTGCATCCTCTCAACAGCTCTATTCTCCCCCTCGTGACCTTTGTTCTTCCAGCTCTGTTTGTTCTGTTGCTCACTCGCTCCTCACTCCCTCAGCCCTACCATTGGGAAGCTCTCCTTGCTTATACAGACCTTTCGCAAACTGCCGTTTGGTGATTTATTATTTTTTTTAAGGTATTTTTACCCCCGGAAAAGCAATCTACCAATCCACTAACAATCGGGTTCCTACTTACTGCCAGGTAAACAGAGGCGTGTGCAGTGAGGAAACTTGCCCAAGGTTTCGCCCTGCCCGGGAATCGAACCCAGGTCTCTCGCTTGCGAGGCGAGTGCTCTAACCACTGAGATACAGGACTCCATTGTTGGACACTCGCACAGATTGTCTCTATGAACGAGTCATTTATTGTGTGTCACAGGAATCATGTTGTGTTGTGGCAATCACATCTCAAGGTGAACTTCATCAGATGAGATGTTAAACCCGTCTGTTTTCCTGTTCAAATGGACCCGAACAGATTTTGTGGTAAGAGAAGTCTCTCTCTCCCAGTGTCCTGGCGGACAATCCTCCAAGTAAATTCGGTCATTCACTCTATGACTGTTTGTGAGACATTGCTGTGTGCAACTTGGCTGCTGCATTTGACTGCAGAATACACGGTCACTACACTTCACAGCAAATCATGTGAAATTGTGCTGTATCAAATGCAAGTATTATTATTATTATTTAAAAAAAATACCCATCCTGAATTTGCAGTAGACAGCTGCTGTACTTCTAAAGCAAGATTGCCAGACAGCAGTGACAGTAAAGGTTATTTTAACTGTAAACAGAGCCGTATAATGTTGTTGTGCCACCAAGGCTGAAAGACGTAGTGAAGAGGCAGAAATAAGTGAACGATTGATTAAGTGACACCGAGCTTGGTGGCTATAAATTGATGGCAGGAAGGGGAGGCTAGATGCCGGCTGGAAACGCAGAGTGAAAGGACACAGTCATTGTCGTCTCATTTGAGAATCTCTAAACAGATTTGAGAAGAATTCTGTCGTTTTCAAATTTGGAAACATCACATAATTGGCGAAGAATAAAATATATTAATACATGTTCAATGATTTTAGAAATTCCTTGTGAGAATTGCCACAGACTAGTCCTGGTTTTCTTTCGATTGTCATTTTATGTAGAGGACAAAAAAAAGCCCAGTTGCTCTGACTGTACAATAATAAAATATTAAATCCATTATTGTGCCATTACCAATAGAAAATCCAGACTATAGTGTCTATTACTATTATTAATAATAATATTATTATTAGAGAAAGGAGTTTCTTTCCCCAGTGTCCTGCTCAACAATCTCCCAGATAAAACTGGTCACTTGCTTCATGACTAGGGGATAACACTGCGTGCAAACTGGCTGCTGCTGTAACCCACAAAATACAGTCACTACACTTTACAGAAAATTCTGTGCAGCGTATTGGGACCTCCTTCTGACGTGAAAGTCTGTATCAATTGTGATTGTGCTCAGAGACTCTGCCCAGCGGGAAGAGCGCTATATAAATGCGAGTTGTTGCTGTTGTTATTGTTGTTGCTATTATATATACGCGCGTAAAAAAATAATACATGGAAACCTTGCAAATCCAAAACTTTTGACATTACTTCAATATTGCACAATATTCTGGTCCAAGCCTCATCCTATTCCACCCAATTTGAGCAATTATTCCAGTATATATAGAAAGCCTATGAATTTGATTACTCCTACCCTCCAATTTGTCAATTTGCCTTCCTTTTTTCTGCCTCTTCACTACGTCTGAATACTTCAGAATACTTTATTCCACATAAATGCCTTTGAGACATCTGTGCACAGAGTTACATTTGCTGCAAGAGCGAGTTCTAAATACATGTTACGATCCCTGCTTGTACAGTCTGGAGCACCAAACCAACTCTGTCTGCCTGATAATAATGATAATAATCCTCGCATTTAATAAAGCGCCTTATCACATCTTCGAGACGTCTCAAAGTGCTTCACAGAATATAATGTAAAGTGAATTGACTGTATATTTTGCGGGCGAATTGCAGCAGCCAATTGCACACAGCAGCGTCCCATAAACAGTCGTGGATTGAATGATCAAATTAGTATTTTATTATTTTTTCTGGAGGGATGATTACCGCCGGAATATTGATTCGCCAATCGACTCACAACCGGGTTCCTATGTATAGCGAGGTGAACAGAGGCGCGTGGAGTAAGGAAACTTGCCCAACATTTCGCCCGGCCCGGGAATCGAACCCGGGTCCTCTCGGTTGTGAGGCGAGCGCTCTCACCACTGAGGATCAGTGAGCTCCTGTCGACGGCTGAGATCCACTGATAGACCTTCAGGCAGACCCGGTTACATTAAATCACATTATTTCTCACACTGATACAGAAATGTTATTCTCCAGTTCCAGCGTTCTACATTGTTACAATTAATAATTTATCTATTTTCATACAAGGAAAAGCAGCCGCTCACTGTATGAAATCGAAGCATCCAGACTGTTTGGTTTAACCCTTATTAATAAATAAAAGCAACGTTAATTATTTGCAGCGATTTCACATCAATTTTTGCTGCAGCGTTAAATTCACAAGTTTAGCTTTTCCTTTCTCCGTTCTCAGTTGCTGCTAATGCCGTGTAGGTCTGCAGACAGAAAAGGACATTCTGGCAGGAAAACTGCCTCCAGGCCTCTGTTTATCTCAGAGGGCGAGTGTCGTTCTCTGAGAACTTCCTTCCTACCCCCATCCTCACCCCTCTCTCCCTGCCCTTCACCCCTCCTGATGCCAACCTGCCAGCTCGGGTGCACATCCTTGACTGCCCAGCGCTTTGGGACGTCCTCGCTATGTGAAAGGCGCTATATAAGTAATAATATAATAATCATTTCATTTGGTATAGCACCTTATCACTGTAAAGCGAATCGACTGTATATTTTGTAGGCGAAACGCAAACAGCAGCGTCTCCACAAACAGTCGTGGATTGAACGACCAGTTTATTTATTTTTTTGGAGGGATTATTGCCCCGTTTGACCACAAGTACACAATTGCCACACTTGCTGGTGACTGCTGTGAAGCGCTTTGAGGCATTTATATAATACATTTATGTAACATTTCAGACGTTATATGGTATTCTTTATGATTTCTTCTCAAAGGAACAGGATAGGAGGCAGCAAATTAGGGAACAGGATTCGGGAACCTGGTTCAGGAAACTGGGCTACCGAGACCGTCACAGAGGGTTGACTCAAATCCAATATTCCGTGGCCAAGCAGGTCACCTTGGAGCCCACCATCCGACGAGGCCACCATGTTTGAGGCCTCACTTGGAGAGACTGGAAGAATTCCCAATATGTTCTATCCCCTCACCCACGGGTTCAAATACTGTTTCAGTGTTGCAATGTTTGAAAGGCTAAGAATCTCAAACAATCATAAAAGCTGGGTGGGTGGTGGGGGGACATCATTAAAATTAAAGAGCTCAATAACCCCAACAAAGCTCAGGCACAGTGGTACAGAACATCATCCTACCTGAGTTTCTGTAGGCTTTCCTTCCTCACTGAAATGCCTTTCAATGTACTGTGACGAGAGCAAATTGCTGATGAGAAAAAGACAAGGTACGTGTTACATTATGGCACAGAAACCGGCTATTCGGTCCAACTTGTCCGTGCCGATGTTTATGCTCCCGCACGAGCCTCCACCCCCTCCTGTACACTCCCCTATTCTCTTCTCCCTCATGTGGGCATCAATTTGTCTCTGACAAAATTTCCTCAACACTTGAGAAAACAGAAACGAACGCTGCCGATATAAATGGGAAGGTACAAAATACGCAGTTAATTCACTTCACAATGTATCCGGTGAAGCGCTTTGAGACGTCTCGACGACGTGATAAGGCACCGAATCAAATGCAGGGATTATTATTATTACTACAATAAGGTACTTAAACGATATTGCTTGTTGGCTTCTTGAACTCAGAGGCGATCCAACCTTTTGGCTGCTGAGAGTAAGATGAAATCATCCCCAGGTCGCATACCACCCACGGACCACTAGTTGAACCATCCTGACGTAAGCCGTTACATTGACGAGGCAGTGAGCGTGATGTAACCTCTTCAGGAAGCGAGCAACTGATTTATCAATTCCACCCAGACCGTGAAGGCCAAACCCGGTAAATAAAAGGCAGTTGCTACTGTAGACTCAGCTGACCATCCCCTTCAATAAAACTCTTCTTCCTTGTTTCTTTAAGAGGACTGACAGACCTCTCAGCCGAGGTTCAACCTCAGAGGTTCAATCGATACGTAAAAGCCATCTTAAAACCTCCACGGATTGTACAAAGTCTACAACTTCAACAACAACTTACATTTATATAGCGCCCTCTACGCAGGGCAGTGTCCCAGAGCGCTTAACAGTGGCGGAGCCTGACTCCAAGCCGAGGGCGGGGGGGGTGGGGGGGAAGAGGGAAGGAGGTGACCGAAGGCACGGTCGAAAAGGACGTTTTCAGGTGGGACTTGAAAAAGGGGTTAAGAGGAAAGAGGGGGCAAGACAGAGGGATTGAGGGAGAGTGTTCCAGAGATGTGTGACCTAGTTGAGAGGCAATCTACAGACGTTACAGCTTTATGATTTACAGACTGTACAGACTTCAACAAATTACGCAGGGATTCAACCTTCATTATCAAAGCTCTCAAATTACAGAAGAATTCTACTTTTGTTACCAATGTTCTCAAACTGAGAGGCTTCCTTGCCTGGTGCCTATGAACTTTAATATCGTCACCAAGGCAATGTACTCTTAAATTGAGCATAATACTTCCTATTGTATTAATGTGAAAATATATATACGTCTGACTCAGTAAGCATGATAGTGCCTATTAGCCACGATCAGTTTCCGACTGACTAACAACTGAGTTGTCAAACATGGAATACTAATGGTTTCGGGAACACAAGAATCTGGTCACCTCTCATCTCTGCTGTGTGCAACAATTTCCTCCATCCTGATTTCTCACACTAAGCCACAGACAACTCTCTAACAGGCACTCAAAACAGAGATCGCTGGGAACACTCATGCTGCATCTATGGAGAAAGAAAAGTGGATCCATGACTCTTTGTCAAAAACTAGGGTTAGGGTTAGAGTTTTGACGAGGGTTGTGGACCCGAAACGTTGACTCACTTTCAGATTTAAAATAGTATCTAAAAGAAGCCGAGGAGAGGTGAGAAGAAATTTTTTCACGCAGCGAGTTGTTCGAATCTGGAACACATTGGCTGAAAGGGCGGTCGAGGCCGATTCGATAACTACTTTTAAAAACACGGTGGACTGGTATTTGAGGAGGACGGGTTTGCAGGTTTATGGGGAAAGGGCTGGGGAGTGGGATTGACATTACAATCCTCTTTTCAAAGAGCCGGCACAGTCTCGATGGGCCGAATGGCCTCTTTTTGTGCTGTACGATTCTATGATTCCCTTTCCAGCAAAATATGCAGTATTTTGCGTTTTCTCTAATAGGCAAGTCTGCTTCCACAGCAGTTTTGTTCAGCCTGACCTTTCCGTAGATAACACGGCTAAACACCTCAGCATGTTAGCAAAGATCTTTCCTTTATTTATTTCGAAATGTGTTCTATTTAAAGAATTCTCTTCTCTCCAGGCATACAATAAAGAAGAGTGTAATATCTTGTTGGTAAGAGTAAGGGGCATAAATAATTGAGAGAGGGAGCTTCCAGTTATAATGGTACATTTTGCAATCGAAGAAATGTAAGTGTATTTGGATTGGGACACATCCAATAGGAAATAGAAAATCACAAGATCACAACAGCAGTTTGGATGAAGAATAATGATCGGCCCATTTGATCTCATCCTCCCAGAATAGTCATCCATCCAACCAACCGTCCATCACAGCACTTAAGATGTTGGCCTGGCTCAGTTGCTCGCACTCTCGCCTCTGAGTCAGAAAGCTGTGGATTAAAGCCCCACGTTAGGACCTCACACTCACAGTTCCAGGCTGACACTCCACTGCAGCACTGAGGATGTATTGACCTTACAATGGGGGGGAAGGGGGGGTGTCTGTGAATCCAGCTCATTAATGTATACAAGGACCAAGAGGGGTCCCAGTCAGAAGAACCCTAAGCCCATTAATACCTCTCCCCAGTTTGACCTTAGCTCCCCTTATACAAAACAACACAATACAATTCAGAGCACCTGTCACATTGGGAGGAAGTCTCAAAGCCCTTGTAGACAGACAGGGCACAATAATTTATCACCGGCTCCAGAGGGATCCAAATTAGAACGCGTTGGTGATAATCTGTTTCAGATGCTTCATCGAGTTTGAGCTGCTCTCGTTTAACACTCGACTGAAGGAGAAAGCAAAGGATGCACTAACTATGCATTAACGCAAGGCTGCAGACAACCTTGCATTGTCTCATTCGAGTGGTCTTAGCACAAGTGAGTAAATACAAATAACCCGAATTATAACCGAATGTCAATATATTTGCACTGATTTGGAGGATTGTGTCCACCTGCCTGTTGAGGTCAGTGGCATTATAACTCGATCCAAACCAAGGGTGCGTTCATAAGCTTCTTTACTTATTAATCCAAACGCTCAAAAAACCCACTGCTCTAAACGACACACACCTTGTCTCACTCCCAGTGTCCATGTGGAGTCCTGTAGCTCAGTGGTCAAGCGAGAGACCTGAGTTCAATTCCAGGCAGAGGGCGAAACCTTGGGCAAGTTTCCTTACTCCACATGACTAATAATAATCCCTCCAAAACCAAAAATAATAAAATTGGTCATTTTCAATCTATGACTGTTTGTGGGACATTGTGTGCGCAATTGGCTGCCGCGCTCGACCACAAATATACAGTCAATTCACTTTACAATATGTTCTGTGAAGCGCTTTGGGACTTCCTCCCGACGTGAAAAGTGCTATATCAAATGCAAGGATTATTATTATTATTTGTACTTCCTGCAATTCTTCTTCTTATTGACCCTTCTGTTCATTGTCAATTTACTCTTGAAGGAGTATTCCAACAGTGACAAACACCAGCAACCACAAGTTACATTTACACGGCGCCTTTCACGTCAGGAGCACGTCCCAAGGCGCTGGACAGTCAGAGATCTGCACCCGAGCTAGTAGTTGGAATCAAGAGGGGTGGACGGCGGGGAGGAGAGGGGGTAGGAGGGCGATCAGTGGCACGGTCGAAGAGGAGGGTCTTGAGATGGGTCTTGAAGGAGGCAAGGAAGCGAGCGAGGCGGAGGGACTGTGGGATGGAGTTCCAGAGGGTGGGGGCAGAGAGGCTGAAGGAACATCACTGGGGTGCTACAGCATGCAATTGACTGATGGTATCCGTGCTTCCGCCCGGATACAGTCACTTACTCCCAATTCTTTTGGGGAAATCAAGCTTCAGCACAAACAACATTTGCTTCGAAAAGAATAAATGCAGCTGCCAGCTCTGCAGCAGGTGCAGGGCATTTGTGGCTCCTTGGCTACAGACAGACCTGTCCCTTGAGCCATGTCACTGCAAACCTCCTTCATTTGCCTGGAAATCACCTGAAGCAAAACAATTAGCAGTTGCCGTGACTTTCACAGCCACAGGTCTCTGTGGCAGTGGGGCACCTGTGCAACCACCATCAGCGTTTGCAAATCACATTAACTTAACTGGTTCCCAACCTCCCTGTGGATCAATGCGAGGTTCAGGTACGTGAAGCAAATCCAGGAGGCTCCGTGGACAGAGCAGAAAGCGCTCCAGGGAAAGTTGAAAGAGGTTGTGTTTGCTGGCTTGTCTGAGCAGGGTGAGACAGCAACGAACAAGGAAAACAAGATACTATTTTGCATAAGTTGTGTGTTCGGCTGCTTCTGAAGTACTGTATCCATTTTTTAATTACTGCATCAAACCAGGGCCTCTATACATAACAACTACAACAACAAATTACATTTACACAGCGCCTTTCACGTCAGGAGGACGGACCAAGGCGCTGGACAGTCAGGGATTTGGACCCGAGCTGGGGGTTGGGATCAGGAGAGGTGTCACAGAGAAGAATAATAAGACTGATCTCCGACCTAAGCTATGAGAAACAACCAGATAAACTAGGGCTCTTCTACCTAGAAAAAGGTTCATAGGATTGAGAAAGTAAGCTCACAACACTACGCTTAGATATAATACAAGAGGACATAGGTTCAGTGATGTGAAGGATTCTCATCTCACATTCACCTTCTCTTCCACTGATACAATAGCTAATACTTAGGTGAGACACTTTTGAAATAGTTCATGATTAATGCCGTATCTTAGTTTAAACTGGACTTGCAATGAATTTGAGGATGTCCTTTGAGAATCTACCTTGAGAAGGAATGCTAATCACTAGCTGTTATGTCGAACCTTCCTCAGAAAATGTAGAGTGACATTAATACCATAAAAAGTACCATTACTGTCAGCTGCCTCTATTAGATCCCCTTTCAACCTTCGATCCTATCCAAAGAGGTCAGCTTTCTGTTTAAGAGAGCTATCGGATGATCCAATTGACTCAATAAATCTAATGTTTTAAGTGCTCGGAGCTACTCTCTAGCTAACAGGGAATTGAATAAATAAAACATTCTGGTCAGTAACATTCCTTTCGACCGCTCGGTGAAATCCCATTTAAATCCTTCTGCAATAATGATGTTTGCAACGTCAATTAACAAGAGGGTTTTGTAGCATTATTAGAGATTAACGGCAGCCAAGTTCTTGCTAATTGATCACATCATGTCATTAGCTTTTTAAAATAACTATTCCATGATTGAAACGTTGTCAGCCATGGTTCTGAATATGCTTCTTTTTCAATAATTCGTTGATATTGATTACACATTTCCGTCTTGTGGAATAAAAAGGAAAGGTAAATTCAACAACAAGTTGCGTTTACACAGCGCCCTCCACACGGGATAATGTCTCGTAGCGCTTAACTATTGGTGAGTTCGACACTGAGACAGGGAGATAGAGGAGGTGACGGGGCATCGTCTTAATTAATGCATGAACATGGAAACTTTGTGAATTGGATTATCTGGAGAGGCAGTGGAGACAGATTGTATCAGCAAATGCCCCTCGTCTGTGCTGTAAATTTCCATGGTTCTAAATTCCAATGGGGTTGGACAGCTATTTGGTGAAAAAATTGATTGAGGGGTTTGAGAGCCAGCAGGGACAGATTGGGCCAAGTGGCCTCCTTCTGTAAAGTTCTATAAAAATAGTGCAGTATGAGCTTACTTTATTGGGGATGAATTGTATGGGACGCAGTGGGCTTTTACTGTCCTCTGTACAGAACCTCCTTCCACAGCCTTGAACAGAATGCTTTTCCAATGTTTCTCTTTAAATAACATCAAGAAAAAGGTGTCAGTGCCCTCTCTGTGCACGTGGGCGGAATTTGGATGATTGGCATTTTTCGGGCCAATTTAAGAAAGTGCCGACAAAGAGGATGTTTAAATTCTTCCTCTTCGACCGTGCTCACGGTCACCTCCTTCCTCCCCCCCCCACCACTCCATGGCTTGGCGCGAGCTCCGCCACTGTTGAGCACCTCTGAGAAGCTGCCCTGCATGAAGGGCACTACATGAATGCAAATTGTTGCTGTAAACCAGGCTTCTTAATGCACTTCACTGTGCTGCCAGCAGTCAGTCCGATGCTCCAGAACCTGGGCTTGTGAATTAAGTGTTCAGTTCACAGCACTGACAAAACACACCTTCTCTCTCTCTCGCTCAGCACTCAGCTGCTGGAGCTTATGTGATATCATATTGTCTCAGTGGCTACTGATGGAGCCTGTCCACACCGCACGCCTTCAGCTTACAATGTAAGACCTGTCCTGAAATTTCCAGGGCTCTTCCATTTCACAGACCAACGTCAAACAACTCTATGACCCTGCAACACAAATATCCAACTACGTCTGCCCTTGATAGAATACGACAAGGATGGCTCAACCCTTGCAAAACCACTTGACTTGGAGAATGATATCTTAGGTAATTAATAACCACAGAATAACATTATTGCCAGAATAAAACTTAACATTTGGCAAAATAACGACATTCATGTATATACAGTACACGAGGAAATGTACACTCATTCTATGCACTGACTTTTGTGGATAAACTGATGTTTTTACCCAAACAATATTTTTACAATATAAGGCACTATATCAAATGCAAGGATTATTATTATCATTATTATTAAGATACTTACTGGTTTAAGTCTAAGTCCAAAATGAAGGATGAGTCGAAAGCTTCTATCAGAAAGCTAGCTTGTGCAAGATGAATAAACTGTAAAATAAAATGAACAGTATTATTAAATGGTCTTTGCAGTCCTCTCAATACACGACAAGCTGGTCCTTTTGAGGTTATAACTAAGAGGTGAATTGCTTGATCCAAGGTGAAGAAATACGATTAATTCAGTTGCAAATGCTGGCTTTTTGGATTATCCTTGACAAGTGTGAAATGGAACTACTGTGTACATTTACAATGACTGGAACTGTGAATGCACAATGCAAGGTTCAACCGCGCCTTTGGTCACCCTTCTACCCTTACCCTCCCTGCCCTCCACCCCTCCAGATCCCAGCCCCCAACTCGGGTCCAAACCCCTGACTGCCCAGCGCCTTGGGACGTCCTCCCACCGTCCCACCCTCCCTCCTGAAAGGCAAAATATAATTTGTTGTTGTTGCAAATAGCAAATAACAATGTTTGAAACACTAATTTAATTAATTCGTGTAACGAAAGATCAAACTACAAGGAACCTAGGGGAAAGAATTCTCAGGCTTTGCTCTCAGTATTGTGCTAGCGACATGCGGTTTATTGTTGCATATTTGAGCATCAAAAGGTTTCCTAGTACCTCAGAAAGGGAGCATCCTTTGCCCACACAAGATCTCTGATTCATTTGACACCAAAGACATTTTTACCTTGTATATTTTGCCGGGGATGATTGCTCACATTAACAGCCAATGTCCTCCATTTGGGAACACACACACAACCTTAAAAACAGTTTCCTGCAATCTATCAATACTTTAATATGTGGGACACTGCCATGCGCAACTGGCTGCCACGTTTCGCCCACAAAATAGGCAATCAATTCGCTTTATACTATATCCTGTGAAGTGCTTTGAGATGTCTCTCAACTCTGTGATAAGGCGCTATATCAAATGCAAGGATTGTTATTATTTTATTATATTTTAAAAGGCATTTTCTTGTGTGTGGGCGTGGGAGCGGTGTGGGGGGGGGGGGTGGGGGATGGAAGTGGGGGAAGACAAACAACAGAAATACAAGGATGATCATCTTAAAGGCTTACATGAGCACGGTTCGTGTTGTTTTTGACTCTGGTGTTAAGCAAGTCGTGTGTGATTTCGTTTTCTGAATGGATGCTGTGGATCAATCTCTGGGGCTGAGTAACCTCTTGTAGGACTGATCTGCCTCTGCAATGTTCATTCCACCTCTTCCCAGCCTGGGTCTCTGATTTAATAAGACCTTGAATAATAATAATAATAATAATGATGATGATGATGAGAGAGAAAAAACACACACAGACACAGACACACACAGTAAGAGTGTGGAGGGAGGGCAGGGAGAGAGAGAGAGAGAGAGGGTTGGGTGTGGAGAAATCAAACGTTTAGTGTAAAATAGAAGGAAGGTATCTGACTCTGCATTGATCAGGAATCTTCACTGATAACCATTAATAACTGTGAGACAACATTGCAAGGGCGACAGGTTCTTGCTGGGAGTGCCCTGGTACAGGCAACACTGCAGAATTTTCTGTTGATGCAGCAATGGGCTAAAAATAATGGACGAATTGCAAATTTCACCCACGCACAGGACACAGAGAGACAGATTCACCCCCCAGTGAGCTAAACTTTATTCAAATGGAGGGAGGGAGGAGAGGGAGGGATGAAAAAAAAAGGATGATTCGACAGTAATTACAAAAAGCGCCAATTTTTAAAAGTGACAGAGAGAGAGAGAGAGAGAGAAAATAAAGGTATTCATTGCCTTACCTGTAGGGTAAGTGATACAGAATAATGCACAGAAAATCCAAGATTGCATTGGAGTCATATTAATTTCCACAGCAGAGCAGCTAAGACTATGTTCATAAAAGGTTGACTTTTTTGTCTCTCTCTTTGTCTCCCTTTTGTTTTTCTTTTCCTTTGACTTAAAAGGATAGGCGATGGTTGAGGAGGAATCTTGTCTATGTGGTCTGTCTGTCTGTCTGTCTGTCTGTTTGCTGATGGGTTGGACCCTTTCCATTCACGCTCCTGCAGTCAGTTCCATCAAACGTTTTGTGAGAGAATAAATAAAGCCTCTCTCATCTCATCTCATCTCTCACCCAGATCCACTCACTGGCACCTGCAGGATTTCAGCTCAATGCACCATTCTGGGAGAAACCCAGCCTACACTGCAGTGGCGAGCTGCCAGCAATAATAATAATAATCATAATAATACTCATAATAAGACTGGTAACTGGTTCGTGTTGCCACTGTCCAGGTCATCATCGACGATTAGCAATAAGCTGTGGTGGGGGTTTGGTGCATTTCCAGCTGTATGACATCTCCAATCAGACTCCAACTCTATTTAACCCTATTTCATTTCTGCTCAGGTTCCTAACGTCCATCACTATGTGCTTGTTTCACTCTGTTCATTTCTCTCTGACTGACTGGGAGATTCAGTGGGTGAAGCAATCAATGTTTTTTTTTGAAAACACGTTGCCAAATTTCATGTCAAGCCTGGGCTTGCATGGGGTTGGATGGTGGGTGGGTTCTTTTTTTTTAACACTATGGCGCTGTGCTTATGGTGCTTCGGGAGGAGGGTCTTTTCCAACCGTTTGCAGAGGCGGAAAACATCATAAGAGTTCAAATCAACAACAGCCACACATTGCATTTATGCAGCGCCTTTCATGTCGGGAGGACATCCCAAGGTGCTGGACAGTCAGGGGTTTGGATACGAACTGCGGGTTGGGATCGGGAGGGGTGGAGGGCGGGGAAGGCAAAGGTTCTAGAGTCAACAAGTGATCCCTCTCCCTCCCTCCCCCCCACTGGAAGCTGGCTGCCATGTTATTGGGATAGGAAGGAGGCTTTAGCGAAATTAAGTGCTGCTTACAACCGGAACATATGTAAGGCACTAGTCATTGATAGTCACAAATACAAAGCATTCCTTCATTCCTTAATGTGCTATTGAGAGGTTAGTTTGACTGTGGATACCGAACTGCAGGACCACTGTCAGTACTGTGTGCTGTAGGGAGAAGGAACACAGACCAGACCTCACAAGACCAGAGAGTGTGTGCGCAGGACATAGAGAACTCTCCTAACCATGTTTGACCCTCCAACCATCCTTTCAAATCCTACTCCTACCACTCCTCCTCACCCCCACCACAGGTTCCCAGTCAGCTATGTGAAATGCTTTGAGACATTCTCCCAATGTGAGTGGTGTTATAGTATAAATAATTGTTGTCCTAAATTGGATACAGCTTATCGGAGCAATGTGCCGCACAGGGGGCCAGAATCTTACTGCAACTTTCAAACTCAAGTAAGAATTATTGGTTCTCCCAGTGCTATTATTGGTTCTGCTCTGGGACAAAATGGAAGGTAGGGGATGGAAACAGCACCACTTTACAGCCGTGCTTTAGAGGACCTGAAAATTGGTTACTGATTAGATGGCTACCTTCAAACAGTAGGGAAATAATATTGATCCTTGCATTTAATATAGCGCCTTATCGCATTGTTGAGACAGCTCAAAGCGCTCCATAGAATATACTGTAAAGTGGAGTGACTGTGTATTTTGTAGGCCAAACTATAAACATTACAATTTAAAAAATAAAATAATTATATAAAAATTGTATTTTGCAGGGATGAAATCAACCACCAGTGGATAAGAAATAAGTTTACTTATGGGAGGTGGATTTGTAGAAACTCCTAGTGGTGTGTACTTTCCATTTAGAACTACAACACTGAAAACATTGATATAAAGAGAAGCACAACTCACTTTTGGATTAGGCAGAAGGTCAGGATAAAGGTGAGCTGCTCAGTCATCTTGGCATCGAAGTGAACGAGAGGAAGCAGAATTGCCACCACTGTAATTTCGGCTCGATGTTCTTTTCTTATAATGGCTCCCCATAAATTTCTCAAATGTAAACCAGATGCTAAAAGCCCCGTACAAAAAAATCAATATTTTTCCCCACTTACCGCTGTCTTCTCTTGTGGATATCATTAATATTAGAACAAAGCAAACTGAAGTGAGGAAGGTCGATCGGCCTATTAAACCCATTCCTTTACACAGACCGTGCAAAAGCAGATTCCAACCCACCGATTTCCTTGAGAAACTCACGCGCCTGTCATCCACCTACCACCCATTCTCAGAGCAACTGACTGTGGAGTATCATATGACAACTGTCCTACCCCTCTATAACTCACTCAGGTCAAGGTTTGTTTTAATAGAAGAAACAGGAGGAAACCATTCAGCCCCTTGAGCCTGTTCTGCTATTCTATAAGATCATGGCTGATCTGTACTTCAAGTCCAATTACCCGCTTGCCCTGTATAATAATCCCTATCAGTGCCTCATTATGTCTTCTAGACGTCTCAAAGCGCTTCAGAGTACACTGTAAGTGAATTAACTGTATGGGCGAAACGCGGCAGCCAATTGCGCACAGCAGTGTCCCACAAACACTCGTGGATTAGGCGATCAAAGCATATACCTTAATACCCTGACAGAATATCTATCTTAATATATCTTAATATCTATCCAAAGAAATCAACTTAAAAGTTTACTCCAATACAGTTACTTTTTTTAAAGTCCATTTTCACAAAATATTTTATTAAGTTGTAAATCTTGAAAAAGAAATTTCACAAAAAATAAATTTCAATCAGAAAGACTCGCAGACGGATCAGTTACAAACGGAATTATATTTCAAAGGTTTTCCAGGAAATAATTCCAGCTGAAATGTAAACTTTGTGAATACAACTATACGCAAGTATAGATCTTAAAGAGCTTCCAGTGAGGTTCCAGAAGACAAAACACAAAAATTAAGAAGGCAATCTCGTACTCTATTTTAGCACAAGAATGACACTTGTTGATTGACTCAATACAATTCAGGACTGACTTTAACTGAATCCTGACATCTTGAGTTTTGCTACATCAGTAAAATATCATTGGGATACGAGGGCAGGACAATAAAGATTTTTCTTCCAGAAACATATTCAAACCGGAAATGGATTAATCTGTAAATAATGATAAGATATTTAAACACTTCCAAAATCTGGCAATCAAGTACAATTTTTAAAAATATATATATAGTTCATAATCTGGTTTAGCATCCCTCGTCCAGAATGCTAAACAACAGCAAATCCACGTTGTGTGTCTCCCTGAATACATTGGAATACCCAACCTCAGTGCTGGTTAGTTAGTGCTTGAATCAAGAAAACTTAGGGTCTGTCTGTAGGCAAACTACTGTTGCATCAATATGCCTCATACCAGCCAAAGAAAATATTTAGCATTATTTGACGATCCAGCTCAAGGAACGGTTGTGTTGTGAATGTCAGCTAAATCCCGATGAAGGGAAACCTGACATGGCAGATCTACACAAGGAAAATACCCCGTAATAAGATTTTTTTTAAGATGGTATTTGATGATGAAATTATTCTCCAGTACACTTGAAGTCTATTTGGGTTCCAACATAAATCTTAGAAATACCGTATAATCTGGGCTCAGTGAATGAAATTGTAAGCGTGAATTGAAAAGCCGTTCTCTGCCATTTAGTGGCTCTTCAAGGCAACATTCCAGGGTCCATTTCTTTACATGATATGAACAAGTGTGTATCAAGCAGAACAAGGCTGTAAGTGGTGTGAATGGGAATTGATACAAACGTAAGCAAGTCCTGGATAGAACACAAAAAGGTCACATTCTCGTGGTCTCACCCAACAGCTACTTGTCAATAGTAGAGTTTTATTTAGTCTCTTGCAGAAAATAATTTCTCACTGTTTTATAAGGAAAATACTTTCTACTTTCTAATAGTATATTTTAGTAACAAGAAACCCTTGATCGGGCTCACAACATTCGCACTATTTAGGAGATTTAAGGGAAAGGAGTTCAAGTGAATTGGCATTTAGGTTGGGAAATATGTTCTAAATGTCTAAACCTACATCTGTAAGTATATTCAGGTGTTACATATGAAGCAATTATCTATTGTACCATACATTCATCTTCAGAATTGAAGAGTATTTGTGCTAAGTCAATAGACCCATTTTCTGAATCAATTCATGTTGTTTAGTAGAAACCACAGTAATGACTGTCCCGAAAAGAAACCATGTTAAATTATACTGTGAATGTTGTGATCAAAGGGGGTGAGCGGGGAGAATACCTCAATCTCCTTTTGAGTAAAACACAATATCCCATTCCATTACAGTGAAGGTCATGGAACTGTGTGTTACTCAATATATTGCACTCTGTTAGAAAGTAAAGAAAAAAAAGTTCTACAACTAGAAATAACCAATTCATTTTGAATCCTTGCTTTTTAAGGCAGCCTCCAATATTTAGATCTTAAATATAAATGATTCAGGGCCTAAGAGTGTAAATGGTGTATGGTTGCATACTATTAATTTGTGCAACCATCCACATAAGGCTCATATTTTATAGAACAGCACCGTCTTAGTTTGGCAACTAGTGAGATTTTTCTCTTTACTGATCCAGAATACTTAAGATTTCTCTTTTAATGCGGAGTACAACTGAGTCTCATACTCAGCATCTTTCACACTGATGCAAGTCTTTCTCAAACGTTCCATGTCAACAGGCTGGCCTTTGGTAACAGTTTGTACGTTATCGAGTCTTGAAGGCAGCTGACTATCCCAGTCAGATTCTGATGAAAAGCTAACTGCATGAAATACACCGTCTTCTTCAAAGAAAGAACGGCAGAGACTGGATATGTTGACAGAATTCTTATCTCCAATATCAGTTTTAAAATTAGTTTCTGAAGACGGGATGATGTCAAATGCTGTGGAATTTGCGGGATTGGGCGTAGGAAAAGACACCTGAATTGCAGTATTTTCAGTCACGTCCCAACGACCAACTTCTTCATTTAGGATTTGGGGTTCAGGCACAATTTTATCTTTAGCCTGATCGATCGCATCGCTCTGCGGAATTCGCGTTGTTTTTTCTTCATGCAGAAGAATTGGACCGACTTGAAAAGGCAGGATTTCTTCTATCACTACACCTGGGACTGTAGTGCTTTGCAAAGAATATGGTCTCTCTTCATTATCCCAAATTGTTCTTTGTGACATCTCCTGATTTTCACCTTCATCTTTAGTCCCACTGCTCTCAAAGTCTACTGGCGTTTCAATAGCAGTAAATGGCCTGCAGGTGTGCTCTAGCAAGTGGGAATCCTCTTCCATATAAACTTGCTGAGACTGTGTAGAGGGTGCTGGATTTTGTTCAACACAAGAATGAGGACGTGAAGTAAAGTGTTTGTCCACATTGGGCAACGTAACTTTATAAGGGTACTCTGTATTTGGTTGAAAACTAAGATCATTAATACCAGGAGAAACACAGTTTTTAGGAAAATGGGTCAGCCCACATACATTAGCCAAATCATCCAGTCTTGGGCTCTTCTCAGCTTGAGAGCTCCCGTCACCAGATCGCTTGCGTTTTTTTAAACTGTAATGATTACCCACTGCAATGATATCATCACCCTCCACTTTCCATGACTTACAAGTGACACAATATGAAACGTTTTCTTCGGGCTCAGCTTTAGATGTGAGGTTTACATTTGCCGGTTTGTCCTGATGGCAACTGTCTTCAGTTTCCTCTTTGTCAGAACTATGCAACATGTCTTGCACAGCAGTAGATGTATCTGTAGCAGCCAGCTCTGCACAAGGCAGGTGGTAACTAGCTACTGGTTCTTCTGTGTCTAAGGCCGATTCACTGCGACCCGGAGACTGCACCACAAACTGTTTACAACATAAAGCTGTTTGATCCATAGCAATGCAGGACAGCAGCTCCTTATTTTGTTGAAGGTGACAGGTTCCATGTGCATCAAGATCCAGTTGTTCAGTTTGCTCGTCCCCCATTCGGTCAGGCCCTGCTTGGTGCAAGCTTGAATTCGGACCAATTTCTTCATTAAAGTCTTCCAGAAATTCTACATCAAAACTTGCCAGTTGACCTCCTGCTGCTACAGATTCAGGTGAAAGCGTTTCAATGGCAGGACTGAGGTACTCAACAGGCGGTAATGATTCATGTCCATTTTGGTTAATAAGCTTACAGGAGTTGAAATAGAGTTGAGGGATCTGAAAATAAAAGTTAATAATAATAATAATCCTCGCATTTGATACAGATCCTTATCACGTCTTCTAGACATCTCAAAGCGCTTCACAGAATACACTGTAAAGTGAATTGACTGTATATTTTGTGGGCGAAACACGGCAGCCAATTGCACACAGTAGTGTCCCACAAACAATCGTAGATTGAGTGACCAAATGATTATTTTTTTTTGAAGGGATTATTACCCCCGGAAAAGCGATATGTCAATTGACTAACAACGGGGTTTCTACTTACTGCTAGGTAATCAGAGGCCTGTGGAGTAAGGAAACTTGCCCAGCATTTCGCCCTGCCGGGAATCGAAACCAAGTCTCTTGCTTGCGAGGCAAGTGCTCTAACCACTGAGCTACAGGACTCCACGTGTCCTTCATTAATCTTCATTACCAAACACACAGACAATCACCCGGGTACAAATTTGAAACACCCCCAAATATTCTTTGAACCACTTTCAAGCAAATCTAGTACGAAAAACCATGGACTGCCAGCCAGCCTCTGAAACTTAATTATTTTGAAAATCAATCAATGATTCATTCCAGAAAGGCACAGCATTTCAATCTCTGGGAATGTTTGGGGTTTTGAAGAGAGAGAGAGAGGAGAGAGAGATATTAATGCTGAGATGGATCAATCTTCCACATCAAACACTCACAGCCATTTGGCTTTGGCCGGATAGTCAGTAAACGTTCTTTCAACTACCTTCAAATCTGTCATTTGAAGATCAAGATCTACTGTGGCAGTTTTTCCACTTTGATTTCTTATACAACCATATCCATACCATCTGAATGAGATATCTTACTTTTTTATTATTAATAATAAACAAGCTTTGCATTTGATATAGGACCTTTCATTTCAGGGGGTGCCTCAAAGCACTTTATGAGATTTTAATGTTTTCTCCCACAAACAGCCATGAAATGAATGACAGATTTAATCTGGGGGATGTTTGGCCGGGAGAAACTCTTTTTGCATTTTGCCAAGGGATCCTTAATGCCAATCTGAACAGCAGATGGGACCTTGTCTGAAGGACAGCACCTCTAACAATGCAATGCTCCCCCATCGCTGTATTGGAGTGTCAGCATAGCCTATGAGTTCAGAGACCCAATGTGAGGTTTGATCCTCCAACATTCTCACTCGGAGGCAAGACCTGAGGCTACCTGAGCCAGGCTGACAGTTATGGTCACTTTTGGTCCAAATTCCACACCAATGAGGAACTAGGGGTGAGATTTGCCAAACTCATGTGATGTGGTTCTCCTAACAATTACTATAGATGATTCTTTCACATTAATATCCCTGCTAAATTCAAACAAGTTCCATTTCCTCCCACTCTAATACCCAGTCCTTCATAGCTGATTTTAGAAATGTATTAGAATACATTTAAAATAGACAGTGCGAGACAAATCTAACAGGTTCAACGATCATTTAAGAATAATGTACCCACTCAACAGAATCAGTCTGAATGGAAATACATTCACAAAATAAGGACAGAGATGAAGTGTATGCAAAATTGGGATTATGAAAGTCATTATCACCGTTGGATGCATGCAGTATTTTGGTGCTCTGCAAATTCATTTTCTAAGTGAGACATAATACGGTCCAGAGTTGTGTACTGAGAGGAGTCAATTGCGAAGTCTTGATGCTGCTCAGACTGAAGGTGCTGCAAAAGTAGGAAACAAATTAAAATTAGCAATGGGCACAGCATCTTATTACAATCCTTGCATTTGACATTTGTTGGGATAACTTTCACATTGGGATAAATTCCTTTAACGTAGTCAAATATGCTTGAATCATAACCTAGTATTTGAATAGCTTTGTTTGCACTGCTTCATGTTTCGCCCACAAAATATACACTTTACAGTATATTCTGTGAAGCCCTTTGAGACGTCTCAAAGACGTGATAAGGTGCTATATCAAAGGATTATTATTATTATATTGACTAGGAACTCTTAGAAAATGCTGAAGCATCACACCAAAGCTTTTTCCTCTCCCCTCATGACACCCCTTCATTTAATCGCATATTGAGTGTTGTGTTCCAGGCATCAACTTGCTTTAATCTAAATTACAGAATGCAGGCAGATGTCAGTAACACTGGTTTATTAGGAAAGCCTGATGTGACATGACACAAATATTGACATCAGTCGGCAATCAATCAGAAATGGCAGTGTTGCCATTAGTGTTGCTCACAGAGTATGTGAGATCAAGGATTTTCAGCTCTGGGGCTCCAGAGAGAAAGTACTGACTTTCTCAAGTGCACCTAACCAGTATGGCTTCATGAACTATATAAAAAATTAAAGACTTACTGTATCCAGCTCATTGAACGTCTCATTGCAGCATTCACAGAATTTCTGTCGTTTCTTTTCCATATGTTTTACTGTTGGCTTCAAAAAGGTTTTGCTATCTCCCTCGCTGTTGGTTCGTCTACAGTCAACACAATGCAATTATACAGTTGCCTTTCATGTAAAAATAAACGTTTCAAAGCAATTTACAAAATATAATTGACTAGAAATTAAGCATTATAGGATGGAGACAAAAGCCAATCAAACCTCTTCCCCCCAAAAAAAGGTGTAGACAATTTAAGAACGGTTCAAAATTCCGCACATGTTTAAATTGAAGACAATGAATTCAAGGCTAAGACCCTGAGAATTTAGGACTTCAGGGTTGTAAAATATTTTTCTTTTTTAAGAAAAGTAAAACTTCCAAAATAACTTGTATAAAAGTACCGATGTTTACTCTTATCCTGCTCCTGGCCTCCGTTCCGAGATTTCTTTGGAAGGTCAAATGCACTGGATCCTCTGGGTGATTGGTAATTCAGTTCTGGAAAGCTGTCAAACTGCTGGTGAAGGGGTTTAAACTGACTGGAAATACATATGGCATTACTTACAGATAGCTCTGTTGAAACATTGCAGAAGTAGAATATTTATGTATCAAACGCATTTTAAATAATACTATATACACTGCAAGAATGTTGGATGAGCTAATGTATACAATTTGCAATTAGAAAGAACAATGGTTATGTAAAATAAGCTCAATAAAACCTTCTACTAACAGATCTGTAGTTCATGAGCTGAATATTCTGCAATGGTTTTAGGAAATATAAGATTCATCCCTACTTTGAAGTCTGTAATATATTACTTCTCCGAAATACATACAAAAAAAATTGACAAATAATCTGAAAGGAAAACTGTAAACTGAAAAAATGGCTTACCGAGAGGAATCTTCAACTTTCACAAAAGGCTGTTTTAGTCTCTCCACTGTTGGGAAAGAAATGAACTGTAGTTGCTTTGTGCTTTCACCTTTGACCAGTCACACAGAAAATCAAACAGGAGCTATAGTGATGGACAATTTGGAAATGGAAAGATAGTACAGTAAATCTTAATTTCTGAGGGAAACCCAGCAGTTTTAATATTTGTGCATTGGGTTGATTTCAACTTGTGGTCAATCATAGCCATTAATACAAATTCTCTATGGAGCAAGTTTCTCCATTATGTTAGTTACTGAATAGATCATCACAGTGCAAGCACAGACCTCCTTAATTTCCAATGTAACCAGAGGATGAATACAACAGGAAGCCATTGGGTTATCCGTAAGTCTGCAACCCAGCGTTTGTGGCAAAGCAGAGAAGCAACAGAGTTGAGAACTATTAAAATTATTATTAAAAAATAAACTAAAGACTTTGCAAAATAATGTATGACTTTCTGAAGAAATCATGACGTATTTCAGTGCTGCAAATTGTTGTGTTGCAATCATGCTACAAAAACATTTTCTAATTATTTTTGTCATTACCATGTCAAATAAATGCAAAACAATTGAGAAAACTTACCTTTTTTACCCTTGCAAGTGGATTTGGATGAATGACCATTTCCCTGTAAAATAAACATCCATTAAATACTACAATATGTACATATATTACACAAATAAAAGGATCATTAAACTGTAGAAATTTGCAGCGCAGAAGGCAGCCAATTTGGTCCATCAAATCTGCATTGGCTCTTAAGAGAAAATTCAACCCCACTGCCGTGCATTATCCCCATGTCCTGAATGGTATATAATGGGAAATCTTTTTTTTGTACTGGCAAAGTGCTTTGCAATTAATTACCATCAATCACACGACTATATTCCGCAATAACATCAACATAGATTCCGTGCTCTTTGTTGTAATTTCCACTGGTTATTAAATTAACACTATTATGTTAGCTGAAGATACCATGCTTTGTTGTAATTTCTACTCATTATTAATTTTACACTATTATGATGTTAGCCGAGATGTTAGCTCAGCACACATTACAAAGTTGCAAGCACCAGAAAATGATCAGATTAAACCTTATTCTGAAGAGATCAATGGACAACATGAGCTTAGATTTTTGGGGGCTCATACCACTTGAATATCAAGATATACCCTGGTATCATTATCTCTTTATTGTATCAAAATACATACACACAACTTGCATTTATATAGTGCCCCTCACAAAAGGTAGCTTCTTAAGAGCGCTTAAGAACATAGAGAACTTACCTCAGTCTTTCTACCAGCATTTGGTGATCTCTTAAATCCCCTTCTTTCAACATATGCTAATAGATCTTTGTGGTGGTTAAGAATCAAATACTTTTTGCAAAGGTATTCCTGTATTTTGGTATGTTAATTGTTCTTTGTATTCGAGTTTTCCCTGAACACAGACAGGATTATACAGCAAATGAGGCCAAAAGGTCAAGTAATCTGAAGCCAGTGCTCCACTAATGCTGCTCCCCATCAAGGTTAGATAGGTACACAGTACAGCGGAAACTGGCTCTCACAATTTTTCAATCCTTTTTAAAATTCATGGAGGCTTACAAGCAACCTTAGGTCATGAGATAACTACATTTAATGTAAATAAGAGTCACTGTGCAAATCAAGTATTCCAAGTACATACACACAAAACGTATATTTAGGAATTACATGGTTTGGATGGAACATTCCTTAGTAAATCAGGGGATTTAGTGAGGCTTAAGCGTGGGCTGGAGAAAGGTGTGGCTGCTGGGGCTTTTAATCATAGAATGTCAGAAATACTAGTTTACAAATAGCACAGAATAACAAGAATCTATTCTTGAGTACCTCTCCAAAATGCAGATATTCAAGACAATGCAGCTAAATCTGAGCATTTAGATCAAGAGCATTCTTTTTTTGCAAAGCAGCAAGCTTTCTGTGGCGAAAACCACACTTGGAATAACTTTCCCGAGGGTGTTCAAGAGGCAGGAGTACAAAAGGGCACAGACTAAAAGACAAAGACACCAGTAGAGTATGAACTAAAGATTTAAAAAGAGACTATGGTTACCTTTTCTTGAATTAAAGTCAGAGAACATTTTTTTAAATGTATGTGTGGCTGCCAGTATAACACAGCAAATCAATAAGTCTAATAGTTTGTTTTGTGAAAGACTCCAAACAAACAAGAGCTTGCCACACTGTGGCAAATTTAGGCTACTGCATTCAATGTGTACTTTCAGATATGCCACAACCAATTGATAGTACTTTCAGATATGCCAAGACAGCAAAACAAAAGGGCACAGGTTCATGGGTTCAAAGCGAAATTTCAGGAGACATCAAGAAGTATTTCTTTACTCAGAGGTTACCCAGAAGGGAAGGATCAATGAAGCCACGATGCTGGACTCATTAAGAAATAGCTTGGTGCTGTAATGGGGAGGATAATCCTGGAGGCGAAGAACAACCCCAGGCTTCTGTTCTCCACCACATCCCGACTCCCCCGTCCCCCCCGCCACCCCGCGCAGGTCATCTCCTCCAAACTTCACTGAGAGGAGGTGCTGGATTTTCTTGAATCCGAAATCAAGGGAATCCGCTCCGCAGTCACTGCCCCTCCAACTTCCACCCACCCCCCACCCCTTCCCTCCCACACTCTGACTCCTACCCATCCTCCCCTACACACCTTTGAACTCGTTTCCCCACCCTCTGTCACCAAACTCATCCTGTCCTTGAAATCCACCACCTGCTCCCTTGACCCCATCCCCACTCCACTCCTTATCTCCCAGCTCCACCTCCTTGCCCCACTTCTCAGACATCATCAACCTGTCCCTCTCCTCTGGCTCTGTTCCCATTCCCCTAAAAACTGCTACCATCACTCCCACTTTGAAAAAACCCTCCCTTGATGCGTCGCAGCTATCAAACTACCGGCCCACCTCCAACCTTCCCTTCCTGTCCAAGGTCCTTGAAAGAGTCATCGCCTGCCAGCTGCGCTCTTTCCTCTCCACCCATTCATTATTCGAACCCCTTCAGTCGGATTTCCGTGCTGCCAATAGCACAGAAACCGCCCTGGTCAAGGTCACCAATGGCATCCTGACCATCTGTGACCAGGGCTCCCTCTGCCTCCTCGTCCTCCTCGACCGATCGGCCGCATTCGATATGGTGGACCACTCTATCCTCCTCCACTGCTTGTCCTCCCACCTAAACCTTCAAGGCCCTGTCCTTGAAGGTTGAGTGGTTTCGGTCCTACCTCCCACCGTCTTCATTTTGTCTCTGCAAACGGCTTTTCCTCCAGCCCCCGCACTGTCTCGTTAACCCCATGTATGCGGATGACACCCAACTCTACCTTTCCTCTTCTACCATCAACTCCACGACCACCGATGTCCTGACAGCTGCCTGTCTGACAGCGAGTGCTGGACGAGAGACAACTTTCTTCAGCTCAACGTACGCAAAACTGAGGCCCTCCTGATTGGCTCACGTCAGCGCCTCCGCACCTCAGGCACTGACAGCATCAGCATCCAAGGCTGCACTCTCCACCTCTCAAAGCCATCAGGAGCCTCGGGGTTCTGTTCGACCCTGAGCTGTCCTTTCTTCCTCATATCTGCGCCACAACTGGCATCGCCTTCCATCACCTCCGGAATATCGCCAGACTACGGCACTACCTCACCCCTCACGCTGCTGAAACTCTGGTCCACGCCTCAAGGCTGGACTATGGGAACTCTCTCCTCGCCGGCCTTCCCGGCACCTCCCTCCACAAGCTGCAGGTCATTCAGAACTCTGCAGCTCATGTACTGTCCCGCACCAGGCTTCGTGACCACATCACTCCCACCCTCGCTCGCCTCCACTGGCTCCCCATCCCCCAGAGGATCAAATTCAAGATCTTCATCCTCACCTACAAGGCCATTCACGGCCTTGCTCCCTCCTACCTCTCCGACCTACTATCCCCCTACTTACTCCGTTCCTCTGGCTCCGGTCTGCTCCACATCCCCCGCCCTAACCGCCCTACCATCGGTGGTCGGGCCTTCAGCCTCTCAGCCCCGAGGCTCTGGAACTCTATCCCCCAATGCCTCGGCCGCTTCCTCCCTTTCCTCCTTCAAGGCCGGTCTCAAGACCTTTCTCTTTGACCGAGCCTTCACCTCCCCTCTCGACTCTCTACCCCTCCTCGCTCCCTCCCTTCCCTCCCCTCACCCTGACCATTTCCCCCCAATGCTCGGGACCCGACCCAACTGTCCAGCGCCTTGGGACGTTCTCCCGACGTGAAAAGCGCTCTAGAAATGCAATCTTGTTGTTATTGTTGTAGCAGGGTGGGTATTCAGGAAGCATGTAATCAAATGGAGTGAAGGGCCTTCTTTATCTGATTCTCTTATAATCCCATGTGATGCTGAGTAAAGCTCACATACTTAAACAATTTTCGCTCTACAATCAAAAAGGATACCATCAAGATGAAGGATTTTCACTCCCCAGGAACGAGCATTGGCCAAGATGCTATTACTGGCACTGTATTCCTGATGTGGGGAAAAATAAAGAGACATTAACAATATGCAATTTAAGTTAATAGCTTTATGAATCTTATGAAAACACAGACATAATCTTTCTACAATGTTCATTAAACCATCAAGATCACCCATCTCTGACCTTTCCTGTGCACAGGACATTACACCAAGCCTGATCAGGTGGATGTTAACATTCCTATGACACTTTTTGAAAAGAGATTAGTGTCCCTGGTGTCTTGGCGAACAAGCCCCCAGATAAATGTATCGTTAACTTGACGGCTGTTGTACGATAGTGCTGGGTACAAATTAGGTGCTCCATTAATCTACTGGTGATATCAAATACAGTATATTGTCCAGTGCTTTGGGACATCCCCCCGACATGAAAGGCGCTATATAAATATGATTTTGTTGTTGTTGAAAAGGTGAGGCTATCTTTTATAATCCCTCCTTTGCCCCTTTCAAGACCTGTCTCAAGAACCACCTCTTCGACCATGCCTTCGGTCACCCTCCCACCCCCTACCCTCCCCATAACCACCAGCTCAGGTGCAGATTCCTGATTTTTCAGCGTCTTGGGACGTCCTCTTGATGTGAAAGGTGCTGTACAACTGTAATTTGTTGTTACATGTAAAATATCTAATTTAAGCTAGCAAGCCATTTAGTGGTGATTAAATTGATCACTTCTACACAACACGAGAATACATGAGACCACTATTTAGCTTATTCATTCCTTTTGTATAAAGGTTAATAGCTTTGATTTGGATGGGATACATTCAAAGTTTATCTAATCAGACAGTAAATAATAATAATAATAACCCTTTCATTTGATATAGCGCTTTTCACGTCTTCTAGACGTCCCAAAGGGCTTCGCAGAATATATTGTAAAGTGAATTGACTGCATATTTGTGGGTGAACGCAGCAGCCAATTGCGCACAGCAACAATAAATTGGTCATTTTCAATCTACGACTGTTTGTGTGTGGTGTCCCACACACTAACAGTCGTAGATTGAAAATGACCAATTTAATTATTGTTTTGTTTTTTGGAGGGATTATTATTAGGCTCTGTGTAGAGTAAGGAAACTTGCCCAAGGTTTCGCCCTCTGCCTGGAATTGAACCCAGGTCTCTCGCTTGCAAAGCGAATGCTCTAACCATTGAGCTACAGGACTCCTATAAAATCTATCTTTACAAGCTTAAAAGGAAAGATTATAAATATCTGTTTAAGAATTTATTCAACAATTGACAAAATAGTTTCTTTCAAATAGTCAAACTCACATTGTTCTTGATCACTGTTTCAAGTAATCTTTTCCCCCAACTGGTCTGCACAAGAAAGATAGTTACAAGAAAGAAAGATGTTAGTTACGAACATTGGAAAGTATTTCAAGAATCTAGTATTTTGGTAAACTAGATAAATACCTAAGAAATAAACTACAGAGGTATAGGGAAAACGCAGATAAATGACCGAAAGAATCACTCTTTAAAAAGCCAGCACAGACACGATACGCTGAATAGCTTTCTTCTGTGCTGTAAATTTCTATGGTTGTAAGGAATCAGATTTGGCTTCTGAAAGCCCGAGATCTATTTCAGGGTGAGAAAATACACTTCTGAATGCCTAAGAATGAACAGAATGTTAAATAACTTCACAGAATACACAACAAATGCGTAGCTCACTATGTCTACTGTACTTACTGTCTGGCCACTTCTCACGTGGACTGGATGAGGGGAAGCAACCTGGCTATTTTTCCAGTATTCTCTTTTGGAAACGGATGCCAGTTTACCAGATTTATTCCCAAGTGTTGCTTCTTTACTGCTGGAAACCACATAATTCACTTCTTTACTGAGGAAGCTTTCTATTATCTGAAATTCAAAAGAAAAACACCCTTGTCAGGAAAACAAATGGCATGGTTGAATCTGTGTACGTTAAAATATGGTGTTGGATGCCGTGGTTCGATGTGAGTAAAGATTCGGATGGCGGAGTTTTTGAATTATTTACAGCTTGTGACAGACATCATCTACTGCAAAATTACCTGATCAGAAATGGTGAGACTTCCAAATTTCTTTTAATTTAAAATATTACATGTATTAAATGAATCCAATCAAAATAAAATCATCAAGTGTGACAATTGTGGCTCCTCGATCTGTATTGCAGATATCGTATACATACCCCTCCGAGTTTCTTCAAAACACTCTCCAGGAATTGTGTGCTTTTGTTGCTTGGCAGATCGAGGTAGAATGCTTTGCCGGAAATTAGACATCTCTTTGACAGGGTACCGTCTTCAAACTCTTTCACCAAGCATCTTCCCGGCATCTTTCCTGGATTAAATTTGTCTCCTTAAAAAACACAAATCAATTCTGTTCAGTCCAGAATGACCACGGTTTTCTCAAACATCGCGTGGGGGGCTGGATGTCGCCTGTTGCTCGTTAACCGCAGTTTATCAATTTTCCTAAAGTTGCATTTTAAAGGGGTGGAAAAGGGGTAAATCGGTCCCCAAGGAAGGATCGTTTTACAACACAATGTTTGGGGGTGGAGTTGGGTTACAGTCAGGATTTAACCCTGAATAATCTTCGGCGACTGGCAGCTAAAGATTTGCTAAACGGGACCCCCCCACCCTCTCCTGTTTATTATTATTTTTATGGAAGGGATTATTATCCCGGGGAAAAGCGATCTGCCAATCGACCGGGTTCCCACTTACTGCGGTAAACAGAGGTGTGTGGAGTAAAGGAAAGTTGCCCGAGGTTTCGCCCGGGAATCCAACACAGTCACTTCGCTTGCGAGGCGAACGCTCCAACCACTGAGCTACAGGACTCCACAACTCTCTTCTCCTCTCTCTCTCCTCTCCCTCCTTCTGCCCCTCTCCGTATCTATCTCATCCTCCCTCCCTTCTTCTCCCCTCTCCGTCTTAGTCCTTCTCTTTCTCCTCTCCCCCTTTTTCTTTCTCTATCCCTCTCCTCCCTTTCCTCTGCTCTCTGTCTTCGCCCCTTTACATCCCTCTTTCGTCTCTTCCCCTCCTCTTCTCCCTCTCCCTTCCTCTTCCCTCCTCCTCCTCCCTCTCTCCCCTCCTCCCTTCCTCCTCCCTCTCTCCCCTCCTCCTCTCTCTCCCTTTCTCCTCCCTCTCTCCCCTCACCTCTCTCCCCTCACCTCTCTCCCCTCCTCCTCCCTCTCTCTCTTCCTCCTCCCTCTCTCCCCCCTCTCTCCCTTTCTCCTCCCTCTCTCCCTTTCTCCTCCTCTCTCTCCCTTTCTCCCTTTCTCCTCCCTCTCTCCCCTCACCGCTCTCTCCCCTCCTCCTCTCTCTCCCCTCCTCCCCCCCCTCTCCCCCCCCTCTCTCTCCCCTCCTCCTCTCTCTCCCTCCTCCTCTCTCTCCCCTCCTCCCCCCTCTCCCTCCCCTCCTCCTCTCTCTCCCTCCTCCCTCTCTCCCCTCCTCCTCTCTCCCTTTCTCCTCCCTCTCTCCCCTCCTCCTCTCTCCCCCTTTCTCCCTTTCTCCTCCCTCTCTCCCCTCCTCCTCTCTCTCCCCTCCTCCTCTCTCCTCTCCTCCCCCCCTCTCTCTCCCCCCTCTCTCTCTCCCCTCCTCCTCTCTCTCCCCCCCTCTCTCTCCCCTCCTCCCCCCTCTCTCTCTCCCCTCCTCCCTCTCTCCCTCCTCTCCCGCCGCCTTTTTCTTCCGTTAGTGTTTTGAATTGAAGCCTCGCTGGCGCTCGCGCAGTGACGGCGACGGCGGGCGTGGCCGCGCGCTGACGTCACGCCGCCGCCGCCGCTGCCGCCGAGAGGGCGGCGTGAATTCAGGCAGTTGTGCGGGCAGCTCAGGCCCCGCCCCCCCCCGAGCCCCCAGGACCCCGCAGCAGCCCAACATGGCGGCGCCCAGCGGCGATGGCGATGGCGATGCGCCGGCAGCTTTCTGCGAGTGGCTCAGCAAGAGGCTGGAGCAGCTGGAAATCGACGAGGACGTGTACGGGACTTACATCAACGGCATATTGCGGGAGGAGGAGAACGAAGTGGAGAAGTGCGACGCTCTCCAGGGCATTCTGTCCGCATTCATGGTCGGTGGTTGGGGTGGTGGGGGGGGGGCGCCTTGGGGGAGGGGGGAGTATGCGCGCGCGCGCGTGTGTGTGTGTCGGGGAGGAGTGTGGGCGCGTGTGTTGGGTGTGTGTGTGTAGGTATGTGGGTGGGGAGGAGTGTGTATGTTGGGGGGGAGTGTGTGTGTAGGTATGTGAGGGCTGGAGGAGTGTGTATGTTGGGGGGTGTGTGTGTGTAGGTATGTGGGTGGGGAGGAGTGTGTATGTTGGGGGGGGGGAGTGTGTGTGTAGGTATGTGGGTGGGGAGGAGTGTGTGTGTGTTGGGGGGGAGTGTGTGTAGGTATGTGGGTGGGGAGGAGTGTGTGTGTGTTGGGGGGAGTGTGTGTAGGTATGTGGGTGGGGAGGAGTGTGTGTGTGTTGGGGGGGAGTGTGTGTGTAGGTATGTGGGTGGGGAGGAGTGTGTGTATGTTGGGGGGTTTCATGTCATAAAGTTTCTTTATTTTCTTCTTCTACTGCCATCGGTTAATTTAGGGATCGCGTCGCCTCTGATCTATTTTCGTACATTTCCCCATTTGTCAAAGCTCGTGGTCTCTGTGGATGGATTTTTATTTCCAAATATGGAGGCGGACGTTCAAGCTGCTGCTTCTCATTCTGATCCAGACACGAGGGATGGGTGGGAAAGAGGGAGGGAGGGCGTGGGGTAATTTTTTTTATCGCCATCACTCCCTCCTCCCTCCCCACACACACAAAAAAAGATCGGAACTTGTTAGAAATCAACCGCTTTCCAAGAACAGCAAATAGAAATATTGCGACTGTACGTTATCGAATTAAATGTTAATTGAATGGAAGTGCCGCTCCGACTCCTGACTCAATTAGCGGTTCCAACCGTGTGGAGTCCTGTAGCTCAGTGGTTAGAGCACTCGCTTTGTAAGTGAGAGACCTGAGTTCAATTCCAGGCAGAGGGCGAAACCTCGGGCAAGTTTCCTTACTCCACACAGAGCCTAATAATAATCCCTCCAAAAACCCAAAACAATAATAAATTGGTCATTTTCAATCTACGACTGTTTGTGGGACATTGCTGTGTGCAATTGGCTGCCACGTTCGCCCACAAATATACAGTCTTTACAGTGTGTTCTGTGAAGCGCTTTGGGACGTCCTCCTGACGTGAAAAGCGCTATATCAATGCAAGGATTATTATTATTAAATTGGGCGCACAGATTAGTAGCACAGATTATTTATGATGGGTTCAAGACCCAGTCGGTACTTTGAACTGACAGTCTGGTCTGACAATACAGTCCGGTACGACTGCCGGACTCCTGCACTGTCGGAAGTGCAGTCCTTTAGATCGATCCAACATTAAGCTGAGGACCTGTTTGACCCTTTGCGAAGGCACTATCCGAAAAGAAAGGTAGTACGACTGTGGTGGTATTTGTTGCGGAGCCCTGGACAACAGTCCTCCGCATAAATTAGTCATCAGTTTCATGTCTATTTGTGGGATCTTGTGTTGACAAATTGGCTGCCATATCTCCCTGCAAATACACAATCACGTCCAGCACCAAATGTGACAGTGATGCTTGTTGAGATAAACTAACAGAGTGTAAACGTACTAAATTATTCACCCAGTTCTGCCTCCCCAATTCTCTCTGAAGCAGCAGTGCTGAAGTGTCACGAAGAAAGCTGATTGTAAATAACTCCCGCACACATTGTTCATCTTTACCTCTCCCCTCAAATGTGATTTACAGGATGAAGATTCATTATCAAACATTTGTGAAGAAATAATCCAAAAATGGTCTGAGACAACAAACAGTATTTTAGCCAAGAAGAAAGTTGAAGGTAAAGACTAGAATAATCTCAGATAATTTCTTGTTTGTTCATATTTTAAGTGCACAAAGTCAATGAATTGGGTGAGTTCACATTATAAGTATACATTTCTATTTTAGTAATACAGGTATCGTAGCTTGTTGTGAAGATAATGTGGCAGAACTTGTGAAATCAGCAGAAAGTTTTCTTTTTGGAACTGTAAAGTATTAGCCTGTATTCTCACCCACTAAACTCTGTACCCTCATCACACCACTCCTCACCTGGTTCCCTCTCACAGAACCGATCCATTTCAAGATCCTCTCACTTGTCGACTGAAGACCTTCTTCTCTGAACCGTGCTCAACAACAGGCTCCAGCGCTGTTAAGTGCTCCATGGCGCTGCCCCATGCGAAGGGGTTATATCAGTGCAAGTTGTTATTAACTTAATTTATCTCTTGTTTTTTAAAGATGAAGTACAAACTATTGCAAATATGATTGAGAAACAGGCCAAGATTGTTGTGAGGCCGAAGGGCATTTCGGAAGAGGAGAAATCAAGGAAAGCTGCACTCCTGGCACAATATGCAAACGTGACTGATGAGGAGGAATATCCTTTCTGCTGATTAATTGAATTGCTTTCACAAAAAATGAATGGAAGGAATCTCTAGTGCAAGGATTTACAGATTTTCTTTGCCCAGACAAAAACAGTCGTTTCACACGTGGAAAATTGAAAAACAAGGATTTTTGTGTGATGTTGGGTTGGAGTATATTAGAAACACTGTATTTAAAATGTGCAAGAATGTATTAGTTGAAGAAAAATCTTGAAGCAGAAGTGCTATTTGATACCTACTTAGAATTATAGATCTATACTACACAGAAGGGGAACTAAAATAAATGGGTGTCAAACTTTTACAATTGTGATGGCTTCAGTTTAGGTAGCGATGGACAAGTCACTCTGCCACCCAGTGATTCTGACTCAGTAGTTCATAATTGGGTTACTAGACACATTTTAAATGCACCTCCAAATTGCAGCTAGAGATGTCTGATTTCTAAAGCAATTCTGTAGTTATGTTCATTGATCTTGATTTTGGAAATAGAAAGATTATTACATTGAGGTATGAATACTGCTGGGTCATAGACACCTTCTCAACATCTTGGCACCCCGTGTCTGGATGAAGGACCCCGAGGTCGATAAAGCACAGCTATTAACAAATCACGTCGTTGGCTCACATACTGTTTAAAGGTTTTCAAGAAATTAGTGGGCTGTCTGGGAGCAGCAGTTTGATCAACAAATCCAACAGCTTGTCACAAATTCCTTAACTTGGGCACTGACGATGAAGAAACACAAGGAGCAACTGGATCCTTCCACTTTAGTAATGATAAATGTATCCTTTGCCAATTTTTCTTCGATTCAAATAGTTTTCTGTTTTATAATTACATTTTCTTAATCTTTACGGGATGAAGTTAAAAAGTGGTGACTGCCTACTGAAAAGTTTCAGGAAGTGAGTTTTCGCCATACCTCAAACGGGGCTCCTTAAATGTTCTTGGGTAGCTTGTTGGTTGCATGCCTAGCTCTTTATTAATATTAAACATGAACTGGTGTTTGTGTTCATTTAGCGCAGCATACTGCTCAGATTCTGCCGAATAGTTTGTAGCAGGAAATGCAAATGCTGTTTTCCACACAACAATCGCTCTACACAATTAAACTCGGAACTGGAATCCTTGAAGAAACTTTTGTCTTCCTGTTCTTTGCAACTGGTTGGAATAATTGCAAAAGTCAACAAAGTAGTTGGAAATCTGAATTGACCTGACCTTAACTTAATTTTAGCTCTTTTCAAAAACACAAACGCTGCAGCTGTTCTCGTTGCNAAAAAAGCCGAAAGGGAGAAAGCTAAAGAAGATTCACAAAAGAAAAAGGAGCAAGATAAACTGCAACGAGAGAAAGACCAGCTTGCGAAACAGGAAAGAAAGGAAAAGGAAAGGAAGAGAACGCAGAAAGGAGAACGAAAGCGATAGCTTTGTTTCCCCACAAAAATTGCCTAATTTCAGTGGACTGACAGTAAGAATATTCTGAGGGGCAAATGTTGCACGCACAAGTATTGTGCAGTTTAACTTTTTGGGGTGCTCTGGTAACATTTAAAAACCTCATGGAAGCAATGGATTGAAAGGAAACACCACTTTGCTATTTTTCTTCACAAATGCCAAATTTTTCCACTCTGTATCATTGAAAGTACAAAGTCACTAAAATATTCATTAAAAAATTTAGATCTTTATATAAAAAAAATCTTAATTTTGTTTATCAAATGTTTCAAGAAGCAGGGAGGGTAAAACACCACATATACCTCTAGTTATTGAATATTCAATAATTGAATCTATCCTGAAATCTCTAGAAGAAACGCTAACATTTTTCTAGTTCATAGGATGTCACACGATATAACAGCTTATCGCCTTGAGTAGTCACATGAAGGAACATGCAAGTTTTTAGCGCCCTTGTGTCTAAATACTCTGAATGTGCTTTACTATAATTACTATGAAATTCAGTTTCTTTTATAAAATAAATAGTCCTTGTATTTGATACAGCGCGTTTCATGTCAGAAGGGCATCAGAGTACTTTCCAGGATTTGCTGTAAAGAGTAGTGATTGTGTATTTTAGATGAAAGTGACAACCAATGTTCCACAGACAGCCATGAGGTGAATGACCAATTTTATCCAGGGTGTTGTTGGCCAGGACACTCGGAGAATCTCTCGTTTTCAAATAGTGCCACGGAAACTTTAAAGTCCAAAACAGGTAAATGGGACTTCAGTTTAATGTTTCGTCCAAAGAACAGCACTTACAACGATGCACACCCAGCAGTGTATTGGGAGTGTCAGCCAAGACTCTTGAGTTCAACTCGAAAGGTCATGGCTTAAACCCACAACCATGACCTTCGTACTTGGAGGTGAGAATGTTACTGAGTCAGACTGACACCTGTAGGCAAAATAAACATTAATGCAACAGAATATCCCAGTGTGACTATGTATGAAGGGAGAATGCCAAGAGTTGTATTTACCAACCGCTGACCAGTGGTAATAATTCCTCTCTATTGACTCCATCAAAACTCCTAAGAATTTTAAAAGACCTATATCAGGTCAGAACATTCTTTGCTTCAGCAAATTCATCTGATTTTAGTTTTCTTAAACTCTGAATTTTAATTTGTGTTAATCTTTTTTTAAAGCTATCACTTTTTTATTTCTGCTATAAATACACTAAAATCTTTTTTTTACAATGTTTGATGATACAGGGTTAACACAGTACCAAGATAATTTCAATTAGCATTTCCCTTTGTATATCTATCAAACCAAGATTTTTGAAAAAGAAATTTGATCAACATTTAATGTTATGTTTTCAGAAACTTGCACATTTCAGTAAAATATATCAACTTTTAACTTAGGAAAATCAAAAATTTCACATATTTTCTTTGATACAAAGTCAACTTCTTAAATATTAATTTTGGAACTTAGGCTAACTTTTCATTTATAAATGACATTGTTTCAAGTAGCTACTACACTTTTTTAAAACACACAACCATCTGTTGACTCTTATGAGATAACATTTTTCAGCAGTTGTGCATTAAAGTATTACTAAGTACTTCACTGATCACATAAAACATTTTAACACCTAGGAGGTTTCTTATACTGTATTCCTGATCAATTTGTCAAGCATATGACACATATGTTCCTTTTATTCATTAATCTAAACTAGTATTCAATTCATAAACTTAAAGGTCAAATAATTCTAGTTCCTCAAGGTAATCATACAACACAAATTATCATTTAGAGATATCTGATACATCGTATTTATTCTGACATATCTTGAAATGCTTTTCAACTAACTTAAATAGAATTGAAGACTGTATTAAATGCCTTCCAGATAACCTTAAGATGCGCCATTAAACAAGGTATTCTAAATTGATTTCAAGTGAAATTGTTTAAACTGTTTAGATACCTCGGAGTAATTTTGAGGAATATTTACTTCCTTTTGTCCAGAGGAATTGAAAGAAATCTACCGTTAATCATTTCAACATATAATATTTCTAAATGACAATTACGTACACTGGGTATGCACAATTGTAATTTGGAGATATCTCAAATTTGAGTCTCGTAATGAGTTGCAGACTTCTCAATAGCAATCAGTCTAAATGTCTCAAAATCATGTAATTGTGTATTTAAATGATTTTAAGATATCTTCAAATATATATTAGATTAATGAATTTGAGAATGAATGACAATTCAGCTGGTCATATAATACAGCACTAAATCTAGTGCAGTGAAGTTTGAAGTAATTCACTTCAGCTACAGGAATTAAGTGTACTGCCAGAATTACTAAATATTTACCACTATATCCGCTACTCACATAATATCAAACTTGTTTGCATGGGTGCACTAATGAGATTTACCCTTTAGATCTCAAACTAGAAATGCAGAGCAGCTCACCGTTTCAATAACAAATCATGCTTGAATAGTACCAGTTCTGCAATATGGAAATAAACAATTAACTTTCATACACTATGCATATTGTGAACAAGTTGCCTCAGATAACTATATTTAACCAAACATCATAACAATTACAGTAAATTAACAATATCTTTACTAAATGTTGTGGCATGTCAGCACTAATTAAACAAATGTACATTTCAAACTTAGTAAATGTAACACTACATTTTAAATACAGAAAAAAAACATCAAATCATTACATTGAGACCACTGAATAATGCATTATTTCTGTACATCTATTGCAGAAATGTGACACATATTCTGGCTAGTATAACATCTACTGGAAATATCCCTAATGATAAAATATAATTTCCATATTAAACAGTAGTTTACTTATCAGGCTTTTGTTAATGAAGCAATATTCCTAGTAACATTGAAAATCATGTTTTCAGTTTGGAAATATATAAACTGTACTGCCTTGCATGCCTTCTTTGTATTCGTCTTTTTTGTGTTGATATTTCCTTTTCCCTAAACATGTTTTTTTTGTTGAAAGTTATCACCTCTTTCCATTCATTTTATTTAATAGCGGCAATGGCACTAACAGATTGACATACAATTATATTTTGCCTTTGCTGGTTTAGTATTTTTCTGTTATAATATATACTGACTGGAAAACAACTGTGGGTGATTACTTGGTATATTGTAGATGTACAGCATGATGATCAAACCTTTTTCTTTTCAAATTATTGGGACAGATTTTTTTTATAAGGCTATATACAAACATTAATTTTTTCTTAAGAATTCAAATATTCCCTCATCTCCCAATTTTTTGGCCACTTCACAAAGTTCATCACATGTGTATCCCTCTCTCTGTCTGCATTGACACTAATAAGTCTGCCTAACTTTAGGAAAAAAAATTAAATCATCTAAAGAATGTAAAAATTGAACGTGCGTCTGAAAGTAGAGGTTTATAAAAATAATCTACTGATGTTATTGTTAACATAAATGCATTTTGCCTGTCCAACTATAGTCAACCTTTCAACGTGAGACTTGGTGCTAACAAAAAAGACCAAAAATGTACTGGTGTCCCAAGAAGTATATATTATATTTTTTAAAAAAAGAGGAATTAGTGTAAATTCAAGGTTGTAATTTCTGCTGTCAGATGACTGTTATAAATAATTTTCTCCAAATTACGACACCATCTGAACACCAAAATAAAATTGCTGCCTTTAATTACTCCTGGGTATCTCTTATTTTCTATTTGAATGTAAAAAAATACTTCACTAACAAAGCATGGCATTTTCCAATGGACTATTTTTAATCGCAATGCTAGTCTATACATCTAGGTTTAATTTATGATACAAAGTTTATAACCTTTGCACATTATCTGGAATGTCAGCTATTCAAATGGAAGGTCTAACCAGATTAGGGTAAAATAAATAAAGGCATAACCACTAAATCTAAACTATGATAACCTTCTACTTAACAAGATAGTTGCAGTATATTGTATTAGTTTAACGAACATCCACTTACTGTTGTGGCATTAAGTAATTAAAAAAATATTGATTGTAAGCTCTCATTTTACTTACAGATAAGCTACACCTTGGTGCACCTATTACTCACTTTCACTAGATAGAGGCTACCTTTTCTTTCTAATCATGACAAGAAGGTCACAACCTCTTTTATAAACTTTGTATGTAATAAATAACAGATAAACATCTTGCAGAAACTAAAACAATAACTTTAAATATCAATTTCCTGAGTAAGATTTAGTCACTTTGATTGTGAAGATCTGACAAGAACAGTAGACCACCAATTCACCAATATATGGGGTAAAAATATCTTGTTAAATTATTTTGGAAGATTTTTAAAAAATGAACCATATATGGTGTTGCAAAGTAGTTACATATTCATTAATCAAATACATGTCTGATCACAAGCTGCATTGTTTGTAATTACTTTTCAAGGTAGACATTAGAGATTTTCCCCCTTAATACTTTAAGCTAATTTGAATTAGTGATAACTGCAACTCAAACAATGCCTATTTTAGTAACTCAGAAAGGTAATAACGAATATAATTATTTTTAAATTTGTAATTTCTCTTCAGTTCTTTAATCACCATGAGTTTTTACCACTTCATTCTTTTTCCCACTATAGTAGCTGCTTCTGTTGATAGTTTTTCTCTCCATTCGTTACGAGATCCTGCAGTTCTCTTTCCACATCAGCTTGGTCTTCTGGATTGGTATTGGGTGTTTTGGGTAATGTCATCTGTAGGGCACACCACAAAGCAGTCCGAGCTTTCCGAGTCGCTATTGCCATTTCTTTGACTGCGATAGCCAAAGCAAGAACATCTGTACAGAACAAGATTGCATGTTGAATGAAAGATATGGGAATAAATAAATGTAAATAAAACTGTTTTTCCTAGTGTATTGCTTTGAACCTTTAATATGCTGCACCAATGGGTGTCTACCAGACACTTTATGGGCAAATCTCTCGTCTTTTAATTTGGACACCAAGGTGAAGGACCAAAAGGAAAACCTCTTGTAGTGGAAGAGAAGGTGAGCTGAATCAATAATTGTAGGGTGACACCAAGCTTGTTTTTCAAAAACATGTTAAAAACACACAAGACAGGTTTCATGGGTTTTAACCTGACATATCTTTCTCATTGTGTTCTCAATTTATGGAGCTTTAAACCAGGTAAATTATAATAAAAATTAGTCCTAGGTATTATTTCAAACTCTTAGGTTCAGTTAAAGAGGTAAACTATCACTTAGTTAACTGGATGACTTACAATAAATGAGTTATTCAATATTGAGGGAATTAAAACAATTTTAATTTGTGTACTGGCCTACTGTACAGATAGATATCAGGTCAGTGCAGTAAAACTGGAATTATATGCTTAACAATTGTTCCTGTACACAAATTAAAATGAACTAGTGATTTGTACATGTACTGGTGAAATTAGCAGCTAAATCCAACACTGAATTTCAATTAGAAATAAGGCTAGATTAATTTATGACATTACCCCTATCATCCTGGTATCTCGGTGCTCCTTGTCTTTGTCGATTTGCTGCATTAACTATTTCGTCTTTTCTACGAGCTTGTGTAATGTGGATAGCCTCCAGATGTCTATCAAGAGCTGTAGAAATATTGGCATGAAGAGGAGAACTTCGAAGACGTTCCATTTTCCCAAGCAATGTCACAACCTGTTACAATAGTAGATTAATATAGTTTTCAAGTATCTATCAAACCAATATAAAAAGTATACTTGTTATTAAATTGGTACCTGAATGTCACAATTTTAAATTAAAGCTCTATAAATGCACATATATATTTTTGCATTCACAATACAGCTTTTATTCAGAGGCAGGGGGCTTTTGCTGGGACTAAAATATTTTGGGAAATCTCCAGCTGTTAAAAGTTGCCAAAATCTAATTTCTTTTTGCAAAAGAGCTGCGAAAATTAAAAAATATACCCATTTTCCTTTTCTTGGTTATTTAATTTCTGTAGAAGGAACATAAAACCTTGAATGATTCTAGTATATCTGCGCCAGAATAAAAATAACAAAACAAGATTCAATTAATTTTATTTAATTCCATAGTAGATCGGGTAATAATCATCAAACTTAAGGCTCTCATATAGGTAATTTTATAAGCAACAAAAACGATTAATTCTTTTTGTTAGATAATTAGTTAAATAAAACTACAATTCCCTCTATTAATATGATTTATGTCTGTCAACTTGACTCAATGGTAGCATTGGAACTTGGAATCGCATAATCCAAACTGACACTCCAAAGCAGTCCTAGGGGTGTCTTGCAATGTCAGAGGTGCTAGTGTTCGGATGAGACATTAAACCGAGCACCTGTCTGCCTGTTCAGGTGAACATTAAAGATCCCATGGCACTATTTGAAGAGATGGGAGTTTCTCCTGGTATCCCGGCCAACAATTCCCCAAATAAAATTGATCACTCACTCCATGTGGGAGGGATATTGCTGTCCGCAAACTAGCCACTACGTTTAGCCCACAAACTACAGTCACAATCCACTTCATAATATATCTTGGGAAGCGCTTTGAGACGTTTCGGCGATGTGATAAGGCACTATATCAAATGCAAGGAATATATACATATGCAACTCTCACACAACACATTTATCTGCTTCTGTCTGACTGCAAGGATTTATTTTCCCTCAGATGTGATAGATTCCTCTTTTCTGGTGGTAACAAAAGAATCCTATCTTATTCTAGTTGAGCAGAACAACATGTACAAAATGTGATACAAACTGTCAATCTGAACTCAAAAAGACATAAGGTTGACTAGTGTGGAAGATAAAAATCTTCTGTATTGCAGGAGTCCTCTTTTGAAGGTGTTACCTTAAATCTATACCCTCCAATTACCGACACACCAAATGGTATAGTCTCCCTTCTCTGAACCTGTGAGATTCAGGAAAGAATACTCGAAACACGCCAAAACCATCGCCCTCCCAATCTCAGCTGCTTTAAAAGTGATATTTAGGTTGATGTTAAATAACTTCTGAGTTTGGCCATATTGGGTGTTTTATTTGGTCCAGCAAATTAGCATATGTGTCCAACATGTTTTCAAAATATTAAATGCAACACAAATCATTCAGAAGTGAAAAGGTTTTGGGTGATTATGGATCATTCACTAAACCTTTCAAGACTGCTAGCAAAAGACAATAATATAACTACATTGATCACTTAGTAAGTATATCTGGAATATTATATGTTGATATGGACCAACGGTTGATGAAGCTTTTGAGTGCTCAAGGTACAAGGACAATTCATGGATTTAGAAATTAGAAATGTATTATTAGAAACATTTAGAAAATTATGAGCAGCTTAGCAAATGGAAATTGACAGCATACAAGGCTACTAAGCAAACTGCATTTGAAAGAGCAATCTATCCAATATCAGTCACCCACCTTTCTTTCCCCCATATCCCTGTGATTTACTCCTTTTTGGATATTTAGGTAGTTCCCTCTTGAAAGCTAATATGGATTGTCTGAACTACATCACCTCAACTGCATCCTACCAACTCTATGTTGTGTTACCCTTTGGCTATTTATAAACTTATTTAAATTCTCCTTGAGTTGGCCACGTTTCTAGTCAACATGATGTTGGGATTAAGTCTACTCTCTGTGGCAGACCTGGTAGTCTGGTTCAACTAAAAATGATCTTTAAGAAACCTTAGTGTTTTTTTCAAAATATTTTCCTGGACTACATTAAATATCCATTAATCAATCTACCAGATCTAGTGGAAACATACTCTTGCTTGTTCACGGAGTTGATCAACAATCAAACGATCAACCCGGGAAGGGTTTGATGGTAGCCTGGGAATAGGTGTATTATTTGAACTGGTCACTCGCTTTCCTGGGTAGTTCCGGGCAAGTGCTGCTTCAGTCTTAAGAAGGAGAGGAAGAAAATGATCACAATCGAAATATAAACAATATCAACTTATATGAGAAATAAGATGCAAAAAAATATTTTAGGCAACAAATGAAAGGTTTTATTTCACTATATATGATTTTCAACAATTGATGCATAATTATTGAAAGACATACAGTATCACCTGAAATATATCAAATCTGTTTGAAGGATCATGGCTGCAAAGCTTCATTCTCTTACTCAAATCTTCTAAAGTAAGAATTTGAACCAAAAAATACAAACCTGGCAAGATCTCAATCCAGCATTAAGAACCAATATGCAAAGAACATATTTTTGGAAGACTGATTGGCATTGTTTGTTTGACCTTGGGACATGAAGTGAACAGCGCTCTTGAGCTGTTATCTGCCCAAGAAACAAAATAATTGGCCAGATATCTCATCCCAGCTATGTACTATGCAAGGTTTAACACTTGCCAATGTCATAACTGGTAATTTAATCTCCAGGTCGTGGTAGAAAAACTAGGAACCGATTATCCTGGGACAAGTGAAAGCTTTTCATCTAAGAATAGTTCAAGAAAAATACAAAGACTGATTATTATTTAAATGAGATAGAAACACTTCCTATTGTGGGACAGAAGCAAACTTCCCTTGGTAGGCTTTCTATTTGTATAAAATCTATGTAAAGCCCATCAATGGAGAATGTTGTTAATGCACATAATAAAATTGATTCTAAAGATAAAGTAAAATTAGTTTTCCTATTCTCCTTAAAATACAATTTATTTTACCTTTTTTCTTTCTTTCTCCAAAGCCCTCCATTGTTCATAACATTCTTCCAATCGAATATGAAGTTCATTAGCAGGACCACTGCGATTTTTCATAGGTCTTGGAAATCCAAAAGGTGGTATAAATCCATAAAGGGGTGGATCTCCATAAAACATATCATTGAAAAGGGGATACAAGTGACTGAAATCTTCATATGGAAACAACTCACTGGGATCCATTAATGAAACAGGATGACCAAATTGAAGGTTAGTTCCTGACGCTACACCTCGTGGACCAAGTTGTGAAATATTGTGGTTCCTTCTAAAGTCACCCATCATGTAGGGGTTTGAAAAAGAAGAGACTGGAGAGCGAGTAATATAATTTGTCATTGTGTTATTGTCTCCTCCTCCTTGTTGGGAATTGTGATTATTATAATAAGATTGAGCACCTAATAAATCTCTGTACATGCTTTGTGAGAACTCATCGTCCTTTTTTTTTACATCTTCATTCAAATCATAATGACTGTTTTGCTGTTTACACTGGTAACTGGGATATTTGCCTGCAACATATTGCTGAGATGATGAACTCCCATGGAATCCATTCACTTGCTTTCCATTCTGGCAGTTCTTTTCAACAGCTGATTCAAAATACATATCCCCACTGGCTTTATTTTGCCCTTCCAAATGAGTACCTGGTTGAACCCGTTCCATATTATATGTGAACTCACTACCAGAAACCTTAGAAAGGCTGTCTTGACTATACAATCCTGTACCTCTTTGGAAATAACTATTGCTATTTTGAGGAAAATGCACTGAAGATTGTTGAGAGGATGGACAGAAAGAATGAGATGTTTTTGAAGCAGGAGATGCTTGATTACTGAGATCTGCTGAGTTATCTTGTTTCCCAAATGAAGCAGTTGTGGTAGTTTCAGAATTAGAAGTGGCTATTTTTGTCCAAGGTTGTCTGTTTTGGTAAGAGTCCCCAGAATATACAGAGACAGGCAGTGCATTTAATGGCTGTACATATTCAGACTGCTGTGAAAAATGATCGTAATTAGAATGTTGTTGCTTCTCAAAGGCCTTTTCAAAATCACTCCTAATTGGGCAAAATGTGTGTGCATTTCTTCCACATTCAGATACACACTTTTGTCCCAAGTCACCAACTAAACCCATTTCCTTTGAAAGTTGTTTCTCACTCACGCTCGCTGAAGATTTGACACAATATTTTAAGGTATGTTGGTCAATACTTAATTCATCAAACCCCTTTTGTGCTTGTTTTCCTTTAGACACCCTGGCACATGTATCCATTTCTATTACTGGTATTTCTGGTGTACAATCAGAAGAGCTCTTTCCATCTGGTATATTGAAGTTCACAAATTTGTTCTGTCTGAATTTATTACCATGCAATTGCTCCATGTATCTGTTACTACTATTATTATTATTGTAACAGTTTCTGGAATTATGCAGGAAAGGAAACAGTTCTGTAGACGGCTGACTGGATGGAGCACCAATTTCTTTAAAATCTCCCCCGTCTCTTCCATACATGTGCATATCTGTTCCTGATTCTCTAGTTGATACCGCTAACCCTACCTGCAGCTTGGAACTATTCTTGACATAAGGGAACTCCTGAAAATTAATCTTTGTGTTATCAGTAGATTGAAAGGGGCTGCAGTCAGTAGACTCTTTCTTTGAAGGAAAAATCCATTGTTCTGTAAGATCCAAGTCGTCAAAACCTAAAAAATCATCCATATTTATTTTTTGCTGTGACACCAAATGACTATCTTGCTGGTACTGTGTGTCAGTGGTTGCTATGGGTTCTTTTGCATTGAAAACCTGTTGTGAATACGATGCATCTACAGGCTTCTTAGATTCTGATGAGTGGTCCAGGTGTTCTGTAAATCTGCTAGTTGTTGAAGACCATATTGATCTTAACAAGTTAGAGGAGGTATTTCTAAAACCAAAACATATGGAATATATAATTAGTCAAAAGTGTAAAACGCATTAAAGGATGACATATATACTAATATTATACATTCAGTCTGAGACCTAAATGACGAGCTTCGATACAGGCAACACTAGCTCAATATTCCACACTTCAAGTTGCCATTTTATGGATTAGATCCATGGTCTATAAAATGTACCTAATTCATGCAGAATCTCGCTAACACATTAGAAATTGTTCAATACCAAGATTAAGACTTGCTTGTCTTTGTCCGTGTAAAATATCAAGCTTTTCTTCTTCAAGGCAATTGCTATTAGGCACAAAACTGATCCAGAACTACATGTGGTCTGCAACTACTTTTCAGCCTGCAACTACTTGTCAGATATTCAAGACCAGTCCCTTTTGCGTCTTTGTGCGCAATTGGCTGCTGTGTTTCACCCACTTAAAAAAAAACACATGTCAATCTACTTTATTCTGCGAAGCGCATTGGGACGTCTCAAACCTGATAAGGCGCTGTATCAAATGCAAGGTTTCTTATATGAGCTGGTGCTAACTGGGTTCATTGAAATAAAAATGTAGCAATAAAGTTGTTACAATGAAGTCTGCCTGTATGGCTTGAAAATAAGGTACTCTAGCATTATCAGAGGTTGTGAAGTACAGTAATGTTAACTACTGCTCAGAAAATGCAAACCTAAAGCTATGGAACAATACACTCATCTTTACACCTAACGACCATCCGATCTTTGCACCACTGGAACTTATTAAGTTCCCACTAATTGAACAAATGTAGAGGGTATGCCAATAATATTTTTCACCATGCTCAAAGTCTGACCAATCAACCAAATAATACATATGCACAAACTTACCCTTCAACAAATAAGGATTGTGATTGATCAGGCTCTTCTAAAATATTGGAAACAAGCCCGTATAGATCTGCGGCACTCCCAAAATCATTCATTTCGTTCTGAGACCTATTCAAGGAAAACAAAATTGTGACATTTAATTTAAAATTAAAAGATTAATGATGTGCTGACCTCAAGATTTAACACAAAGGGCCATTTCAACACAAACACAGCTGAGCATTAATAAAGATGGTGGTTCTCAGATATTAATATTTTAACCAGATTTGAACAAAATCATTGGCCCAAAGGTAGACTTCCAAATATGTTGATAATGGTTTGGATAGTATGGTTCAGCAATATTAGAATAAATCATTTTGATGAATATTAAATAGTAAATGAATAACTGGTAATTATTTACTATTATAAATACAGAGATTATTTTTTATTTAATCAAGTGGCCACCCGGTTCAGTAAAATTTCTTTCAATGTTTTTGTTGTTAAATTAAAATTTTAGTGCAATATTGATTTTGGATATTAACAGGATAGAAAAGACCGGAGAAAATCTACTACACAGTTGGAAGCCATTCAACAATGTCTAAAAACCTCCAATGAAGCCATCTATCCTAATCTCAATTCCTGCTACAGAACTATAGAATACAGCCCTGAGTACAAGTCATCCTATATATTTGCATATTTTAAAATGTTACGCTTTGTCATGTTTCTTATCAGAAAATATTTTAGCAAAACAATCTTCATACCGGTTAGAGTTGTTCTGAGGTCCAACAAACTGCTTGTAATCATCTCCAGATGTTGACCAAGGAACATAGAACAAAGAGGAATCAGGAGTGGTTGACACTGATCCAGTGTAAGATTGATGTGAATCTAAACTTTCTTCGTATGTCGCTATCTGCAAAAATTTAGATGCAGGATCATTAAAACATTGGTGAAATGTAACATTTCAGATATAAACATTGGTAGAAAATGTTTTGGCAAGGTAAAAAGAGATTAGAATACTTGGTAGAATATTGAAATCATCCATACATTTACATATCACAGGTTCAATGAAATCAGACAAAAAGAACTCTTTAAAAAATTTAAACATTGTATAAAGGGCTATGGGGCATTAACTACCGCCATAAAAAAACATTTATAATATCCATTATTAAAGAGTGGCTTCTTAACAGATTTGTTGGCATAAATTCAGATTGGCTTGTCCAAAGGTGCTTTTTGCACCTCCGTATACACCCTTAGAACATATTAGATAGACAGGCAGTTCAACACTTCAGTATATCAATCATGTCTTCAGACTTGGACTGTCAAAGTCACATTGGTTAGAGTCAAATGTGTGAGCCTCATAAACAATGAATTGGCACTTGTCAGTGGAATGTTTTGTTCAATGTTGGCTAAGTTCATGTCTTCCTGGGCTGCCTTAGTGACGATGAACAGCCAAGGAAAAAAAGCATGAGCGATATCCCTTATCCCTCAAACTAACCAATGCTAACCAGAAACTCCTTGCAAAGGCTGTGGGCAGGCAATAAATGCATGCTATTGATTACAAACAACCAAGAGTTGTGGTGGCCAACCTCTCACCACCATAATCACTTTAGTGATTCCTCTTTGTGAGAACGTAATCTTGGATGTGATTCTGCCAACAGCACATCGTCTCCAAAGAGAACATTTCACTCATACAAGCAAAGATTCATAAATAAATGTATTCTATTCTTACCTGTGCTTTATAGGGACTGAAAAATGAATTACAGTTGACCAATGCATCACTGAAAGCATCTGTTGATCGGCTGTTAGCATCAATACCATTGTAATAGCGATTCACACTTTTCAAAATAGTCTTAGGCTAAAAAAAGGAAAAATAGTTTCTTACCATGGCCATTTATAATTTTTAAAGGTATAATAATAGTTTATTTTATTATATTTAACATGATGCACTGTACACTTAACATCTAACAGTTTCACTGTACATTCTACGGTTTCGGAGCACACTGAGGGTTGAGTGCACACACTAAGGGCTCTATCCTCAGCTCCTCCTTTTCCTCATCCTCATGGTTCCCTCTTGACAAAGTGATTCTCAGATAAGGGGTTAACTGCCATATGTATGCGGGTGACACTCAAATCCCACTTCTACACTCGATTCCAAACCCACACACACATTAGGTCCGGTCGGCCTGCCGGTGTGAATCAAGCCCTGGATGATGAGCCCAACTTTCCTCCAACTCAATGTGGACAACAACACGGAAGCTCGCCACCTTCTGCGGCTCCACTCAGTTGTAGGTTTAAACAAAACCGTTCAAACAAAACCTGCACCAAAATGGAAGAATGAATGGCGTGCGGAATTCGACGCCGTCGTTGCCGACGACAACTTGTCAACCGCGGTTGAAAGCGGTTAAAAAGTCGATGGGTGGGGGCGGGGGGGGGGAGAGAGGCAACAAAAACGGTCAAGTTAGCGCGTGCTGACCGGAGCTCGAGCGAGTCCCGTTAAGCCGCACGACTCAAGTGAGGCAAAGACAAGACAGCGAGAGAGGCACAGAGAGAGAGAGAGGCACAGAGAGAGAGAGAGAGAGACGCTACTTTTTTTTGTTGCTGTTGTAGTACTTTTTATTCCATCCCTCAACCGTAGCGCCTCTCGAAAACCATCACCAAAGAGTGTTTAGAAAACAAACTGTTGATTTCCGTCTTTTAATATGAAAAACAAACAACGGGTTGATCGGCCCACACCGTCCTTACATCCACCCTCTCTCTCTATCGGTCTCTCTTACCAACCCCGTCGTCGAACGCATCGGAATTTTTTCCACCGCAGTCGAGCAAACGAACAAATATATATATATAATTTTTTTTTTGTTAAACTTTTTTTGGAAATTAAATACATTTTACTTTAAAAAAAACTATTCACGAATTAAAAAATATATATATATATATATATAAAGGAAAACTATATACTTTTTTTAATGAGTTAAATTTTAAAAAAAGTATTAAAAACGGACAAAAATGTTTCGGAAAATAAAATAATAATAAAAAAAACACCACACACACACACACACACACACACAACGTCAAATAACACCGAGGTCTGTGGATTCGATCCCTTGAAAGAAGGAAAAGAAAAAGGAAAGCGGTGGTTTCCGTTCAATCCCAAAGCGTCCGTTTGAAACGAGAAGATAAATCATTCTTTTTTTCAAATGATATAAAAAAAGTACCACATATATATATATCGACATACACACACACATATGTTCGGGGAGTTACATGACGCCGAAAAAACGGAAAAATTATCGAGTTTAAATGATCCCGAAACCGCATGCCGTGAGGCGGAGCCCGTGACTGAAATGGATCTTATTTACATTTTTATATTTTGTATTTATATGTTTATATAATTCGTTTATATTTTAGATTTCACTAAAAACCCATCTCTCAAAAGCGCTCTTTTGACTGATTTTTTTCTCCCTCTCTCGCTCTCCCCCTCTTCTTTCGGTACCTCAGATTTAACCCAACGATCAAAAAAAAAGGAAATGGGACGAAACGCGAAAGGGGAAAAAAAAGCCCAAGAAAAGCGACCGAGTTTTTCCCCCCCAGGCCCAACAAAACAGCGCTTTCCCGAGAACGCAGTCTACGTTAAAAACTATCTTAAAAGCAGGCGTCGCGACAAACGTCGTCCTCTCACCTCCATATATTAAGCGTTTTGTTTCCCCCTCCTCCTCTTTTTTTTTAGATAGATTGAAAGCGGGAGGCTGTCGTCGAGGCGTTTGGGGGCGAGAAGAAATCAGCTGTGGACCATGATCGGACTCCGTGGCGAAGTGGGCAGCGACCCATCTGCTGCCTTGAACGAACTGACTGCTGACTGACTCGGGACGGTTGGAGCCGTGCGCCTCACACGCGCCGAACGGACGAAAAGCGGCTCGCGCCCCTTCCCGCGCTCCTCGCGAGCTTCCATCCCATTGGCTGCCGGAGCCCGAGTGACGCGGGGGGGGGCGGGTGGGGAGGAGGAGCGCGGGTGCGTTTGCTCACTGCGCAGTCGCGCTGGAGGCCGGGCCAGTCGGCGCGCGAAGGCGCTTTCTGCTCGGCACCAGCGCCGAGGCGGCTGCCGCCATTGGCTGCACAGCTCGATTGGAAGCGTGACGGAGGTTGCCGTCCATCTCCAATAGGCTCCGACAGTCCCCTACTTCACCTCCTCCTCTCGGCGTCGAGCGACCGACTGTTGATGGGGACCGCTCGCGAAGGTAAGACGCCAACGGCTCGCCTGTTACCTCGGCTCCAAGACAACGGTTCAGGCGTTTCTTCGCAGACACAGGCCAACGAACGCACGCGACGTCACTATTCTACGTCACTACATTTCATAGTGAACCCCGCCCCCCCACAGCCCCCCACCAAACCCCCCTCACCCAGGCCCCACCACACACCCCCCCCACAGCCCCCACCAAACCCCCCTCACACAGGCCCCACCACACCCCACCCCCACAGCCCCCCACCAAACCCCCTCACACAGGCCCCACCACCCCCCCCACAGCCCCCACCAAACCCCCCTCACACAGGCCCCACCCCCCCCCCACAGCCCCCACCAAACCCCCCTCACCCAGGCTCCACCACCCCCCCCCCCACAGCCCCCACCAAACCCCCCTCACCCAGGCCCCACCACACCCCCCCCCACAGCCCCCACCAAACCCCCCTCACCCAGGCCCCACCACACCCCACCCCCACAGCCCCCACCAAACCCCCCTCACCCAGGCCCCACCACACCCCACCCCCACAGCCCCCCACCAAAACCCCCTCACACAGGCCCCACCACACCCCACCCCACAGCCCCCCACCAAACCCCCCTCACCCAGGCCCCACCACACCCCACCCCCACAGCCCCCCACCAAAACCCCCTCACACAGGCCCCACCACACCCCACACCACCACCACCCCCACAGCCCCCCACCAACCCCCCCTCACACAGGCCCCACCACACCCCACAGCCCCCCACCACCACCCCCCACAGCCCCCCACCACCCCCACCACAGCCCCCCACCATCACCCCCACAGCCCCCCACCAAAACACTCCTCAGACAGGCCCCACCACAGCCCCCCCACCACCACCTCCACAGGTCCCCCACCACCCCCACAGCCCCCCCACCACCCCCACAGCCCCCCTCAGATGTTCTGGGAGGGGGGGGGTATGTGTGTGAATGAGGCTCCAAGTCCAAACGCAAGGATTATTTATTATATCGCACTTTGCCTGCAACACACACACACACACACAGTCAATCCACTTTACAGTATATCCTGTGAAGCACTTTTGAGACTCCTGAATGACGACAACAACAACTTCCATTTAAATAGCGCCCTTCACCCGGGGTAGGGTCCCAGGAGCTATTGATGAGACAAGGCACTATATCAAATGCAAGGGTGAAATTGAACACAGGTTTGCAGCCCAAAGTCCACCAAATACTCGCCCTAAAATAGCCCCAATATTATTCTATGGGTAGCGGAATGGCTAATTTAGGTCAGTGCTTTTGAAACTGTAAGAAAAGGTCTTCAAATGATAATATTTGAAACGGCGGGGAGAACCTTTTGCAGGTTTAAATAACTTTTTTTGAAAAAATTAGGCGCCTGTCACACACCCTGTAACAAAAAACGCACCCAATCGGGTGTGAGTTTGCCCAGTCTGGGAACATTGCCCGCCCCCCCCCATGCCCTTTATGGGAATTTGATTTCTCAATCCCAGGCAAATTCCAAGTTCAAGCTGTTGGGGCACTTTTAGGACTTTGGGGGGGGGGTCAAAAACTTCCACCTCGCCTCAACCAGTCTTGGCCAGTCGGTTTAAATTCTAAGATCAGATAGGATGGGGCCAACTTCTTATACTTTGGAAGTTTGGTTTTAAAATCAAGGCCGAGTTAAATATTTTTCCACAATTCTGTGCCATCTTTAACTTTTAAGCCGAGCTGAGAACACGGTGGAATTTTGGACTTCAGATTTACCATTTTCTTTGCCAATTTTTTAAAAAAATATGGTTTTAACTTTCAAGGTGAAGTCATGTTTGTACTTATTTGTACCTCAAGGCCCCTCCCTCTGCTTTCCATTTCATTGAGTGCTTTATTACCCTTCAGGCTACACTCAGGGATGTGTCCACCTTAAGTCTGATTAACTGATTTCTCACAACCTCCTTTTGAACCTCCACATGTCTCGTTTCTCTGTACGATATCCTCGACTTTACCTCAGTAAGAATTGAGGCAGCATATTTATTAAACATCTGGACCTCATCCACCTGCCGTGATCCGATCTGCACCGGGCTAAGTGGGGCTGAAAGACTGGACATCCTTTTGTTCCTTTCCGGACACAAGTGCACTGTGTTAAGTGGCAGTTGGTGGAAAGACTACAACACCCAGAATGCAATCTGTTCCTTACGTTGCTCTGCGCAGGAAGGACCGCCTGGCTGCCTGCCTGACTGCCTGAGTGACTGGCTGAGTGGCTGACTGGCTGCCTGACTAAGTGACTGCAGTGTAGATGTTTGGTGCTGATCTGATCCTCGAGTCTGTTTGCCTCGCGGTGAGATGGCTGATCAGGTGAGGGACTTTTGCCGTCTGCCAATGTGTGTCAGATCGGTTGTGTTCGTCCCTCGTACTCGAGACGAGTCAAACTTTTATCTGAATCAAGGGTTTCGAATGGGAGACGGAAGCGAAAAGGCTGAGGAAGGCTCAGGAGGGAAAGCGGGGCGTGGGCTGAAGGATGAGCCACAGCTGTGAGAGCGCTCTCACTGCTCCATTTGTCTTGAGCTTTGTTACATGATCTGAACTTTCATTTTGCGATTGCAAGTTCACGGGTTTAACGCCCGGATTCCGAGTTGCGGAAGAGCGAGAACACCCAGAGACTCACACCGCAGTTTCACTTTGCATCCGCCACTTGGTGGGGGTGTGGGTGGGGGGCGGTGTTGGTAACGTGTTTCGTTTGTGAAACTTAGTACCGGTTGTTCATTGGGTGCAGTTTTTACAGAGGAGAGTGGTCTATTTAAGAGCTGTGCAGTCGGTCTGCGGTTTGATTGGGATACACCGAGTGCCCTTAACTGATCTAACGAGGATTTAGTGGATGTTCATTTTAAAAAAAAAGTATGAATTAAATGATAGTTTGGTAAATTGTGCACCCAATCTGGAATATTAAACAGCTAGAACTTCTAAATGATGCCATGGGACCTTTAATATCCTCTAGAGGGAAGCAGATGAAGGTCCCTTGATTTAACATTCTCATTTGAATAGGTCGGACATTCGCAGAAGGAACAGATGGCTGATTAAATTGTGAGAAGTTACATTTATGAATTTCTTGGATGAGATGGTTGTACTTAGGTTGTACTTTCTGTCTGCCTACTTGAAAAGTGAAGGGAGTTTCTTCCTGTACCCTGGCCAACAATCCTCCCAATAAAACTGGTCATTCACTTCAAGGTTGCTTATTGGCCGGTGCGGGTTTCTGAATGTTTCTGGTATGTCAGACAGAATCTAACAAAGGATTTCCACTAACTTCCACTTTAGAATCATGGGAATCCTTACCATTGCCGTCACACTGCAACTGCAAATATTTTAGAGAAAATTTCAAAACATCACAACAGAAGTTCTAATGAAAAAGGCGCGTTGAGATATTTGAGCATGCTCCTAACCTACCATCCGCCCATTACAGTGTGAATAAATCCAGCATCCTAGTCTCTTGTCTAATAAAGCCCCCTTTATGGTTTTAGTAGCCAGTACTCCCAAGTATGACCTGATACAGCTAAGAAAGCTGAAGGAGTCCCACGGTCAGCGGTTGTATCCTGTCAGAATGCCAAGGCCACAGGGAATCTCCACCAGATTAGGCATGTAGGCACCTGTGCCGTGTTTTCGCCCACAAATACACAGTCAATTCATTTTACAGTATATTCTGTGAAGCGCTTTGAGACGTCTCGAAGACGTGAAAAGCGCTATATCAAATGCAAGGATTATTACTATTATTTACCAGAGTTTACCTGATCAAATTAATTGTTTGATTTTCTTGTTGTATTGTGAGCAGGAGGCAAAGGCTTCCAATCAATCAGAAGAGAAGAAAGAAGGGGAGTACATTAAGTTAAAAGTCATAGGTCAGGTGAGTGATGTGACTGGCAGTAGTTTTTGCTTACCAGTGTTGAATTTTAACATGCTTTGAGTAAGCAAAGAAGTAAACAAATTAATAACTTTGCTTTACTAAAGGACAACAGTGAGATCCATTTCAAAGTGAAAATGACCACACAGCTAAGAAAGCTGAAGGAGTCCTACTGTCAGCGACAGGTAAAGCACACAGTCCTATTGGTGTTCTTTTCTTAGTGAACAGTTCCAAAACATTACTATTGAAATGGGATTAGCTTAAATCAGAATAAAACAGTGGGAAATTGCGGCACTTGTTGATAGTCAAAATTTGTAAAAGTAGATGCAAATTGGCTACCACATTTGCCTACAAATACAATCATTACACTTTCCAGGAAGTAGGAAAGTATGTTATAAATGTTATAAGATGTAGGAGCAGGAGTAGGCCATTCAGCCCCTCGAGCCTGCCCCGCCATTTAATAAGATCGTGGCTGATCTTCTAACCTAATTCCATTTACCTGCCCTATCCCCATATCTCTTAATCCCTCTATCCTTTAGAAATCTATCAACCTCAGTCTTGAATACGTAACACTGGTAGATTAATTACAAAGTTCAAATTAGGAATATCAATATGCAAGATTGATGCCCATCACCTCAATTGGTACACTTAGTTTAATTCATTGCAGGCTAACAACTCCATTTTGTATACTAAATGGGCCTGAATCCCCCTACAAAGTACTTCTAGTGAAATATGTCTACAGAATATTGTTTTTAACTTTTAACATCAATCTTCCCAAAACTTTTTGCCAGCTTTCCTTGCTGATGCATAATGTTCCAATGCCACAGTGCTCATGATTATTGAAAAAAACTGTAATCATACCACCTGGTTTTAAATTGAAGTCTGGTCTGAGTGTAGATTAAAAAAAACTAGGTAAGCAAAGAAAATTACAGTTCAGGGAATGTAGTCTGGATAAAGTGAATTGAGTATACCACTGAATAATTACTTAAAAGAGGAAGGAAATTCTAGGGGAAGCACTTTCTGTGCTAGTGTTTTGAGAAATTCTGTAATTTACTTGGAAAGCTAGTCACTAGTCACTGCCTTATCATAACCTGATTTTATTTTGTAAAAATTATGTTTCTTTTTAAATATTTCTCAAGATGCCGAAAAAGATAAATTGCCAGTTGCTGGAACTTGTAATTGCATCCTGTATCTTGGTAGAAAAATATACTGACTGAGACACTGATTTTGTGCCTGTTTTATTGCACTTCAGCTTTGGTTCTTATCTTTAAGTAAATGTTTTTAGTGTAGGATACTAAAATATTGAACCCATTCATTTTGTAGAGTTGTTGTCCTAACCTTGGTGTTCATTTTTAAATGTTATTCTAATCGGGAAAGAGTTAAAAATTAGCACCAAATAAGGCATTCTAGAATTCCATACATTGTAATAGATGTAGAGGATCCAAGCGGGATCTATCCACACCTTCAAGAGTGAAGTTGATAGATTTTTGGTGGGTCAGGGTATTAAGGGATATGGGGAGAAAGCGGGAAATTGGAATTGATTAGTTGAAAGGATTAGTTGAGGTACAGATCTAATTAAATGGTGGAGCGGGCTGAATGGCCTATTCCTGTTCCTATATTCCTAGGAACGAAATGCTGTAAAACAAGCTGAAGCTTGTTGGTTGGAGCACTCGCCTCACAAGCGAGAGGAGCTGGGTTTGATTCCCAGGAAGGGCGAAATGTTAGGCAAGTTTCCTTACCTCTGTTTACCTAGCAGTTTTCCGGGGATAATAATTCCTTTAGTAAATTGGTTTACTCAATCCACGACTGTTTGTGGGACACTGCTGTGCACAATTGGCTGTTGCGTTTCGCCCATAAAATACACAGTGACTACACTTTACAGTGTATTCTCTGAAGTGCTTTGAGATGTCTCGAAGACGTGATGAGTGAGGCACTATATCAAAATGCAAGGATTATTATATTTTTAAACTACACTGCACAGTGATACAATTCTCACAAGCTTAATTTTTATAAAAAGCAACACTGTTGATCATATTAATTTATAATTTGCTAAAAATAAATTATGCTTCCTATAGTTATTGTTTAATTTTATTGCCTCCCTTTCTGACGTAGGATGTACCTCCAAATTCACTTAGATTTCTGTTTGAAGGTCAGCGGATCACAGATCAGCAAACTCCGAAGGAGGTATGTAGTCTTAATGTTTCTTATGTTTTAATGAGTTACCTCAAATATTGTGGAGATTTGTTGGAAGAATTTTACAACCTACTAAAATTATATACACCTTTGAAACATCTTCTGAAAAGCCCTAGCTTGTCTGATCATCGCTTATAGCTGAATCCTTTAACAATGGGAATCCTCCTTATTACTCTCTTATAATAATAATCTTTGCATTTGATAAAGTGCCTTATCACGTCTGTTAAGCACTTCACAGAATATACTATAAAGTGAATTGACTACATTTGTGGGCGCGGTAGCCAATTGCGCACAGGAGTATCCCACAAACAGTCATGGACTGAGTAACCAAATTTTTTTTAAGGATTATTATTGACTAACAATCGGGTTCCTACTTACTGCTAGGTAAACAGAGGTGTGTGGAGTAAGGAAACTTGCCCAACATTTCTCCCTGTCTCTTGCTTTGCCTTTAGGACTTGGGCAGCCCTCTTAGCGTTTGTAGTTTGTTAGTCTGTTCTCACTTAAGGAGAATTTCCTAAATAGGACTGTGGGATGTGGTGGATGCTGAATAACAGAGGGACACATGAAAAAATGTGGGGTCTAGATAATATGTTTTCAATGATTCCTGAAAATATCAGGATTCATAGCCAGTGGCACATTTGTCACAAGAATTTTAGTTTTAGAATCGATTGCGTGTCCGTGAAGTTCCCTTGCTGTTTAAAGTATGAAAATAAGCATCTTGTACANTTTTTTTGCTCTGACAGCTTGGCATGGAAGACGAGGATGTGGTTGAAGTTTACCAAGAACAAACAGGAGGATGCTTCAGAGTTTAACTATTAGTCACCATATCAAAGTCATGGTCATTCATCTGTATGATTTCTTCTTACTTTATGCTAGGCAGAAGCCCAATTGGGACATTCTTTCATTGTTACTTTGGTACAAATTATTTTGTATATTAGCCTAAAGTACAAAAATATTAAGAAATACTTTTTTAAAAAAAGATTTGGGGTTTATATCATTCATAAATTAATTGTACAGACCACGGTGGAAGTACCTTTTGCAACTTGTTGAAGACAAAACGGATTTCAAAATGTTTCAAAAATATATATACTATTTGCTAAAAACAGCAAATTTCCAACAGTTGAGCAGCAACTGAGTTAGAAATAACACATTTTCATTTAATACACTTTCAATATGTTGCTTCAACATTTAAGCCAGGAAAATTCTCCTGTTCCCTGTCCAAGGTCAGGGGGACAGGAAGTACCATGCAGAAGGTGATTTATAAAGTCAAAGTCTGTTTTAAAGATGTACAACAGCATTAGCTTTCGCATTGAACTCCCTTTGTACTGTATCAAAATAGCTTTATGAAGAAACTGAATAACTGCACAGGGCTCATTGTTTCTGATGTTGTTACTTGTGATTTAACCTTTTATCTGCATAAACCTACGTGTGTGATGGACCAAACCGCTTGCTTCCAGAATAATGTGAACCTACAGTTAAGTTTGTACTAGTATTTTTCTAATCTATGGAATGAATAACGTGTTTAATTTGTATAGATTTTTTGCAATGAAGATACTAAAAAGGTTTAGAAAAGAGAAATCAAACAGTGGACAGATTGTAGTTTAAGGCCCAGTAGTGAAACGGTTAAATAGAGATTATTTATATAAGCTGGCAGTGGGAGCCATTTCATATTTGTTTAGTTTTATTGATTGTACATATGAATCAATACAGTTTTATTTTTATTTTAAAGTGAGTATCACACAATTTACACGTGGTTATCTACTGTCTTTTGATTCGCTGCAGGCAGAATCGCCCCAAAAGTTACAACACATTTTTGAAAGTAGGAAAAAAGCAATCTAATGTTAAACTTTCACAGACTTGTATGGACTTTGTATGCAGCAGAGTCTGCTCAACTGGCAGAAAACAAGTTCATATCTGTTGAGAATAGATGTTGATAGTGGTGATTTTCGGACACTGTTTAAAAATATATATGGGATGCAGTTTTGAATTCTCCAGAAAGCACAAATCAGTCAACAACAACAACAACAAGATTCCATTTATAAAGCGCCTTTCACGTCAGGAGGACGGATCTGGTACATATTAGGAGAGGCAGCGAGCTGCCTGCTGTCTGGCAGTTTACATTCTACTCCAATGCAGTTGCAGTTAAGACCACCTTTACAAGAAGTATGTCCCATTAGAATAATTAGAAGAAAAGAACTGATTTCTTTTCCCGCCAGTTTGTTCATGTACCAATTTTAGTATAGAAACCAGTGGAAAGATGCAATTTCAGTTTAATAATATTTTAAATCCTGCCCCTTGTTCCTCCGATGTCTCAGCGAGTCTGTCCACGTTTGAAAAGTAAATATATATAGTGCTGGATCATTATTTAGTAATAGTTAAAATAAATGTCCTGCCTTTCAGTGATATTTAAAATAAAAGTTGAAAAAACTAGTCTTTTGTAGCCGACGTTTTTGTGGAGCTTTGCCAGATTTTATCTGACATGCAGCATAATTGCACAACATTACATCACTGCTGAAAAGTGGAATTACTCAGTTTGTTAAATGTTAAAGCAGCTTGTTTAATTTTAAAACGTCTCTTGGGTCGATCAAAATAAATGGGAATCAAATCTGTTCTTAAATCTACAGTGGTACAAATTCAAAATGCTGAGATGAAAGTTAATCCCAAAATTTCACCTATTGGCACAGTTGAGTAGATTTTTCCGGGATTATTCTATTTTTACGCAACAGTTTTCCCTCAAGTTACATTTCAAGTCATAAGAAAATTCTTAAAACAAACTGAATTTATCACCACAATTGATTACTCAAATGCCCAAGCCTGTCCCCACCAATAGATTCTTATGAAATATGTGTTGCAAATATACATCAGTGACCTAGAGAAAATAATCCTGTGTGAGCCTTTCATGTAAAGCAAGCTTGTTTTAGCATGAGGTAAGAAACAACCCAATGGTTATTCTGTTGAAAATGGTCTTTAATTTTGCTTGAGTATAGAACATACATCATATCGGCACCACAACAACTTGTGTTTATACAGCGCCTTTTACGTGTAATGGTGAACTGAGCAGGGAGAAAGGGAGTTAGTTGGGAAGAAATAGAGTTGGAATAAACCTAGTCACCGCATTTTAAATATTGCAATTATGGTAATGTTTGTACTGGAATTGGTATAATAAGTTATAGGTACATCAAAATAATACTTACATTCGACATAAGGCCTTTCGCCAGGGCGAAACCTTGGGCAAGTTTCCTTACTCCACACAGAGCCTAATAATAATCCCTCCAAAACAAAACAATAATAAATTGGTCATTTTCAATCTACGACTGTTTGTGGGACATTGCTGTGCGCAATTGGCTGCCGCGTTCGCCCACAAATATACAGTCAATTCACTTTACAGTATATTCTGTGAAGCGCTTTGGGACGTCTAGAAGACGTGAAAAGCGCTATATCAAATGCAAGTATTATCACATCAACAGCAGCAATTTGTATTTATATAGCAGGGTAGCATCTCGGAGCACTTCGCGATGTCTCAAACACTTTATAGGATTTTACGGTGAAGTGTAGTGACTGTGTATTTTATAGGCAAATGCGACCAATTTGCACACAGCTATGCTACACACACAGCCATGAAGTGAATGACCAGTTTTATCTGGGAGGATTGTTAGCCAGGTCTGTATGCGGGAGAAACTACATCCATAGCGACTTGGAGAGCATGGGCAAAAATAAAAGGTGTGTCTTTGGAGGGTTTTGAAGGCAGGGAAAGAGGACGTGAAGTGTACAGAGAATGTACTGTACGGTTTGAAAGACAGCTATTATTCGAACAAACATGCTACCTGTCATGCGTAATGGGAAGCACATGTGCCTTTATACTACAAGCAAAGTCTTTAAAAAAATTGAATGCAACATGAAACCATATTGAGCCTGTTGTTTATTCTAACTTTTAAGGATGGATTGAGGCTATTGGCCAAAATATAAATAATTTTGCCATGGCAGGGCAGAAATCACCAAATTACTCTTACCATGTCAAGGTTAGTTTTAGCTACAGAGGCCCCTGGATTTTATGCAACATAATTATAGCAATGTTGGCACTGGAAAAGCTATAATAAATCATAGCTATGTGCATTGCCACTCAGAGCTGTTGAATACGTGGGGATTTTAAACAACTCTACGTGTTAAATCCAACTTCTTGGATTTGGCATAGGTTCGCGGAACTTTGGTGCAATGCCAAATGTTAATCCATCCATTCACATTTATGCCTTTGTACGAATGCAAATTTGAAACAAACACATTCAAACATTCAAATAGGCAGAAAATATAAATGGAAGCATTAATATTCATGTTAGCTACATTGTCAGGACTTCTACAGTGTGCGTATGGCCGACATTTATTTACGGCACTATTTTGGGGGCATAGATACTTGGGAATGTTACAATACAGTACAAATTTACTTACACTCATATAGTGCCTTTCTATACTGCTCGTGTCCAAATCCCAGACTGTCCGCCGCCCTACTCGCGCTTAGAGCAGATGTTAGGGACCGTGATTAAAAAACAGGATAGCGCAATCAGCTCAAAAACAAGGGACAGCACAAGTGCAGTCAGTGCAATGATTGCTTCCGCCCCCCCCACCCCCTTCCAACAGCGAGAGCTGGGACCGCCGACCAGTTACCACAATGACGGGTTTCGGCCTCCCATATCCTTAAGCAATCTATTCCTTTCGAACCAATTGCGAGTAACAGACCCTTGGTGCGACCCGCAATTAATGTTGGTCGATACTGGGTCTGTAATCACTTTCCTACACTCCAAGAATCCGCGTAAATATCAAGAGTGCCACTAATTTGAGATGCTCCCTAACAGGTTTCAATGGTAACCAGCGTGAAGCGGTAGAACTAACTAACTGTGATCTCATGTTTAAAGAAGGGACGTTATCACTAGTCGGTCGATTACGAGAATCAACGCTTATGGATTGGGGATCCCTCTGGAAATGGGATAATGGATTGTCCTGCCGTGATCGCTGACTGTTTTGCTGTTAACGCCATAAAGAAATTCGAGCAATACTCCACCATTACCTTCCCTAATGAACGCGTTGCTACACTCTTCCACAATCATCCAGACGATGAATTTATGGAATTCACTCCCCCAAAAGGCTGTAGATGCTCAGTCCTTGAACATCTTCAAGGCTGAGACTGATAGATTTTTAAAAAACAGAGAGAATAGGGGATATGGGGATAGGGCAGGTAATTAGAGTTAGGTGAGAAGATCAGCCATGATCTCATCGAATGGCAGGGCAGGCTCGAGGGGCCGAATGGCCTACTCTTACTCCTAATTCTTATGTTCTAATGTTCTTAAACGATAAACGGTCCGTCCCACCAACAGTATCCAATAACTCGGGAAAGTCTCCCGTTTGTTGCAGTTACGATCGAGTCACTGTTGGATCAGGGAGTCATTCGCAAAGGCACGTTTACTGTAAATTCTCCAGTATGGCCAGTCCGTAGACCCGAAGGGAGCTGGCACCTCACAATTGATTACTGGCACCTTAATAAGATCACCCCTTCCTGCGCACCAGTGGTTAGTGATTCTCCTATGTTATTAACCAGTCTGCCGTGGACTGCCCAAGTGTTTTCGACCCTAGATATTTCCAATGGGTTCTGGAGTGTCCCGGTGGCAGAGGAAGACCAGTACAAGTTTACTTTTACGTTTGATAACCAGCAATACACCTGGACTTGTGTTCCTCAGGGATTTCACAATACCCCCACCATATTCAACAAGTGTATGGCGACGATTCTGGAGGGTGTACGTCCTAATTTGTCAAGTCAAATTGGGAGCCAATATGGCAAGTCGCCCAGTGAACCTGGTTTGGTAGGGACGACGGCCTGAGATTGATTAACACACACGTGAACCATACAATATTCTAGGATAAAATTGTCACCATGGGTAACAACATTAATAAACAGTGGGGGAAGTCAGGCCTGACAATAGTCGACCAATATACTGATAAAATAGTGACTAGCGTAATGAAAGAGGGCTGTATGGGATAATGGAGCTCCATCCTGACCCTTTTCAAGGCGCAATCCAGTGGTTAGAAAGAGATGGGAGGGACCCAAGCTGCCCAATCACGCAAGTCCGCAGAACTTATCCTGCGATACGCTATATATTGCGTCACGAAGATAAATTACACAAACGTAGAAAGAGAAGGAATAGCTCATCCAGGAGTAGCCCCAGGAAGGAAAGGATAGTATGAGGAAAAAGTGCCAGACCCTGCAGGAAAAAGCTGAGTAAAGGTGTCAGTCAGTGGAGACGAGGCAGAGAAAAGATACCAGGAGATGGTGCATGAATTCTGTGTTAAACAAAGGGACCTAGAGGTGTGCCCGGCAGAGAGGAAAGAGAAGGTAGATCAGCTGCGCCTCCAAGTACAGGAACTGACAGGCATGATAGGCACGCAACAAGGCTTAGCCCAGGTGGCCACTCAACAGAGACACGAGACGGTTAGCAAAGTGCAAAAATGTGACAACTGCCCGCCACGCCACCATATGGTCCCACCGGTACTGCAGCCGGACTGTGTGGAAATGGTTAACAGCGCACAACAGAGCGACGTTGCAATCGACTTAGGATCTCTGCAGCAAACCCACAACCCCTACCGGCAAGCGATGGCCTGGCACAATGAGGGAAATCCCAACCCTCCTCCCATTGATTGGCTATGGACACATGGGTAGAGCAAACCTCAAGTGATTCGGGGACTAAGCCATTGCTCATGTATGCTCCCACAGGGAAATGCCCGGTGGTATGTGTACCACCATCTCTTTGGCAGATGAGGTCTTCCTCTTATTTCACTCACAGCCCACTGCCAGACACATAGCTGCTGAGATCACCCTACAACTCGTTTTGTGTAACATGGTGGCCGTTAGTGGCTGCTGACATTACAACACAGGCACGGCGGTGTCTGATATGTCTACAACACAACCCACCAAAGCGTAACAGCCGAGCACTACTGGCTTCCGTCCCACCTCCGAAAGTCCCATAGACCCACCTACAGATTGACTTCATCGGGCCGTTACCACAGACCAAAGGGGGTTACAAATTCTGCTTGGTGATCATCAACAAATTCACCACATGGATGGAGATGTTCCCTACTAAATCCAACACCTCTTTGACGGCAGCCAGACTGCTATTGCATCACTTCCCCGAATTACTGCACATCTTTTGATCCATCCTGACTCATCACTGTTCCAGTACATCCAGCCACTTGTCTTGCCAAGGTTTTCTTCAGCTCCATGCCATTTGCCAAAAAGAGTTGGTTACAGCTTCAATCAATAATAACTGGTCATCATAATATCGCTTTTGTGCAGCGCAAACTGTAAATGGCGTGTTTCCATTCAATCCTGTGTAAATTTCTAATGTGGCTTTGCCTAGTACCATCCAACACAT